TTAGCAGTCAGTATCCCCTGCGTAGGTCACCGATGACCTACGTTAGCGAAGGATTTGCCTTCAGCAGTTTTTTGTCGGCAGTCAAAGGCTTAATTAAACACATAGACTTACATATCGCAAATAAAGCCAAGCACACATCGTACGTCATCATCCGGGACACCAGGATGAATGTGGGCACCAGAGCCGCCAGTGTGGTCACCACCCCGTAGTACAAGTACAGTCGCAGCATTAACACGTCTTTCTGAAAATATTTTGTGACGTAATTGTAGTTTCTGCAGTCAAAAACAAACAATTTCTATACAATAACATACATATTAACAATATAGAGGTACTGTCACACTTTAATTAATTGATAGCAAACGGTTATGCTATAAGTAGCTATGGAATGTTACAGCATAATCACGTACAAAATTCATAAAGATAATTAAAATTAAAGTTTTTGATTTTAAGTTTGACTTATTTAAAATTGTATCATGTCCATCCTCAGTAGGCAGGTCGAATGCACAGGTTAGCAGTGATTGGGCGATCAGCTGCATTGCTACGTGTCGCGGGTTTAATTAGGTAAATTAATATTTTGGGCCAGACCATGATGTGTATAAGGCCTCTGCCTCGAATCTTCGGCGCGGGAGCGGCAGGATCTTATGTGTAAAATCAAATGGACTGGTTCTCAAAAACACAGCGGCATTGCGGCGGGCAACGAGCGGTGTACTCTAGTCAAGCAGTGCCAACCGCGCCGTCGCCGCCCGCCGCCCCGCTGCCCGCAAAATTCAAGGCAGAGGCCTAAGTCTCACTGGAGACATAGAAGAGCATTCTAATATGGGACTACCGATAGTCCGATACCCGATTCCAGCGTCAGAAACAGTAATTTAGCGTATTTTCGTTTTTCATTTCTAATATATTTTGTCTCCTACTTATACTTGCTATATTCTGAGTACGTGTACCTAGTAAGTACATATAAGTAGGTAAAATAACAAACAGTTTGTATAGCTAAATTAAATTACACCCAATCACTCACACAGATTCGTATTTTAACTGGGTGCATCGGGTTATCTTACCAAGTCACTAGACCTATCATAACAACCCGTTTCAAAGGATATTGCTCGATGTAGTTCTTACGAAAAGTATTTATAAAAGTAAATTGATAATTAAGTAAATTAAGAAATGTAGTGGATAACTCATATTTCCAAATCATGTTGCTCTTTGCTTTAGAGCGGTTTTCTCTGTGTCTGTGTGATATCTAAGTAAGTAGATGACCGGTCACATTATTATTATGTATGAATGTGCCGTATAGTATGTATGTATTAGGTCCGATATTTTTAAGAGACTACTTTTGAATGTCCGGTTTATAATAGAGTTACCTGTCGCTTACCTGACAACCCGCGAACAGGAGCATTATATTCAGAATGACACTCATTCCGAAGATGCTGAACAAAATGGTAGAAGTCACCACTTCCAAAGAAGACCCATCGATTAATTGCGATTTCTTCAGCTCAGTTGTAATCACGAGACTAGTTACTGCTAGCATTGAGAATATCTGTGGAACAAAAAAAAATAGTTGATTAGCGAAGTCAGGTTAAAAAATGTGTTCCAAACTGCCGGCACCATACGACACTAGCAAATAGGTACTAGTACATTGTAAAATTAATGCTAGGTCATAGAGTCACGATCGAAACAAGCAACAGCTAAGCCCTAAGCCTAACTTTTGTCTTTAGAAACTACCCAATTGTCTAAGATCTGGAAGTGCTAAAGACGTTTAGCAATTACTAAAACACAGTCAACACCAAACCAAGGGTCTCAAATGTCGCGGAGAACCTAACGGGTAACCGGGGTTCCGGATCGACGTGTAGGAGAAGGAACGAGGTGGTTTTTAGTCAGTAAGAGTCTGACACTCCCTCCCGCCTCACCCAGGTGGGAGCAGTCATTCGATGATTTTTCCCCTTAAAAAAAAAAGCCTAATTTTTGTCGCGGAGAACCTAACGGGTAACCGGGGCTCCGGCTCGACGTGCAGGAGAAGGAAAGGGGTGGTTTTTAGTTAGAAAGAGTCTGACACTCCCTCCCGCCTCACCCAGGTGGGAGCAGTCTTTCGATGATTTTCCCCCCTTTGCCAATCATCACTATCATCATTATACCACATCAGTCATCATAAGACGTCCAGTCCTGACCTTATAAAAAGGTCTTTTCTCCTCTAAAAGCTTCTAATTAGGCCGGTTCTATGGAAGCAACCTGTGTTCCAATACCTTCCCAATAAACCTACGTACTTACTATATTAATTAAACCAAACAAAATAATTCCGTGTCGCAAAGGAACACAGCAACAGCATCGTTTCACTTCTGGCACTTTCATACGCATTTTGTAAAGATACAAAAACTGTTTTTAATTCAGATAAAATTATGCAATAAAATAGAATAGCCTCGCGACACGTTCTGCTGTGCAAATAGAACTGTTATTATGCATTTATTTACAATTATGAATGCACTATCTGTCATAAAAGTCAACATCTACAATACGTTTACAATGTCAATTAAGTTCATTGACTTTTTAATGTAAACAAATCGACAATGTTGTATTAATTAAATTACCCGAAGTGTTTTTACTTTTTAAGGGCACGTACCTAATAAGTCAATATGATTTATTCACAGATTTAGTCATAAATATTATAACTACTTATGCACTTGTGCGAATCATTTGCTCATTGCTATTTATTGCATAATTGAGCCACCCACAGCTCGACCCCCAACAAACTCGTACAATTATCCCCTCATTGTTTATTTTTCGTTCAATTACCATCTGGTTCCAGCCAGTTAACGGCATTAGTGGTTTGTTTGCTGATATAACTAATGCAACATTATGTATTGTGAGTCGCCACCGGCACCCACACAACGTTGTTTTGATTTTTTCAGTAGGTATCCTATTGCTATTATAAAACTAACAGGCACTTAATTACAAAAAACGCAGGTCTTAATTATTATTATTCTGTTTACAGTAGATAGTATACTTTTAAGTATACTTTATACTTTTAAGTATACTTTCTACTAAAAAGATTTGTGACGAAGATTTATCGTATACCTAGATATAATTATTTGATGGTTGGGTCTGCCACAGTTAAATGAACAGGATAACATAACATAAGGATAACATAACATAATTATGATTCGAAACTCCTATTCGACGAGCATATTGAGAAAATAATTGCAAAAGCATCGAAGTCTTTGGGTTTTATTATGAGATCGACAGCCCCATTTAAGAATGCAAAAACATTCAAAATTTTATACTGTGCATATGTACGAAGCATACTTGAATACGGATCACAAATATGGAATCCCCGATATGATAAATATATTGCAAGAATTGAGGGGATTCAAAGGAAGTTCATTAAATTCTTGTGCTTTCGTTTGGCAATTCCTAATAAGGCTGGGTATGACAACTATATCAGCCTCTGCAAACAATTTCACTTTCTTCCGCTTTATAAACGTCGCGAGATAGCTGATGTTACTTACATCCTATCCATAGCGAATGGTAGAGTTGACTGCCCTGAACTCCTTGAAAAGTTGTCCCTCAATGTTCCATCGAAATCCTTTAGGAGGCACGCACCTCTTTGTGCTCCGGTAGCAAACAGTAACTACAGGCAAAACTCATTCTTGTGTCGAGCCTGTCGTACTTTTAACGACATCAGTAGCAAGCATGATATAGATATATTTTGTACAAGTCTGAGGAAAGCTAGAACTATGATAAGTGGAGACTTTTTTAATAACTGATTTTTGTTTTTTTTTTTATTATTGTTTTATTTTAAATATGTATTCACCTTTCTTTTGTTTCTATATTTAAATAATTTTCTTGCTGTGTGCCTGTTTTTGGTGTATTTATAATTTTTATTTTGTCTTAGCTGTTACCTATTAAGTCAGTATTCGTGTGAATCTATAAGTGGCTCAATGTTACTATTCTTCTGCTAAATGTATGTAATGTAGCTGTTGATTCACCATTCAATAAATAAATAAATAAACATGATAATAATGTTTAATTAGTAGGCACGTACGAAGAATAGCCAGCGCATGAGATCTACCAATAATTTTTTTTTGTATCCTATAACCCTCACTTCCACAAATTCCTATGTTACAGAAGAATCTTAGTGAATACATACTAATTTGGTGGTTACTATTTTGGACTTAGTAGAGAATCTGAAATTGATGACAACATCAAGCAAACGTAGTCCAATCCAAAATTAAGATTAATAGAATAACTCAAAACCTCTTAACAAAAACCTGTCGCAAAATAACAATCTGGCCATATTTTCATTGCTATTAACTTTTTACCAGGAAAAAAATAAGAACCGCGTTTAGTTTTTCCTACATCAAAATGTCAAAATTTTAATGTAATTTTAAACTAGCACATTGAGTTGTAACCTGTCTAAATAATAACATTTAAGCATAAAAAACTGTATGTTTTAATAAAATAATATAATTCAGTTAACTACTAACTTCTATAGAAAGTGAACGTTTTATTATAACCAAAGCGAACGAAACACGCACGTTAATTTTATAACTTGTTTTTATCTGTGGTCCGTCTCGCTGATTTTGGATTGAATTTGAGACAGAAATTTACTACAAATTGTAAAATATACATTTAGTTTTGTTAAAAAGTTAATAAAACCATACAGGTAAGCTAATACAGCGCATTCATAACGAATACTTTCATAAAAACCTAGAATTCCTACACCGAAATATATTTTGAGGTTAGATAACATATCGTGCAATTAGATAATTTTTAGGTTTGTAAATGATTTTCGGTAACTTTATGAGTTTGGTAACTGCATATCTTCGTGGGTTAATATTTTAGATTATGTGTGAATTAGTTGAAATGTATTGAAAGTAGTTATGAGTATATTCAGAGTCCAATGATGTCAATGACAGTTCCGATGCTGCAATAATCCCAATTAAAGCCGCAATCCGAAATCACACTTTTGTTATAAATGTTTCAATTGTTTTCTGTATTTATTTCTAGAAATGGCTGCTCAGCTCTTCAACAGAATCGGTCAAATGGGCCTGGGTGTGGCGCTGGTTGGAGGTGTCGTGAATTCTGCACTTTACAATGGTAAGTACCTACTTACTTCAAAAAGCATAGTTAGCTATGATCAGAAGTAAGTTTTTAGTCTAAACAAAATGTAGTTTACATCACACTCAATAGTGTACACATAAATATTTACTTAGTGTTTAATCTAAATAGATTAATGTTTGGTTAGAAGCTTAGGAAGAGACTAACAATAATGTATTGTAAAAATTTGTATGAAATAACTACACTACACACTTCTTTCAGCTAAGCTAAAGATTCTTATTGAACATTTATCGGTTACAATATCAAATTTAAAAGTGGAAATTAATTAATATTTTTTCCATTTCCAGTTGATGGTGGTCACAGGGCCGTGATCTTCGACAGGTTTGCTGGTGTCAAAAATTTGGTGGTTGGTGAGGGTACTCACTTCTTTGTTCCGTGGGTACAGAGACCTATCATCTTCGACATTCGATCACGCCCTAGAAACGTTCCTACTGTCACTGGAAGTAAAGGTACAGTCAAAACACAAATTATAATTTTTATTTGCCACAAAATCTTAAACAATGCCTTGGAAATGCTTCACAAGTGTTTTAAATAATGCTGTAATGTAACCTTTTTATCAACATGCTTAAAATTGTACCTAGTTCTCATGCAGTTTATGAACTTATTATTTTTAGGAAATAAAATTGCAATTATTGATAACACAATTATTAATTTTTGTGTAACAAAGTTTGATACTCAATTAAATGTGTTTCAGATCTCCAAAATGTGAATATCACACTCCGTATCCTGTTCAGACCAATTCCTGACCAGCTACCCAAAATTTACACTATTCTCGGTGTAGACTATGATGAGAGAGTGCTGCCATCTATTACTTCTGAAGTTTTGAAGGCTGTTGTCGCACAGTTTGATGCTGGAGAGCTCATCACACAGAGAGAGGTGAGGTATCAATTTGTTGATTGTTGAGCACTTGATAAAAAGCAATCAGTGTCGCCCATGAACACCGCAACACCAGAAGAGTTATGTGTACATTGTCAACTAGTGTTTTTTAATGATTTGAGGAATGTAGATGGCGTTTTTGGGATGTATTTAAAAATTTAGTAACAACTGTAACTTTTACATTAAACCCCTTTTGTTCTGAACATCTAGGTCCATATGAAAATGTCTACTGTTAGTTAAATTTTATCATAGTTACATTATTTATCATAGTTAAAAATTTAGTAACAACTGTAACTTTTACATTAAACCCCTTTTGTTCTGAACATCTAGGTCCATATGAAAATGTCTACTGTTAGTTAAATTTTATCATAGTTACATTATCGGTCCATTATATTTATAATAACACACATTCCCAAACACCAAGCACTATTCCAGACAGGTCTGCTATTAGTGAAAAAGAACATACTAATAAATCTTTGTCTAAATATGCAAATGATGCTCATCTGAAATTGAATACTAATTTTATGGTATTCAATACCAAATTGCCAAGAGTCCTACATTTTTCTTGGAAACATATCCAGTATGATTCCAAGAAAAATTGCCAAGCTAATTGTGAAATATGTACTAAATGTCATGCATGATCAATTAGTTCCATAATGTTTACTTTATACAAGTATCCCAAAATGAATCAGGTACCTGGTTAAATAAGGCCCTATGCTTGATGTTATGACAGCTCTGGGAACAACATAGGAAAAAAAATTAAAATGTTACAGTGGAAATCCTGACAATGACAGCACTTATCACCTTTCCACATGCCTAATCTAGAAAGCCCCTGACATCACCTGATTTAATATTCTTGATTTCTGGAAGTACATTCTACATTTGTACATCATTTAAATTCAGTGCTCATTACAAAAGTACTTATCATTATACCAATTAAAAACCCTATAAAAGTCATTGTAATGTTGAAAAGCAATCATTATTAAATACTACAAAACATTAGGTATGCTACACAGTAGTTTATTAGTGCATAATACTGTTTAATATTCTGAGGTCTTAGTAACAGTATTATTTTACGTTAATCGAAACGAGATCACATTTGGCTCTCTAATTGGTTAGTTCACTATGCCCACCCAATCAGACTGCCTGTAATTTATATTGGATAACAACAATGGGTAACAATAGATGCCTAATTTATATTTTAATGTCCGTCTGGTAGATTATTTCAAATTATTAGACACATATTTTTTATTTTCTTACAGAAACGAATACTTTCGACGATATATTGATTTGAAATATCGCGTGACGTCACTTCTATGTACATTTTATACGTAGAAATGACGTTTTAGCCCCTTTCCTAAACTTAGATTCGTTTTATCTAAGTATTGTTTTATTATACGACAAAATAAAAAAATACGTGTCTAATATTTTTTCATTACCTTACTTACGGACTAATTAGATTTTTAATTTTCATACATCATCCTATTAAAGTAATCTTATCTTCCACAGGTTGTATCACAAAAAGTGAACGAGAGTTTGACTGAAAGAGCAGCACAGTTCGGCCTCATCTTAGACGACATTTCAATTACACACTTGACATTCGGCAAGGAGTTCACACAAGCCGTCGAGTTGAAACAGGTCGCACAACAAGAGGCCGAGAAGGCGAGATTCCTCGTAGAAAAGGCTGAACAACAGAAAAAAGCTGCTGTCATTGCCGCTGAAGGTGACGCCCAAGCTGCCGTTCTCCTCGCCAAATCCTTCGGCTCAGCTGGTGAAGGTTTAGTCGAACTCCGTCGTATTGAAGCCGCTGAAGATATCGCCTACCAACTATCTAAATCCCGCAACGTTACTTACCTACCACAGGGCCAGAATGTTCTTTTAAATCTTCCCACACAGAACTAATCTGCTATTAAAATAATGCTGGACGTGTTCACTACAATATCGGGATGGGTTCTGTACAATGCATTTGTATTTACAAAACTAATAATGTTTAAGAATGTTGCATTTGTTGAGTCAATGGTATGGTTGCGCCAATAGATAGTAGTCCATATTAGTTTTATGAAAAATTGTAATTACGCATTAAAATATAATTTTGTTGAATTTTATGTTTTATTTCAATTATCCTTTTATTCAATGGCATAACATCACGCCTTTTATCCCTGTAGTGGTAGCCACAGACAGAGGTGCACATTACGGCACTTAATGCCACTGTACAATGTAACATCCACTTTTCAGTATTTATGTTATGAGACCCATGTAATAGGGGGTGAGCCTATATTCAACGAACCAACTCTATTAGAGGAGAGTCATAGTCTAGCTAGAAGTGGACGCGCATGATGATGATTCTAATCCTGGTTCATGGTTTCTGCTATTGAACATTTCAATAATCGTAAAGACGCAAATCCCAATTATACAAATTCATTTGCAAACATAAGTACATAATATACAGGGTGTCCAAAAGTCGTGGATCAAACGCAACTAGGGGTTAGATGGGGTCATCAGCTGCAAAAAGTTGTTCTACGGGAAGTCCATAAGGTCAACCCCTGCAGAGTTATAATTTATTTTGTATTTATGAAAAAATTGACTTTTCTAAACTAATTCTTATTAAAATTCGAAAAAATCTACATTCTGTCTGTATCTTTTTTATAATAGATAATATTAAGTTTTACGGTTTTTATTTTCCTCAAATCATACCTAACCTTTAATGTAAATTCGAAGGGTTCGATATATATTGGACCCCATTCTGAAAAAAAATACTCTACCGTAAAGTGACCCTGTACTGTATTACAAGTTTTGACGCATTTAATAGGGATTCTGAATTCCTATAAAATTCCTGCCCCTGACCATATTACATAATCTGTACCGTTACCGTCTAATAAAATTCTTACGTACCTAACCTACGGAATGCACCTCTGTTGTTAGTAACTTGTACCCTAACAAATTCGAGCTTTTGTCGTAGCTCTTGTTTACTATTTCTTTAAAATAACCCCAAAGAAAAATTGGATTTAAGTTGGGCGACCGGGGTGGCCACGCAACATGTCCGCCTCGACCAATCCACCGGTTGAGGCAGCGCTTGTTCAAATGATATCTAACTGCGCGAGTGTAGTGAGGCGGGGCGCCATCATGTTGTAGCTACATTTCTGCTATTATTTCTTCTGGAATTTCAGCTTTGTTAAAAATATGGTTTAAATTAATTAGCAAAAAATTAAAATACCGTGCCTCTTTAGCCTTGCTGGCATTTCATGCAGCACCTACTGCAGGCCAATTATACCAGCCCACATGTTAATACCAAACAAATGCTGAAATCGATCGTTTCACATGATATGGAGGTTCACTCTAGAGTAAAAATGTAGATTGTGGATATTGAATACTCCCATTCTTTTAAAAGTTAACTCCTTCGTCCATAAAACCTTGTTGAAAAACTGTAGCTATCCTCTCTGTGGTATCTTACCATCTCTCTGCAAAACCGCACTCTAGGTTCATAGTCACCGGTCAGCCTAGTGACCTTACTACGATAAATCATCCTTGAAAGATATTTGAACCACTCACGGCCATGTGTAAAACCTTTTTAGAATCCCTATTAAATGAGCCAAAACTTATCGGTCACTTTACGTTTACGGTAGAGTATTTTTTTTTCACAATGGAGTCTAAAGTAATTAAAAGGTTATGATTTGAGGAAAATTAAAAATTGTAAAACTTAATATTATTTTCAACACACCCAATAAACAACCATAAACAGGATGTCTAAAGCAAGGACTCATCAGTACCTACCAATCTAGTGAAAATTATAGAAAAGAATATGTAGATATTTTCGAATTTTAATAACATAACATAACATCACGCCTTTTTTTTATATCACGCCCGAAGGGGTAGGCAAAGGTGCACATTATGCTACTGTACAATGTAACACCCACTTTTTACTATTTATGTTATGAGTCCCATGTAATAGGGGGTAAGCCTATTGCCATATACCGAGCACAATACCAGACTCCGTGCTACTACTGAGATTTTTTTTAAAACCCAGTGTAATACTTTGCATGGCCCGGGAATCGAACCCGAGACCCCTTGCCTGGCAGTCGTATTTGCGACCACTCGGCCAACGAAGCAGTAATTTTAATAAGAATGAAAGTTGACCTTAAGGACCTCCCGTAGAACAACTTTTTGCAGCTGATGACCCCGTCTAACCCCTACTAGCGTTTGATCCATGACTTTTGGACCACCCTGTACAGGTGTTAACAAGGTTTATAATTTCTCCATATTTTGCCTTCACTTGGCATGCAAAATATGGTATAAAAATAATCCTTACTATCCTTACTAATAATATTATGAATCGGAAAGTGAGTTTGTTTGTTTGTTCCGCTTTCGCCATAACACTATACGCGCCATAACTATTGAACCGATTGCTTTGAATTTTTGCAGACGTAAAGTTAGAAGTCCGGATTAAATAATAGGGTGCTTTTTATCCCGGGAAAATTTGATATTCCCGAGGGAAAACAAAAGTATTGGTATAGATGGCGCTGTGTGTATTGGTATCTATGTCACGTAGGCTACTTTTTATCCTTTTGTGACGCGAGCAAAGCCGCGGCTAAAAGCTAGTTATATAATAAAATTAGGTCCATGAGTTGAATTAAATATAATGTTAGAATACAGTAATGTCAAAGAAATTAGAATTATTGATACCACTGAAGTCTCCACTGGAGTCTGAACAACTCAAATTATACACTACTCCTATTTTTTTGGGAATATGTTTTGAAATAAAACTACTAAATGGAATGTAAAAAAAGTATATATTGTTGTATGTTCTCTTAATCTAAAAAAAGACTTACAAAATAAGTAAATACCTAAGTGTAATTATTATATTATATTAACTTTTTTCTGATCTTTTGTAACACATAAATAATCACTTAACTCGGGGCATGCTTCACTGGCCTCAGCATTTTCCTTAGGTTTGTTATCACTGTCAGTACTTAGATGTTTATTGAAAAACAAATTTTCTCGAATGCAAACTTCTTTGAAATAAGCAATCTCATCGGAATTGAAGCATGAAGGTATTGTTATCTTGGATTCTTCATCATTACTTTTGAAGTTTTTAATAAGGTCGTCTACTTCGTGTTTAAATTCATCAGTGATAGATGCAGGCAGTTGGACAAGTTCAATATGTTTCTTAGTTTCCTCACTTTCCTGCCACTGTTTCATTAGCAAGGCATATTCTGCTTCCATTTCCTTATTTCCAGGTTGCAATTTCATTGCTTTTTTAAGTCTTATCTGTGCCTCAGGATAACTTTTAATCATTCTAAGAGATTTGGCATTTTGGAACAGCACTTTGGGGTTATTCCATAAGCTCCCCAATCTGTTCAGCTCGTTACAAGCGGTGCATGCAAAGAGAGGTTTATTGATCTTATTATAACAAACAACCAGGTTAATATATAACTTTTTTAGTAATTTTTCTTGAACAGCTTCTTCCTGCTCGTCGGCAAGGCGGCAACGATGTAGCATGTTTACTGCCCTCTTGAACAATTGAATGGCTCCATAGTAATTGTTTGTTTTAAATAGTGAAGTCCCAGAGACTGTTAACATTTTAACTTCATGATTGACCCGTTGGAACATATTTGATTCGGAGAAGTTAATTTTCCTGTAAAGAAATTATATTGATAAATATTACGTAAACTGTACATTAAAGTTATTAAGAAAGTGTATGGTCAAGAGGTACCCATTAACACTGACCCTTGTTTTGGTGTCAAAATACTCTTAATTAGTTTGATATAGAATACACAATCTGCTTTAGGCTTGATTCTGGGTGGAACTCCCATTTCTCCATACATTACTTTGTAGGAGCATAGAAAAACTGATGTTTCACCGACAAGCATAGTTTTGATTGCAAACTGCAGACCCGGTAATAGGCCATTGTCACTTAAATCCACTTCCTGTAAAATTATAAAAAAATATGTTAAAGGTGTAAGGAAGCAAGCATTTTTTTTTTGCTATGAAACAAAATGCACTGTATGTTCGAGAATATAGTATGAATTGACAAAAACTTCTGACTTTACAGTACAGTCATCCTAGTAGTTTTTAATATAAATACTTATAAAATAATTATCTCCATGCCCCAGAACAACAAACTTTATAACATCAAATCAAAAATATTAGATTTAACTTTTTGTGATCTGAAGTAAACATTACAGGTTTATATCATTTCATCATTGATCAGACAAATAGAGGGTATAAGGAAAAAACATTTACAACTCACCATAGGCTTTTTTAAGGGCACAAGATCAAATGGCTCCTGTTGATTTTCCCAATAACCAGAATAGGCAATAAACACAGTGCAACCATCATGAAGAGGTAGACCACCTCCTTCAACAATTATTTTCTTTTTAACATGTTCAGTTTCTTTAATGGTCTCTAATTTTTCCGAGAATGCAGCAAAATTTGATACTGCCTGGCCAAGAATATCAACTTGTGGTGCCAAATCATCATTGTTTTCTTCTGCTTTCAAATCGTCTTCATCGAATTCTTGGTTGATCTGTAGAATTGATCCAGTAGTTACAACCTCCCTGAAATGTTAAAGCAAAATGAGGGTAATCGTTACAAACGGTAAGTAATAGTTTTAGTTATGGTGTGTTATTGACAAAAATCTTGAAAATCTGGAGAACTAATTGTTTAGTTACTTATTGTGTAGACTCACAAAAAAATGAATAAATTAGGTAATGAAATCCTAAATAATTTTCATCACAAATACACTGTTTAGTTTTTTTTGTTTATCTACCTCAAATCCAGACCGTTTTCTAACATAAAGCTCAATTTATCTGCACTCATTTTGCGGTCACAAGATTTACTGTTTGAAGAGTTAGATATTTTTCGAAGCTGACACCAAATAAATAACCTACTTTTTAGTCAAACATGCAACAAACCGACACACACCATTGAAACCATTGGCCATTGAATATTCAATATTTTGATTTGATTATTTCTATTTGACAATTTGACATTGACAATTTGTTCTATTTGACATAATTGTATTTTATGTCAATAACGACACCTTTTTTAATAAACACAACCTGGATACCATACTTTTGACCTTTTTCTTCTTAGTTGAATGGAAAGGAAAAGGAAAGGAAACGTTTGGCCAGTTAGCCAGTGTCTCATCAATGATGCAGTACTAGCCTATTATAGAAGCTTGCTAAACAAAACTGAGTTATCTGAGGGCTACAATCGAATACACTCACGATCCATATTTATAACTCCTTCCATATTTTTAATACACAACGATAAATATAATTTTCCAAAATCAAAGAATGTGCATTCTTATCATAATCACTTAATTCGAGATACAATTCGTATGTGATCAATAGGTACTTATTGTTCATATTTCAGATAGATCGGGATAAGGTTCATGTTTTCAACGTCCTTGGGCAGGAAAAAGATGATAATTTTACGTGTAGGACTTACAATAAAGTTAAAAATCTATTGCGATTGGAGTAGGTTTGATGGCTGATGTCAATATTTATCTTGTCCACGGGAGGGTCAAACAAGGAATTCCTTAGACTTATACCTACTACATTATGAATATGCAACGAAAACTCATCAAAATAAAAATACATAAGTATTTTATGTAGGTGTGTAAGTACCTACTAGGTATAATTTTTAACAAAAATATTATTTATACACTAATATAACGGACATAGCAAGATATAATACATACACATTATTATTGTAGTTAATATTATTATGCAACATATTATGAAAACTGAGCATGTTCATGGCTTATTATTATAACTTACAGTACTAAAATTTTGAAACACAAACACCAAGTTAAGACGTGATGCTCTGAGAATCACTTGCATCCATTGAGTAGTTGTTTATTTTAACACATCCATAAAAAAATCTAGATTTTCACTCATCGTCGTTAAGTTTGTTGTTGATGGTTGTGCACATTTGCCCATCCAGAGCCGACGACAGCCTTGACATTGATGACTGTATAAGAATTTCTGAATTAGCGACCGTAGCCACGCATCGGCTTCAAGCATTTGGCGATCCACGCGAGCAAGATCTTCCATTTACTTCATATATTTTCTCAAAACTGCGATATAAGATGAAATGAGGTCATCCATTTTGTATCCCAAAGAGGTTTCACATAGAATTTTAGTTCCTCGCAAGAAGTTGCCCATGGTCATGTGGAAGAATGTGTTTCCTGACGACCAGTTGGAGAGTTGGGAGAACGGATGAGTGACTAATATGTCCTGAAAAAACAAAAATATCATATCAATAATTAATTTAGGTAGACGTACTTTCAGAACTTCTAGCTCTTAGATTTCAAATTAAGAGCTATTACTGGCAATTGGTGGAAACAAAACAATGCCTACTTTCCTGACCCAGGATTCAACCCTATAACCCCTCGCCTATCAGTCCAAAGTAGACATAGAAAAAACAGTGTCACCAATACTTACTCGACTCTGAGGATGAATAACACAGACTCCATTCTTGTTGATCCCAATAACTACCATTTCTGGGTAAGACGGGTCAGAAGTTTGCTTAACTTCAAAGAATGCAGTACCAAACGTAGGCAGTAAATAGATCTTCTTCAAAAACTGTTCTTTCGCCTCATTTTCAGTCATATTACCCTGTTCCATGTAGGCCTTTTGGATAGCTGCTTTCCATTGTGAATTATTCTGGATCCTGATCATATCTGACGGAATATAGTCTTGAAGCGATTGTGTGATTTGTGGAAGCATGGTCTGATCAGTGCCATATCTAGATCTGTAGACCAATGCTGCAAATTCTGCTAGATCCTGTTTAGAAGTTTTGTGGTAACCTCTCAAATATTTCGGTAACTCTTGCGGGAAATAGAATATCTGGTCTGCATTCTTATCTCGGCCTGGCATTGTGTTGATCCAAAGTTTCTTCATAAAGAATATTTGGTAGTTCATCTGCATTAGTATACCTATAAAGAAGAAATAAAAGTTTTAAATCTAATTAATTTTTATCCACATCATATACCTGTTTTCCTTGGCACAATTAATTTTCGCTAGTAGTTCAGAGGACTAGTTTGTTTTGCGTTTCGATCTCGTTAAAAGTTATTAGCCCCACTGTGAGTGCGCGAGTGCAGCGAGACGTCGGCCAATACCCGTCCCAGAAATAATAAAACTAAATAAATTAAAACTTACCACCACGAACAGGTCGCGTCGCCTTCATCCATTCCACTAGCTCATGAATGAAATCAAAGAAGTAATAATTTTCTGGTACTGAGAACACTTTATCGGCTATCTTGACGAACAAGCTGAATCCATCACTGTTCTTAAGGTTTAATCTTCCAGTGATTTGTTCGCAGAGCTCCATTGCTTTAGTTGAAGATTCTACTTCGAAAGCTTCATCAGTGTCGTCAGGTAAGTAGACCTTATGGTATATCTGCATGCTCCTATGTTGTATAGCTTCTACTTCGACTATGTATGGGGGATACATCCTAGCACCCTTCTTCTGTGTCTTGAACACGCGTTTCAAACATTCTTTAGCAATAGGGTGCGGCCGAGTCTTGAGGAAGTCCACTAGTTCTTTGAGAAGCGTTTGTCCGCATGCAAAGTTTCCTGTAACTAGCCACATGAGTTCCCACCCTCTTTCCTCACTCAATTGTATTCTGTTGTTCGTCAGCTGTTTCATTATCTGACAGTAGATTTCATCTCTTAGATTAAGGTCTTTCACAGCGTTCTTAAATATTTCGTCCGTGTATTCAGTGACTGTTCTAGCTTTAGGAGCTGGCATATCGCCCATGTATTTGAGGATGGCAAAGAATGCTGATATTGCTGCCTTAGAACTCTTCTCATCACCGATTAGTTTCTGCAATAATGGCTTTCTTAGCGGTTCTCTACTATGACACCATAGATCGCCAGCAACGGATTTCTTGGCAGTAGTTAACGTTGGTATTCTAGAATATGTAGCATTAATATCATAATTTTCTCTGAAATGTTGTTTAGCATAATTTTCAAGTGTGTGCATTTTCTTTCTTTGAATTGTGTTGAATTTCGAAAGGCTCTTCTTTTCAGTATTAATGTTGCCCTTTTTAAATACTTCGAGAATGGTGTTGGATGGCATTTCCAGTGTGGGTAGGATGTAGACTTGTTCGGTTGGGAATAGTCCCTCTTGACCATTGCAAACACCATGTCCCCAAGTAGTGTTGGTTAGGTTCTCTCCCTTAAAATCTTGCATAAGTACAATCAGATCTCCTTTCTTAAACTGAAGGAAGGATGAAGCGTCGCTGTAACCCTGTAAGTCAGACTGTGCGACTACGTAAATAGACCTTCTCTTCAAACCATCGATCATGTATATTATTAGCGAACTCATTTCACTAGCATCGACGCTTTGGAACTCGAACTCTTCTTGTTGGATTGTTCTGATTGTAATCCTACCGATACTATCGTAATCCTTATCTGCATTGTACGCGACGTATGTTACTTCAGGATAGGATATTTCTAGAAGTATATGTTCTTGTTGATCAACGATGTAAATTCCAGTCCAGTTGACTGCTATGATCACTAAATCTTTGTTAATAGTATCTCCTTTAAGTTTAATAGCTTCAAAGAATCTAGAGAATAACATTGGCCATTTTAATTTAGCAAATATAACAATGTCTTCCTTACATCTAAGAGGATCTATTTTACTTTGAATACTTGTGGAATTTTCGAATGCTTTGGTTACTAAATGTTCCCATTTTGTCAAAGCAGCGTCGTTCGATTGAAGGAATTGGTTCGGGATGTAGTTGACGATGACTCTCCTCAAAATGTTAGGGTCTATAGTGGCCCCGAACTCAACATAGTGTTGTTGGGCCGCGATCATGGCTAAATCTTTTTCTGAGTTACATCTGTACTCGCCGTATTTAACTCCTTTAATTACTTGGTGGTATATAAGACTAGTGGCTACCGCATCGTCGGCAGGGTTGTGCCATGGAGTAAATACTTCTTTTCTGAAAAATAGTCTCCACGGTGCACTCTTTTCTGGCGTTCCTTGTTCTTTAGCGAACTGTTCACATTGTGAAATAGCGTCTAGTATGTGTTCTTTCTCACTGCCTAGGGATAGAACTTTGTCATATAGAGTAATGTATAACGAGAAACCGAATGAATCTGTAAGTCCTATACTTTCAGCTATCTGCTGGCAGATTTCTTCAGCATTCGAAGCGGAGTCTGATTGGACAGTCTTCGTGGATTCGTCCATTAATGTCACCGTAAGTAATATTGGTTTCTTTGTTTTTGTAGCTTGAAGTTCAAGCCAGCTTGGCGGTTGAGTACGTGGACCGTTCTTGAAGGTCCTTACGAGTCTACCTTCACAGTAAGGGGCGTATCCTGGTGGGCCATCACGAATGAAGGCGCGTAGATATTTCACGAATCTCTCGGATGGTGGGAAGCAACCGACGCAGAGCGAGAGTAGAATCCAACCCCGAGCGTGTGATGCCTTCGATGGGTTGTTAGTCAGTTGTTTACATAACTGGCAGAATATCTCATCTCTGTAATGAGAAAAATGATTATAAGTAAAACACGAGATGGGCATACATTAAATGATAGTACTTACTAAAATTGTATGACAAGGGCACGGACCAAGAGTCCGTGGAGAATTAAGATGTAATATTAAGAAAGTTATAGTACTTCATTTATGTTAGCAGTAAAAAATAATAAACTTAGACATAGTTTAAGTTCCATATCTTTTTACAATTATATTGTTGAATCCTATCAAGGTTTCTTACTAGAATGTATACGTATAAATAACCTAATTTTGTAGTTTACAATCAAATTATAGGCAGGCTTACATATTTTTAACAAATAGTGTAAAACTTACCTGAGTTCTTTCCTAATGATACCATGTCCAATGATAAAGTGTAATTTCTCCAAGTTAGTGCTTCGTCGGGAATTGAGCCAAGTGCCGTACATTTCACTGGTCACTTCGTCATTCATCAGGTTCTTCATAAATTCATCATCTAATTTCGATCTCTGTTTCAGTGTTCTCGACATAAGTTTGTTCCTATCATTCGTTGAGAGATCGCCTTGCATATATTCCTAGAAAATAAATAAAAATATAGCGATACAAACATAGACTCACTCTGTCATTTTCTGTCGATGGATATGGATGCTGAAGATGATCTTTCAATAGTAATATCGAATAGCAGTTTGGTAAGTCTATGTATTACACATTTTATGAAGTTCAAACTGAGCTTCAAAACTCTTATGTTATGTTAATGTTATCTCAGAGCAGGGTTTTATTTTTACCAGGAGTTGAAACTATAAACGCTAGAAAGACTACAGATGTCTTCTGACCCATTTTAAAGTGTACTTACATGAAACTCTTTGCTCTTCTGGAAAGCTCTACCAAGAGTATCAGCTATATTCGACATAACAGGCACATTGTCCACTTTATCATCAACATACTTCGGTTCCGCCATGTCACCCATGAACCGTAGAATAGTGATCCATAAGGCCTGGGCTGCTATCTTGTCCACCGGTAAGGGCAAGTCCAATAGAGGATGCTTCAAAGCCTTTCTGGAGTACTGATGAGTAGTATTTCCTAAGAAATATGTAGCAGCAAACTTTCTAAAGTTGTACTCATCGAATGGTTCATCATCCATGTCCTGCGTTGGCATCGGAATTACCGACGAAAGCGCCGGTCTGGCGGCCTTCGACTGAAAAAGGAATATTAGTCAATTCAAATTCAATCTTATCACCTAAATCTTAAGGTTGGTTATCACTTACCCCTCCATCGTCTCTGACTGTGCCTGTGTCCTTAAGGAAACCGAAGACGTCATCAAAGAATTTTTCTCCTACAGGTTCAGTATTATGTTGTACATTATCCGACTGTGCATCTTTCAGGAACCATACGGATCTAATCATATTATTGTATTTGTTCTCGTAACTATCTCCCGCAGTTTCTGCACCTACACCAGACGCTATTTGTTCTTCTCTCTCTTTGTGCAGCTGTACCAACATTACCTTAATTAAATGGCCCTTTTCTCTAACCATTTTCCTAATAACAAAACCCTTGCAGTACGCTTGTATCTTTCTGAAGAAGACTCTCATATTTATGAAGGTCTTTCTCAGTTCTCTTGATCTGATAGCGGCTTGCATGCGTGAGTATCCTCGTCTCATGATGAGGTATTTACTCCTGTAACCACGGGCGCGGTACGTCTTCTGTATAAGAAGAGCAGCAGCCCGTAGTCTCAAGAACCTGTTTCTATAAATGAATCTTCTTGCATTCGCTTGTACTTTGATCACCGCTGTTATTAACACCTTATGCCTAAGTTCTTCAAGGCGGGCATCATGATAATCTTTGAGGAATACTTTCGTGTGTCCAAAACGATAGTCGTCGTCAGTGAAGACGTGAGCGCATATTTTCTTTGCAGCACTCACACAGTCAGTTTTCTCAGCTGGTGGAATTCCCGGGGCGACCAACCGGTAACGATGGACGAAATCTTTGTACGCATACCGTATAGGGTAGCCAGCTTGTCTTATTTTCGCTGTCTCCATTAGACCAGCATATCGTAGTTGTCGAACGCATAACGCTTTGTCCAAGATCTGTAATAGAACACCACTTTATTATTCGTGGGTCCATGTTTAAATAGTTTTGGTGGTTTTGTCAAATCACTTACCTTAGGTTTTTTGAACTCATTGGGCTTAATGCATCTAACAAAGAACGGATGACAAGCATACAAAGTCTTCATCAAAGAATCAAGAGAAGTTTTGAACTGGTGACTCAATGAGACGGTCTTCCTACTCCCACTTTGAGTTGGAGCATACTCAGTTAAGAAAAGATTCTTCAAAAATTCGTTACTTGAATCCAACAACATTTCTTTTACATCTGCTGTTAACATGTCTCTGTTTTTGTCGAGGAAACCTGTAAAAAATTAACATTTTTATTTTGCATCTTTGCAACTAAGCTGCCTGCAAAAAATACATAATATATTCTTAACTTACCTTGTACTGTATAAGACACATCTCCAGCAAAATGTCTGATACCAAACTTATACTCCCTTGAAGATTTAGGAGTAATATAACAGCTCTTGTTGCTATGATTGCTATTCAACTTAGAGAGCAAAGTGACATCAGTACCCTTAGGGAACCTAGACTCCTCATCAATCAGAGACAGTAAATTCATGGCCTTCATACCTATCACATCTAAATTCTCTTGATTATCCACATAATTGATATTAGTCCATTGAATGCCCTCTTTCGCATATTGTTCTTGTTCAAGTTTAAAAATGTGTTTCACAAAGAACTGCTGTAAGTTTTCATTGGCGTAGTTAATGCACAGTTGTTCGAAACTATTGAAATCAAAATTTTCAAACCCGAAAATGTCTAAGATTCCCACAGATCCACTGGTCACTTGTTGATCTTTGAACAGTGTTTTGTTTATCATTTCGACTATGTATTCGAAAATATGACCGTATATAGCTTTTACCAGCGCGTCTCTACCTTCAACCGCAGAGGCAGCGTTTAATGGAGAAACTACTTTTTCTCCGTGAGCTACGAATGTTTTCCTAGTCAGAGCTTCACATAGCCTCAGTTTAGTAACTCCCAAAAGATTAGCAATCCTATTAGCAGCAGCATTATCAGGGATTTCAGATGCCTCCATGTTGTTCGAACTAGTCGATTTGATTTTTAAGTTTCCTAAATGGAGAATAGCGGCTAGAAGACTAAATGTCCCCCAAACTTCATGATCAGGGAAATTGAGAACTTTGAAAGCGGATCTTATGTCGTTGAACTCTAAGCCATCATTACGTCCATCACAGGTCAACATTTTTCCAGAATTCAAGTAATTGTAATCTTCTGGACGACCTAATTCCAATCTTTTCTTTTCATCTGCTGACAGTCCAGTGACAAGAGAATAAAAAATATGGTAGTTTCTTTCGCCCTTATTCTGGAAGACGATTCTAGATTTTTCAAGAAGATACTGCTCAATGTTTCCTCCTTCAATAATACCTTGTTTGCTAAAATAGATGTTTACGTATTTGCCGAATCTAGACGAGTTGTCATTCCTCACAGTCTTGGCGTTACCGAAAGCTTCAAGAATGGGATTTGTCTCTTGGATTTGCTGTTCAATCCAGGAATGTTTGCCACTGGCTGCGGCCAAATACTGAAGTAACAATTTTGTACTTTCTGTTTTACCGGCACCACTTTCTCCACTAGAAAGATTAAGAAGAAAAAACTTTATCATCATACAAGTTAGCTTACATTTTTTTTTATTTTGATGTCTATTTACAAAAAGAATAAAGTTGTAAATCTATTAAATAAAATTGACGTAATGGGGTAGTTTAATGTTTTGGTATTTGTTTATAGGTATTCATTAAGGACTTTATCGTGCGCCTCGTATAAAATATATTTTACATCATCAAGTAGCTACAGAGCTACAGATAAAAATTGATTAAATTAGGAGATATGAACATACATTATGTTTTATGGACTGTAATATCCGGTTCGACAAAAACATATTGTACTAGCTAGGTACACTGATATTGTCTGCTTCTGTTTTTGGACACGCAATCAGATATGGGTTTTTAAAACAAATGTTTTTACACTTTTGTTTATAAGACTACTTTTCCTGGATGCGTGTAAAAACGAAAATAGGATTAAAGTTTTAACTGTTGTGATTATTTTAGGATTGGTCTTGGTAATCCATTAAGTTGTCTATAGTTCTAGATGAAGTAAGTAAGTACCTAATTAAGTATATGACTGAGGTGCGTATCGATTATTGATTTTAGCACACTCTTTTCCTCTCAAAAGACAGGTGACAGTTCTCAACACAGCCATTCGCATTTCCTTCTAAAATTCCTTACGCCTTATCATCCGAAATCTAGTCTATCAGCATAATGCCATTATATTCCGTCATAAATGAGTAATACATATTTACTTTATCATTACCTGATTACGATGCACTGGTTCAACGATGTATCCAATAATTCTCTATAGGAATTATCACCGATAGCAAATATATGAGGCGGTATTTCCCCCAGGCTCCTTTTCTGGTAATAATGTATTTGATCCATCGTGTATATGGGTAGAATTTCATACGGGTTTATTGCTATCAACATTGAGCCTGTATATGTCTGAAACAAGGATAGGTATTTTGTTTTATATTTATTAATATTCCCCGAGTCCTGAATTCTCGTATAACTGCTAAAACATTTCGGAAATGTCTTAGGGACTCCATAACATTCTGTATCCATAGAGCGTCTCGTCGTCGAGGGTAGAGTGGAGTGCCCAAGAACACGCAGACGATTGCCGATAAACGTAAAGACGACTTTGGGCATGCCTTTGCATGAGTGCACTAAAATATCAGTCGGGAGTAGAGCAGTCGAGAGATGGCGGTCACTCTGTCTAGAGTTAACACGGCTGAGAAAAAACATTTTTAAATGTTATTTTACGTAAAAAATAAATGTGTGTAGGTACCCATATTAAAATCTAGGTCTATCTATCTATATTTAAAACATGAGAAATTGATGTCGATAATTATCAATTTTTATCACGTATGCGTCGCCCGTAAGCGCACATAAATACCAAATAATAATATTATGAAGAACAACAACAGAAATGGCAGATGCTTAAAGGCGAGTATAAGGAAGTTAATACACCTACGGCCTACGCTATTTTGCAATCACCTCTGGTTATGACTGTAATGCCAACATGAAAAAGGCCTGAAGAAATGAGCTGTTAACGTCGTCTTTGAGGGTATACCTATGAAGGTAAACGCACACTTATCCGAGCCGAACGCTTCGAACGAGTGAAACAAAAGAACTTTGAAATTCCACGTCGAATTGTCCGAATCCGAAATGTGTGTGTTCGAAAGGTTTCATGAATGTTCGACACGTTCGGCTCGGACAAGTGTGTACCAACCTTAAGTAAGAGATACCTAATTGTCATTCTTACTTCTCACACCTAAAGAATTCCAAACTTTTTACCTACATCCTACATTCTACTAGGTGCTATTAGTATAGATAAAGATAGGATCACTTACGTATATCAGCTGTTTGGAGTACCGCATATGAAGATTATGAAGGATCGTATACTCTTGCAGTTCGCCCAGTGTGATCATGTCTTCCACTCCTTGTACTGACGTCGAGTGTAGCGGTTTGAGGACATTTTGTATGGACGTAGAGAACACGTTGCCATCATGATCCTTTACTTCGATTCTGTCACCGGCACTCTTTAGAACCTTTACTGCTATTGGCACATCGAATTCCGTCTTACCTATCGGCCTCACCCAGACGAAGTCCTGTAAACACAGAATATGGTGTTAATTAGAAAATAATTTTAGATCGTTATGTAAGTGAATACGAATGTGAACGACAAACTAAGGGTAGGTACTTAGTAGGAAGGCAATTGGAAGGTCTCCTATCATAACATGAAAGATAGGTCTGTAAAAATTTGCCGCTGTAGACACCTAGCCCAGTGGGAATCGTAAACAAATTATTTTTGAAAACAGGACGATGCCAGTTTTTGGGTCAATACCTTCATCATATCTTACGTGAAAACTATAGTAGGATAGTTCCTTAATCCAGTTATCTAAGTGCTAATCCTGGATATAGGTACCTACCTACTAATGCTTTTTACCAACGTAATTTCAGTCTTCAGACGAAAGTAGGATGGTAGATAGGATATTTACAGACTTATTATCCAAACAATAAAGTCTACAATACATGATGATAACACCATTTATAACAAGTACCTACATCTAGTTTCTACCTAGACGTAGGTACTAACTACTTAAAGTATTATGGTTACGCTGCAATAATAAATAGGAGCTATTGGAACATGTGGAACCCTTGTGTCACAACAGACAAACAGATTTTGGTTATCTAAAATCATTCATCATTTGGGACGTGGAGAAACTGATCTAGATACTTAAGTGGTTGAACTACCTATCTAATATTTTGTATGGTAGATAAGTATCTACTTACCGACAAGGTAACACGGTCTGCCATCTTGGATATTTAAGAGATTCACCCCACAAAAATTTAGTTTACCACCATTTTCACAACCATAGATTCCGCGTGACGCTTTTACAAAGACTGTCGAATTTTATCAATATTTCGGCTTTGTCTTATCAATGTCTGATAAGTTGTAAGTTATCGTAAATATTTCTAGATATCAACCAAATGGCTATCATACTTAAATATGTGTAGATTAACGATTTCAATAATTAACACAAAAAATTGATGTTCTTTTGTTGTTCTGTAATCCGCTTTTGCGATTTGGATTAATCTTTTTATTTCTTGTCGACGACCTATTGCAAGTAGGTCACTTTACCTACTGATAGTAAAAGTGTTGGCATCTAAATCGTGGTTGCAGTTCATATTTTACTTAAAGTTTGTCCTTAGCATTTTCTGACTTTTTATGTGCCAATAATGATTGATAAGAACTTGAGATAATTAAGCAGTAATAATACTTTTTCCTCATAATTAGGTAGGTACATATTAACAGATATAACTGAAACTGAATTAAAAATGCATGCGACTAGCAATTTTCTGTTTTAACTAAAAATCACAAGTTACTCACGTAAATATACTGAGAAAAGCTCTACTATTTTTTTAGTTCATTCAGGGTCTCACAAGTTCTAAAAAACAGTTCTGTTTGTTAAGAAATGCATGCATAACTAAAGATTATTATATTGGTTCGAAGAAGCATTATCGACAACAATCAGATTGATTTTAATCAAAATGATTACTGCAATTGTTTCATTAAAAAGTTATGAAAAAGACTGCCTCGTTGGCCGAGTGTTCGCAAGTGCGACTGCCGGGCAAGGGGTCTCGGGTTCGATTCCCTGGTCGGGTAAAGTATTACTGGGTTTTTAAAAATTTTCAGTAGTAGCACGGAGTCTGTAATTGTGTCCGGTATATGGCAATAGGCTCAAACCCTATTACATGTGACTCATAACAAATAGTGAAAAGTGAGTGTTACATTGTACAGTGGAATAATGTGCACCTCTGCCTACCCCTTCGGGGATAAAAGGCGTGATGTTATGTTATGTTATGAAAAAGAGGATTTAATGTTGACTTCAATGTCTTATTCAAATAAATTATATGACTATTTCATTTTACTTTGAATATTAAATGTAAGTATTTTAAATCATAAAATTTTGGTATCACCAATTTTGTGAATACAAGAATATAAACGACAAGCTTTTTTACCTTAATATCCTATCTCTCAAAATGTAAAGAAAAATAAACAATTGAATTAGTAAATACAATTTATTTAAAAATAATTCAGCATTACAAACAACTTATTCTAATGACGATTCTAAATTACTTTTTCTTTTCATCCTTTTCTTTCTTATCTTTTGTTTTATCGTCCTTCTTGTCGTCCTCCTTGCCATCCTTGCCTTCTTTCTTTTCCTTATCTTTTTTCTCTTTTTCATCTTTCTTTCCTTCCTCTGCATCTCTGTTTGTAATCTTGTTGTTAATCAGATTATGTAGAGCAATGATAGACCTCACAAGAGCAGCCAAGTACACCACAAGAGACTGGTCATTCGTTTTAATGTAGAGGTTATCAATAAAGCTATCATTAGCTATGTCTGGTAGAAGGTTGAAGATGTCCTGCAACTGGTAAATGATCTGATGGTTCATTGGCAAGGAACCTTGCCCTACTTGGACAAGGTAGTCTCTAATCTCACTTAGTTGGGAGTGCAACCCCTTCAGACCAAGCAACTGGTTAGTGATCCTCTGAGACAGACTACCAACAGTGGTATCCTTGATGTCTCTTAGTAAATGTTCTACGCCAACTTCTTCAGCCTCTTCAGCACCAATTTCACTGGGTACATGTTCAAATGTTCTTGTTGTTGGTGAACCATCATCATGGACCTCTTCAACTGCTTGGTAAGCTTCAGTAGGGAGGCCTAGATCTTTTGGTTTGGCATCAATGATGACAAGGACTGAGTTAGGGCAGTAACGCCTAATCAGCTCATTGATAGCTACATCATTCTGATGTAGTTTGGGACCAGTGTGGTACCAGCCCACTACCTTCTCCCTGGCATTGACCTTCTTGAACATTCCATACATGTTCTCTAAGTAATCATGGTCGAGGAACCACACAGATTTGTCTTTGTCATCCTCATCGAATGGTACTGGAAATAGACAAAAATACAAATTAGAATCTTCATAGGTATGGACTGCATTCTTTTTCATCATTATTCTAATTGATATGGTAACTTATGCACAAACTTTAACTATGTTTCAGGAGTATTTTTATCTTTTGACTCACCAACTTGCTTACTAGCTTTGTTTACATTTTTCATTATAAAAATCGAGATATTTTCACGAGGTGCCAGTTTATTAGTTGTAAATGGTTAAAGCGTCGACAATGCAACGAGTGGTACAGAATTTCACCAACATATAGAGTGATAAGTGGAACATCTTTGTTAAAACAATACATTTTTATTACTAAACTAATAAGTGAGGAATTTACCTGCAAAACTGTTGGAGACGTCCAAGACTCCTTTGGCTCTCCAGCAACCCAGCAAAACGCCGACAACTCGCTTTTGGTTACCTATTTTACCCATACGATTGAAATGGTCCACCACACTCAGTAAGACCAGAGGATGAACCACAACTTTTGTGGTTAAAACTTCTTGACTCGGCATTTTGAATGGAGTATTTTTGTACAGTAAGTAGCAATGTCTGCTTTTTAACAGCAAATAAGACAATAATAACAATTATTAACAACTACAATTCGCTCAAAATCTACAAACTAATGATTTTTGCCAAGCGGCAATCAAAACTAAAATTTGACAGTCATTATAAAAGTTAAGGTTGTCTTTGCTTCCAATTGTCTATGTGGTATGATGGTAGAATTAAGCTACTGATATTCTCGCATTTATCAAAAATTGACCATTGTGACATATGTCAATATGTGTCAACGTCAAACGCTAGCTTTTAAAAAGTGTCAATGTCAAAACGTTTTCAAAACAATAACCATTTCAATTTCAAAAGTTTTTGTATAATTCTGTATAAATATCGTATTTTTAAGTGATTAAATAAACACATTACTACACATCATTTATTGATAACTTAACTTCGTTGTACAATATCGTATAAAAATGTCACACCGAACCATAACCTTCGTCACTGGCAATGCTAAAAAACTGGAAGAGGTGAGAGCTATTTTAGGGAGCAATTTTCCTTTGGAAATAATTAGCCACAAACTAGATTTGCCAGAGCTTCAAGGGGAGATAGATGAAGTATCTATAAAGAAATGTCAAGAAGCTGCTAGACAATTGAAGAGGCCCGTGGTGGTAGAAGATACGGCCCTCTGTTTTAACGCATTGAAGGGTCTTCCGGGGCCATATATCAAGTGGTTTCTAGAGAAACTAGAACCTGAAGGGCTTACAAACTTGCTAACTGGTTGGGAGGATAAGTCTGCTAAGGCAGTGTGCACATTTGCATACTGCTCTGGTCACGAAGGTCTAGATGTCAAGCTATTTCAAGGTGTGACTCATGGTCAAATTGTGGCTCCTAGAGGATCAAGGGACTTTGGATGGGACTGTGTTTTCCAACCTGATGGCTACACTCAAACTTACGGTGAATTACCGAAGGCAGAAAAAAATAAAATTTCTCACAGATACAGAGCTTTAGAGAAAATGAGAGAATATTTTTGTAGTAACAATGTTTAAATAGTTATTGTATCTCCCCAGGCAACCCAGAAACGTGTCTTTGTTATTTGTTATTTTGATTATGTAAAGAGTTCCTAGGTACTTATAAGAGCTAAAAGCGCCAACTACTGCAAACTTAAAATTTCTTCCAAGATAATTTGTTTTTGATAGCTATTCTCAATAATAAAGGATAACTTTGTAATACTGTTTACTTTGACCTATTTCTGTGAAAGTGATGCAATATGTTAACAATAATTAATTAAGAAAACCAGTGTGATAACAACAAATATGATAATAATTATATCTGTTTTGTTAAAATAAACCAAATCAAATAATATCATGTATTTATTTATCATAATATTACCAATTTTTTCACATTATAATATATACAAACATATGTCACTATTAAGTTAGTTTTTCTAGATTTACACAAGTATGTACTTAAAACATTTTATAAATTGTATACAATAATGTAACACTAAATATTAACTTATTATATCCATTAATATTACTTTTTGATACTGGCTTGTCTGGCTTGTGTACTCCAGGTGCAATGTATGGTTCTAAATTTGAATTATTATAGTTTTTATAATACCAGTCATTATCACCAATTTGCCTTGTCCTTGTATTGCCAGTGCTCATAACTTCCGAAAATCTTGTCTTTGGCTCTCTATTTGGTGAAAAATTATCTCTGTGGTCATAATGTTCTACTTGTGGAAGATTTACTTTAGTGATTGTTGCTGGCCTCTTGCCATGACTCCTTTCATTCAACTCTGCAGTGCTGGGTACCAATACTGCTGATAAAGCTGTAGGCGCTGCCTGCTCAATATGCTTCTTCATTGGTGGCTTAGATGTCACTGCAGTAGATGAAGAATAGGAAGAAGTACTGCTCTCCATCCAAGCTTGTAGAGACATATCATTACTGGTATCTGTTGTTATAAGCAAGCTCTCCTTTTCAGTAACTTGTGTAATGGTTAAATTGGACTCCATCAGATTGTACTTGCTCAGGTTATTAGGATCCATCTTTTGTTCTTCAACGTTTTTGGTTCTGTTGTAGGCAACATGGGTGCTGTTGTCATCATCAATGTAGGCTTGCAGTTCATGTATTTCACTTTTGATTTTCTGATGGGTAGTATTGTTATGAACTGTTTTCACAGGTGGTTTAGTTGATACTGCTGAAATGGTTTCTTCTACAGCACCTTTTCTGTTGTGAGTTGTACTGGCACTTTGTGTTTGCACAGCTGTATTAGTGGTGTTGAGAGTCGGATCAGGTATGGGCTTAAATCCTCCAGCTGTCGTCGGTAGAATTGGTGAGAATCCACCAGTCTCAAACTTAGGTGTTTCTGGGAGCTGATACTTATTTCCATTATGAGAGTGAGAGTGGCTGTGAGTGTGCGAATTTTTCTTATCGACCCAGTCTATTTTGCGCCCTGTGTTCAGTATTTTTCCCATATCAATCGGCGGTAGAGGCATTCCAAAGAACGTGAAGCTACTGTCGGGTTTCGGCTTTGAAGGGACTTGCTTGTTTCTGTCCGTTGTATTTTTCATAGCGGCGTATAAAGTCGGAAGTCCACCTGACCTGTTATTTTGCGACGCACTCACTTCATTGTTCAATCCATCCAATAAAGTTTCGTTATAAGGATAATCTACATAGTCGTCGTAGAAGTAGTCTGATTCTTCTGGAGATGGTCTATTAATTTTGTTGGCTTGATAAGTGTTCTTAATTTGTGTTGTGTAGTCTTTTATTTTGTCTAAGGTTGAATATACTTGCGAGGTCGCCAAGTTAGGTAGAAGTGCTTCGTTCTCGTGTGTCATACACGTTCTCAGGTCTCCATCTTCTAGTTTGGTTACTGCAGCGTTTGAGCAGTCATCCCTTCCAAACGGCATGGTCTTGACGTAAGTACCGTCAGCACATTTTGGCCCAATAGAAGATGACTCTGACAGCCACGATTTCAGCCAAACAATCTGGCAGTTACAAATTATTGGATTACCTGAAATTATAAAGAAAACATCTTTTACATTCTGTTTTACCTGAGTAAGTTGGTTATGCACGATACACCCAGTTTACGTTATAATATCACAACCCCCACAATAATTATCTCATTGGTCGCACATTTTGGTCGTTACGCTTAATTGCGCAAACAATATTTAATTGTACTTACCGTCAATATCCAAAATTGCGATGTTATTTCTTAGTTTAGCAAATGTGTTTTCCACAACGGTCGTCAGTTTATTGTGTCGCAAAGAAAGAACCTTGAGGCGAGGCATGAAATCGAAAGGCTGGCCGCTAATGTGGCATATCATATTATTATCCAAATTAAGTTCTACCAACCATTCCATATACTGAAACGATGCTCTCGTCAATCTCATTAGTTTGTTAAAACTAAGGTCCAACACTTCCAAAGAAGATAATTGCCTCAAGCCAGAATTATCGATACTGGTAATTTGATTGTTGCTTAAATTCATATATTGCACCAAAGGCATACTCTCAAAAGCTCGCTGAGAAATATATTGCAACCGATTTCCTTGCATTTCTATAATCCTTAACTTCGGAAGATTAGAAAATACTCTGTCGGGTAGGTCTATTATGTGATTTCGACTTAAATAAATAGATACCAAGTTCGGTAGGTTCGCTATCGCTTTCGGATGTACTACCTCAATGTTATTGTTGTCCAAATCTATTGTTTCAAGATCTCTGAGGTCTTTGAAACTTCCAGTTCTTAGTTCCATTAATTTATTGTTCGGCATTTTAAATTCGGTTAGTGTGTTTATACTGTTAATGGAATTACCATCAAAATGTTTTATGTGGTTGTAGCTAGCATCTAAAACTTTTAGCCGGGACATCATGTTCAAAGTAGCAGGCAACTCGTTCAGATTGTTTGAAGATATGTTCAATGTCTCTACGTCTAGAGCTCTGTTCACGAGATTAGGACTTATACTTTTTAGTTTATTTTTACTGAAATCCAGAGTCGATAGAGCAGCATTATCTTGGATTGCCATGAAGTCAAAGTTCTCAATAGTATTTCCATGCAAGTTCACTTGTTTTAGTTCGTTCAGTTTGCTAAAGCTTTTTGGGTGAATAGCCATAATTTGATTGTAACTCAAATCTAAAATCTCTAGTCGATTTAAATCGCTGAAAGTCGTCATTTCAACCTGCCGCAAGCCATTCCTTTTCATGTAAAATCGTCGTAAATTATGCAAAGTTTTCAAACTCCCGTGAGGAATTTTCTGAATGCCATTACTCGAAATGTCTAATGTTCTCAAAGATGGTAAATCTAAATCTGGTGAAGGTGGCGTCGGTAAACTTGTTATCTGATTCTGATGAAGATATAACTTTTCTAGGCCTCTTGGTAATCCAGGTACAAATTCTATTAATCGGTTTACACTAGCATCCAACTCATAAAGATTCGCCAAATTCCTAAATGTAGCTGGGTGTATAGATACCAAACTATTTCCTGATACATTCACGTACTCCAATAATGGCAACTCCATGAAAGTTATTGGGTCTATAATTGATAGTTGATTATGACTTAAGTTTATCCTTCGTAATGATGGGAGATGGTATAATAGTTTGGGCTGCATTCGTGTGAAGTAGTTGTAAGATAAGTCTAGTCCCTTCAGTGCAGGCAAATTCCAATAGGGACCTTCATTCATGTCATTTAATGAATTGTTACTTAGATGTAATTCCCTCAAGGCAGGCATAGCAACAAAAGCGTCTGCTTGAATGAATTTAATATTGTTTTTGTTCAAATGTAATCTTTCTAAACTGGGGTGACCTCTCAGAGCTCCACGTGGGATCTCTTGTAATAAATTGTTACTTAGATCTAAGAATTTCAAACGGGGTAACGCATCGAGTAGTGATCTGAACTCTGAAATATGCATTATTTGGTTCCCAATCAAAGTGAGCTCTTCAACTCCGCTACCGGATTGTTGCAAAAATGATTCTGGATGTATTTGACTTATTTTGTTATAGTTCAAATCCACAACCCTGAGCTTTGGAACTCTGTGAAAGGCACCATGATGTATTACATTAATGTTGTTATGAGACAGGAATAATTTTTCCAACATTGGTTGGTCGACAAAACCGCCTTCACTTAGTTTGTCAATTAAATTATGATTTAGATTCAAATGAGATAATACTGGCAAGTCTCTCATAGCTCTTCCAACCATCGTTGCATCTGAGATTTTATTATTGCTAAAGGATATTTCGCTTAGTGAAGGAAGTAGAGATAAAGCCCTCATATGAATGAGGTTAATGCCGCAATTCGTTATTTCCAGTCTTCGTAATTTAGGCAAGTTGTAAAATGCATTTTCTCTTAGTATTCTGAGATTTGTACTTCCTTGGATAAACAATTTCTCTAAGTTAGGCAAGTTTTCAAACGTGTTTTCGTTGACAGCATTGAGACTTTCCGATTGTATGTTAATGTAACGTAGTTTCTGCAAACCAGAGAAGGTTGGTATTCTCTTTAGATTTTGTGATTGAATTGTTAAAGCTTGTAGGTTCTGTAATTTCATTAAACTTTCTGCTGGAAGACTCCTTAAATCATTCTCGACGATGAATATTTCTACTAGATTCATCTCTTGCGACTCTAGCCAAGCCGCTGATACTCGCTCGAGCCCATTGTGGCGGAGCATAAGTCTCATTATTTTCACATTTTGAAATATCTTCCCTGGGAGGGACGGGAGATAGTTATTTTCTACTATCAACTCATCTATGGGTTTCCTGATGAGCTCTCCAACTTTCTGAACACCTTTTAGTACTTGGGGCAAGTCGCTGTGTGTGCACCTGAAAGCGAAAGTGGTTACTCATTAATTACTCGGAAAGAAAAGACCCTTTGTAATACATCATTCAGATACTGACCATATTTGAATATCTTCGTGCCGGTTTGTGCATATACATGGGAGAATTGATTCCGGTGCTGGACATATTGAAGTCTGTCCAGTCGCGTAAGAAAATAACAGAAAGAAGAGCCATGAGACTATTTCTGCTTTCTTAGTGTCCATTCCTTTAACACTTCTGTGATGGTCATTGTAGCATATCTCTCATGTTTCGTTCTCCTTATCTGGAATCGAAGTTTAAGTTATGTTAGTGATTTTTTTATAAAAGGATCTTAACTAGATTATTGCTTCATAGAAGTCACACTACCAGTATTCCGGCGTCAAGGACCGGCGCTAATGAAAACAATGCGTTATAGAAACAATAGCCCACCGGAACGGTCCGGTAGTTAAGTTGCACTTTCACTTATTCACCATTGTTAATAACGGCGATCTATGGTCCGCAGTTTACATCATTGTTTTAGGGTTATACTTGCATAACCATTGGTTGATGTAGGTCATTATTCGTCCTTCGGTTTTGGTTTAACTATTCAGATTAAGAATACAATGGCTGCTCAAGTTTATTTTCAATTATTGCATCAATTCCTGCTTAAACAATATGCAAAATATTTGGTTTTAGTAGTCTTGAAGGTGTTGCGATTGGTGTAGAAAAGCTCATCTAAGGAATTCTATTGATTGCATGTAAGTAGGTACTAATTTATTACAAAATAACGTAAATCTCTCATTTATAAGGTTATCGAAGCGAAGGTTTATTTACAGGTTTAGCCCTTGGTGCCAAACAGACTTGGTACACAATACTACCTACATTAAACTCGAACAAAACCTAACTCTACGTATTTGCATTGTATTTTCTCTAAAAGCAGCTAATTGTATTTAATCATAGCAGTAAACTTCGCAATGGCGTCATAAACGACTCATTATACGTACCTATTGCACAATTCAGACTAGGTAAAGCGTTACTTTTGTGCAATTTGCATAATATCTGTATTTCTAAAAAGAAACAAATGAGGATTTAAATGCATCAACGTAAAATTGGTACCTAGGTATTTGAATTCGCAAAATGTTATTGTTACAAAAATAGATGGATGACGCATCGTTTCTTAAAGTAAGTATAGATAATACCTACATATGTCGGTATTAGACCTATCTATATATCAAGGAAATGTTACATACCCACCTAACAACAGCTGAAACAAAATTCTTGACTAATTAAGCAGATTATTTGACTTGTGACGTGTGACGTTTGCTCTTCTTTTGAAGATTATGTGACTTTACAATATCTAGATTTTAACAAACAGGGTCAAATGAATGACAATAAAATGCTAATTTGTATATTATCGATCAATCAACGTACAAGGTCACAAGGTCCTATGATGTTCTGTCATCGATCATCATCTATCTCCTAAATGCCAGTATCAACATTCAGGGGGTCTTATACGATCTATTATGTTTACTTTTCGTGTTCGTCATAGATTTTATTTGATAACAGCGCCACGTGGTTGGAATTAAAATTCAGCATGACAAGGCATATTTTGGACATTTACCCACTCCTGGCTGCAAGTTACTGGAATACAGTTGCAGATTGGAACTTTGACAGACAGACTTTCAGTGACATAACTACGCCTACCAACGTGCCTTTATTCGGTATTGAACGTATTTCAGCTGATGATGGCAGTTAGTTTTTTTTTTATGGAATAGGAGGCAAACGAGCAGACGGATCACCTGATGGTAAGCGACACCCGCAACACCAGAGGAGTCACAGGTGTGTTGCCAACCTTTTAAAAACAAGTAAGTACGCTCTTTTCTTGAAGGTTTGAAGGTCATTCCACAGTTTTGCTATGCGAGGCAGGAAGCTACGTGAGAAGCGCACAGTTGTGGCCTGCCAACCATCTATATGATGGGGATGCATATGCTGTCGTGAGGGTCGATGGCGAAAAGATGCGGCAGATATCAGGTCAAACAATTCCTCTGAGCACTCCCCGAGGTATAAGTGGTAGAAAATGCACAATGAAGCTACATCTCTACGCATTGCCAAAGTGGCAGTTAGTTACTTGCTTCTACTGTCTGCATCAGCAAATGCAAGCGATGATGTGCACGAGAGCATCGTCATTATCATGGCAAAAATGCTAAAAATACATTACGTACATAGCAGATGCTCATCAAGCGATTAAAGTATGTCTACATAAGTATGTATAGGTACCTATGTGTGTATGTATGCAGCGAACGGGACAACCGTCATTACGGTACAGTTATCGCATTTATCTCTAGTAACCGTTGCTGTCATAGCGTCTCTCATAAGTAGTACGATCTCTGTAACTAACCTATGGTTATGTTCATAGATAGACAGAATGTTATGTTTGTTTTATCTACTGCTTGGTAGGTGCATTGTGTTTCAGTTGGTGTAAGTCGTTAGGTAGGGCTTCTAGTTTGAAATTAGTACTTAGCGATAGGCAAGACACGAGCGAATGGTTGAACTAATGCTAGGTAATCTAAAGTCAACCTGTCTTTTGATGGATTGAGTTATTGAGACGGTCCGTAAAATATATTAATTATAAGCAAAAATTTGCATTTACTAGATGGCGACACCGGCAAGTAAAGTCGTATCGGTTGGATTAGAAAGAAGTGTTTGTATTGTGAATTTAGGCATGATCATTCTAATTAAATAAATGCATGAGAGTCCAATAGCCACAAGCGCGACTGTCAAGAAAGACTCAAAATTCATTAACATGTCTGGCATGGCAGATTATTAACATTACCGTTTATTTAATACTACTACTAAGAATAGTACATGGGAAATAAAAAGCATAAAATATTTCTAGTGTGCGGCTATAAGTAGGTAAAAGGTGTAAATGAGTGTCACAAAATACCCAAATAGCCATGTAAGACACTCCTTCGAGAAATAAAAATATCACTTTATTTATTATGCACAAATGCGAAACGTAGTATTTCTAAGAATTCTGTAAGGAGACTAAGTTACCTGCCTGCAATAACAACGAACTTGTTATTTCCTCAACATATTTTTCCTTATGAAAAAACACGACTTCTGTATATCCTAGTTCAAAAAAAGAAAGAAGCTCAACTGCATAGATAATAAATTGTTTGAGTCAACATATAATATACAAAATGTGTTGCCTGACTACCTATATTGTGATTGAATGACCTACATTGGTACAGCAGATCTAGATTAGGTATAGGTGTACCTATACCTAATTTGCTTGGTAGGTACATATTGGTAAGTACGAACATCAATAAAGATTACTAGTAAAAAAGAAAGGGTTGTTTACACTGCATAACCTCAAAAGCTATTGGGTTGATTTGAAAAAAAAATACCATTCACAGTCTCCATTTGCGTTATAAGTTTATAACAAACCATAACCAAGATTAAAAATGATAAAACAAGATGACAAAATAAAAAATAAAAATTTGAATACAGAGTCTAGCTAGGCTACATTGTACCAGGTTTAGGTACACTAGTACCTAAACCATGCTGCATTTTACACACGGCGACACAAAACCAGTTTATCCTGGTGTCGCGTCGCATCTTCTTTCCGCAAATTTAACGTTCAGTTTATACTGGTTATGTAAAGCTCGATGTGTAGCCGTGTGTATATCCCCTAGCCTGGCTATTTATATGCATTTAAGAAAATAAAGATTAATTCAGCACAAAGACAGTAACAGTAACCATTGGTTGGATATTAAGTTGACCAATAACGTATTACCGCACAATTACAGACTCCGTGCAAATACTGAGATTTAAAAAAAAACCAGTTACACTTTGCCCCACTCGGGAAACAGACTCGAGACCCCTTGCCCGCCAATCGCACTTGCGACCACTCACTCGACCACGGGCCAACGAGGTAGTTGACCAATAGTAACTAAAAATATATGGCTTCGTTACAAAGCATACAAATTTATTCAATTTAGTATAAAAATAGCTACTGTCTCTATACTGAATCAATATTTATTTTCTCACTAGCTACTTCCGCGCGGTTTCACACGCTCTGCTCAGCTCCTATTGGTCGTAGCGTGATGTTTTGTAGCCTATAGCCATCCTCGATAAATGCGCTATCCAACACAAAAAGAATTATTCAAATCAGACTTGTAGTTACGGAGATTAGCGCGTTCAAATAAACAAATAAAAAAACAAACTCTTCCGCTTTATATAATAGTATAAGATATGAGATGTGCATACCAAATAACGTGACCAACTTTCAGAATCCTACGTCATAGTTACTAGGTACACTTGAAATCTAGGTCTTAGAATCTGAATTAAATCTTCTATAGTCTAGGTTAAGGTAACTCAAGTAATAATCGTGCTCTCCTTGTCACATGACCTCCTTTATTATGTTCAACCTACCATAATTTTGTATCTATGATAAAATCCAGCCAGTTATGGTCACATAGAAACAGATGCTATAAAATAATCTCAACACTTTTTTTTAAATTGATGGTCAATGACCTTAGTCACAAATATCAGGCATTTTTTTTTAAATCTTTATTTAATAAGAAGGGCTTTTTCCGTAGAGGAAAATGTCAGCCCTATTATAGGATACAAAATTCAATACAAAAAATAAAGCAGCTAAACCTTTTGTAGGTTTAACTATCCCTTAAGCTGAAACACAAATTAATTAAACTATACAATTTTCTTAAGTAACCCTAGATAATGTTAAATTGTTTTTGGCTTGTTACTTTCTTCTACTGACTTTGAAGTGACCTCAACTACTTTGGAGTCTGCAATACATGGTCACTTTTTTGCAAATTCAAAATCAAAGCCAAAGCATTTATTTCAATTAAACAATAATTTGGTACTTTTGAAACGTCAACAAATACAAAATAAATAATAGTCTGTCAGTCAATCCGTCAGTGAAGCTAGGTAAATCAACTAGTTCTCTGCCTACCTATCCCTTTAAAAATTCGGAGTCGCGGAGAATCTAACGGGTTACCGGGGCTCCGGCTCGACGTGCAGGAGAAGAAACGGGGTGGTTTTTAGTCAGTAAGAGTCTGACACTCCCTCCCGCCTCACCCAGGCGGGAGCAGTCATTCGATGATTTTCCCCCCTTAAAAAATCCCTTTAAAATTATGTTACACCAAATCATGTCGAGCGTCTACCAATTTGCACAGCGACACCCTAGAATAAACACGAAAACACAGACACACAGTTACATAATAAAAAACCACCAACGAAAGTAATTGATTCATCGAAAATTATCTTTTTTAAGAACAATAGCGAATGTAATATACACGTATCTTTCATAATAGGTGTATTTGATTGACTTATTACGCCATATTCAAACAATTTACTGAAAACTGGAGCGAAGCCGCTACCGTGGAGCACTAGAGACGATCGTAAATTACGCATGAAATAATCCATTTGTGAAACATACTGACCTAGTACCTGTACTCTTAGCTTTCAATATGTAGTAAAATCTCTTTGTTTAGAATATGTAGTAATATATACTTTTGCCTATAATGTTATTTGCAAGCTGTGATGATATAAGCTACTTAGCTTAGTAGGTACATGGGAAATCCTTATCCTTATCCTTACTAATATCCTTACTAATATTATAAATCGGAAAGTGAGTTTGTTTGTTTGTTTGTTCCACTTTCACGCCGTAACTACTAAACCGATTGCTTTGAATTTTTGCAGACGTGAAGTTAGAAGTCTGGATTAAATAATAGGGTACTTTTTATCCCGGAAAATGTTGATATTCCCGAGGGAAAACAAAAGTATTGGTATATGTCACATAGGCTACTTTTTATCCTTTTGTGACGCGAGCGAAGCCGCGGGTAAAAGCTAGTAACCTATAATTATATCACACATATCAAGCTTCCTTGTGCGCACTGCTAAGGCGTATTTCCTGAAGTATAACCTGGGTGTCTACAAGGCTTCCAAGAAGATTCCACTTTAAATTCTTTACCAAGGGACTTGAATAGGTTGCTTATGGGACGACGTGCTTTATCGCATACCACTAGGCGAGATAGTGGTCAAACGTCGGCCCATCAAATATAAACATAATAAATTAGGTGCATCGTGTACTAACATGACGCTCTCTGAGGGCCTTTTTTATTGTTTCATCATTTGGTTGGTTCAATGGAACAGACCAATCAGCGAACGCTGTAACATTTCGAACTCGTTAAACGTAAAGCAAACTTGTGCTAAGCCTTCTGTAAGATACCGAATGCACTAAAGGTCCGATTGTGAAAAAAAAAAACAAAATAAGATGTAATGAACCTAGATCAAACCAACTTATAGTTTGCTTCCCCTTTGAGTGAATACCTAAATAAATATATATAACATCATCACACTTTCCATCCCTCAAAGAGTAGGCAGAGGTGCACATTACGGCACTTAATACCACTGTACAATGTAACGCCTACTTTTCACTATTTATGTTATGAGTCGTATGTAATAGAGGGTAAGTCTATTGCCTTATACCGGCCACATTTCCAGACTACGTGCTACTACTGAGATTTTTTTAAAAGACTCAGTAATAATCTGCCCGGTACCAGAATCGAACCCAAGACCCCTTGCCCGGCAGTCGTACTTGCAATTGCAACCACGCGGTCAACGAGGCAGTCGAGGCAGGTAAATAAATATAGGTAGAAAAATTATGTCCCACGCGGAGAACCTAACGGGTAACCGGGGCTCCGGCTCGACGTGCAGGAATAGGAACGGGGTGGTTTTTGGTCAGTAAGAGTCTGATACTCCCTCCCGCCTCACCCAGGCGGGTCATTCGATGATTTTCCCTCCTTATAAAAAAATCCTATAGGTAATTGGAAAGCAAGTCACAGAATGTGCATGCACACGTTAATAGATAGATCCTAATCTGAACTGCATAGCATATTTATTAGTTTAGTGATTTATATGAAAGAACTTTCATTGAAACTTGGTATTTAAACACAATGGTTGGTATATTACATTATGCCTTCAAATCCATTAAGCTTTCAGGAGTTGATTTGTACGACGTACGTCATCATTAATATCTAATTATCTACCATCAGCAAGGACGGAAGACATATGGGATTTCATAGGAAACAAAACATTTAGCAAGTCAAGCTTAGAAGTAGGTACCTACGAAGAAAAACATAATTCGCCATTATAAAATACCACTTAAAATTTTTAACTGAGATTTAGAAAAGTTGAACCGGGAATTAAGACAGAGGAAGCGAAACATTTGGCGAATAAAACGTACGTCACAGGAGTACTAAAAACTTTTTATACGGCCTATTATATTTAGATTCCACTTTAAATTCTTTACTGAGATTAAGAAAAATAAAACATAACATATCCATTGAGAAAAACTTTAATGAAATTCATTTTCTACTAGGTACCTACTAAATACGTTTAAGTTCTCATTTAGGATTGTTTAGGTATGTTATTTTTGCGCACCGCTATAGATTTTATTGTGAAAATAGATTTTTCTAATAAAAAAACAAACATGATCTGCATTATATCAACTTCCTAGAACACTCATTCGTTTACATTTAGTTACTATGGTAAAAACTAGAATAACCTGTCTTTATTCCTAACTACGTAAATACTAAACCGTTATTTTTAAAACAACTCCCACATAAACACCAACTTATAAATATAGAAACTTACCTACACGTGTTCAAACTGTTCAATGAAATGCTCATTATCTTATCTAAACCTAAGAAAACAATGCAATTTGCATAGACGCCTAGAGGTACACCAACCTAAAGAAATACCTACTATTTGCTTAAACCTATTAATTCATTTGAATATCGCCACATATTTACCGCCAAAGATGATGATAAAAACACAGCGTCAACTCCTCTGATGTCTTTAAAAACACGATACAAAAATACGAACACAGTTACGCAACAATCACAAAAACATGAACAGACTGGACAAGCGTGGCTTATGGTGGTCTAACGTGAACTGGGATGCGAGTATTTCGCATGTAAACACCAGACTTTCGGTTCACAGCTCGATGCACATCAAGTAACTTATCTTTCACCATTGTGGCGCGTGCTGCCGCCCGTAACTACTTGTGGGTTCGCAGATGTGCATGTTCGTTCACCTTCTATTCATTTTGGCATTTGCCTCTAAGAGGACTCAACAAATCCTCAGAATTTAGAATAGGTACAAGTTTGTTTAACAGACAAGACTTTGACTTTCTTCTGTACCGACTCTTCTGATTTTGTTTTTGACTCCCATGTTATAAATCCTTATGTCATAATCCTTCTCGATTTGGAAAGACGAAGGGGACTGTCCGACTCTTAGGCCAGCCCAGTTTCTCACTCATATACAACTACATAACTAGATTTGGTACAGCTCACTGTTTAAAATAATACTCCGGCTCATCTATTATGCTGAGATATTGTCTCAAAAATCGATCTTTCGCTGAAAGTACAGGATATTTTATGGACTTATCTTGAAATGAGTGGATCGGAACTGTCTTTGTCAAGTAAACTTTTGAGACTACTATAATAGAGTCACCTATCTGCATCAACAAAACATTTAATAAGCTTTGAACACTAAGTTGCAAAATAAAGAATGCTTAAACGACTTATCTCGATTAAATCGTACGATGTGGTAACTAGGAAGGGTGGTCGCTTGGACAATAAAATTGCTGTGTCGCCTTAATTACTCTATTGAAATATGTCAGTAATAAGAAATAGGTTCAAACAATACAAACTGTCAACATTTTCATTTAAATTACGCATTGTACCTATGAATAAACTGTGCAAATGTCGTATTTCGATATAGGTAATATAGATACTCACACCATGTTTTGTTCGTGAATAATTGCCACAGAGGCAATTACCATCACAGATAAATAACCGGATTACGCAGGCATTCATTTTAAGTATTCTATGAAAGACATCAAAGTTAAAAATTACCTACATTAGATATGGTTTATGTGTAAATACATTATGTTGTAGATTTTTTTTCATTCTCCTTTATTGTTTTTAGAGGCTTTATATCCTTATGGATACGTCAACCCCATCGTACCTTATCTAATTAATTAAATATACTCTTTGTAAATGAAAAGGAATCATTAACAAGTTCTAGATATCAGAAAATGTATATATAATATGTCACCCTCACCTAATGTAATAGATACCTATTCAATAAAATTGAAATCTATCTGAAAGCATGGACCCATTTCGGCCAATAAATTTTGTTTATAACTAATTACTATTGTATTGGACTACTTAGTTCTATCTACGAATAAAGACTCAATGACGCAAATGGCGAAGCATTCCTAAAAGCAAAACCAAAACAAAGTTATTTGCCCGTCCTTGTGTACCAAAATGAATTCGCAAAAACTTGCTTAGACCAGCTAACCTTGATATGTCTTATGTTAGCGCAAATGTCGTACAAAAAGTATGGATATGTTGGCGAATAAAAGATTTATGACTTATCTCTATAACATCACACTTTTTATCCCCGAAGGGTTGGCAGAGATGCACATTACGGCACTTAGTGCCACTGTACAATGTATAACCTATAATTCATTATTTATGTTATGAGTCCCATGCATTAGGAGGTGAGCCTATTGCTATATGCCGGGCACAATTCCAGACTCCGGACAGCTATTGAGATTTTTTTTAATCCAGTAATACTTTGCCCTATCCGGAGTCAAATCCGAGACCCCATGCCCGCCAGTCGCTCTTTTTACTTGCTACCACCTGGCCAACGAGGTAGTACCAGGTGAGGAAGTTACAACAAACCCTGATTTATGTAGAGAAAACCCATAGTTCAGGAATGAACTATCCAATCACAGAACTATTTTCAAAATATAATAACTCAAAGAAAAGTGTAAGTAGATTAATGCTATTATACGGCCTGTAGGTGAATGGTATGCTAGAATAATTGCAGTGAAATTCTTTAAATTTTATTTTGGAGAGTCTCTATTTTAATATCTGTTGTATAATAATAATTATTATAACATTTAACGTAATATTATACAACCTTCATAAGATTTTACCGCTACCTATCTTTGAGAAAATAAGACCGAATAATATATTGGGATTATTATGACCCACTGGGGAACTTTGATCCAAATCCTATAACCAATAAATATCCAGTATTTAGTTGTTCAAGGGTCTAAAAGTTTGGGTCAAAATTAGCCTGTAGGGTCAAACAAACCCGACTTTACCTTATCTAGGTCCTAAGTAAAATAAACAATCGACTGTTGAACGGCAAGTTTCTTCTTCATAAGAGGGCCAAGAAGGGTTTAGTACAGTTTATGAACTGTACTAACACTTGACAACGGTTTAGAACTGGCATTCTAAAAACATCACGTTTTTCAGAGACCGGTGGTGCAATGACAGATCACTGGATGACTTTCCCCCTCAAAAAAATGACAGGATGGTGCCAAATGCAGCAATCAGATGACTTGGGCGAGATATGGGGTTCCTAGAATACCTTTTTTTTTATGAAGGTCTTTTGAAGGTTTCCCCCGAAACCTTCAAAAGGCGCCTAGCTTTTTGGGGATAAAAGGAGTAGACTAAGGGTTGTGGCATTTTTACCTCACTAAAACCACCCCGGTGGCCACCCTCAACACCTGTATAAAAGCACCGCGTCTTCTAAAAGAGACCCGCTCCGGAGCCTAAACGGTGCAATGCCCGTTACGACACATCCCTAGAGTTCAATGATGACATAACAATGATGACATCACACGTTTCAACAACATAGAGCACATCATTATTAGCGACCGCAGTCGTACGAGTAAGAAGTCGAAACAATCATACAATGATATTACGTGCTTTAATAGACGAAGGCTCACAAGCGAGCTTCATAAATGAACTACACAACAACTCATGGCAAAGCCGTATCCTATCAAGGATACAGTCATCGGTGTGTGATCAACTAGAGAAGAACTAAAGCAAGTAGTTCAAATCAGCGTCGAATCAAGATGTGAAGATTTCAATATGGAAATCCCAACATATGTTCTATCGAAGCCATTAATTAAAAGAACTACTAAGTTACCATCCCGCACTATCAACACTAACAATTGGCCTCATCTAGAAGGACTAGTCCTGGCTGATCCAAGTTACTACCAGCCAGGTTCTATCGATTTACTTCTGGGTGTCGATGTGTATGCATAAATTGTACAAGATCAAATAATCAAGGGTCCACCAGGGTCACCGTGTGCTCATAAAACAAACCTCGGCTGGATTTTGTTCGGAAGAGTAGACGAGACCTCACAGCAAGCTGAAGCTTTTCTTGTTATGCATCATCAGATTTTAGGAGAAGTTTTACTCAAAACACTTTGGAAAATTAAACCAGACTCGAAAAGGAAATATACAAAGGAAGCAAAGCAATGTGAAAGTTACTACGAAGAAACTTATACAAGAAACAGCAGAGGACAATACGTCGTGAAACTCCCATTCCGAACCAATAAACCTTTAATACCGGAAACGACAAGAGAAATTACAATGACACGCTTGATTCAGCAAGAAAGAAGATTAGAAAAAACAGCTGTATTAAGAGAAGAGTACGACAAGGTATTAGATGAATACGTAGCAAGGGGACACATGGAAGAAGTTGCAGAACATGAAATGAACAATTGATGCGTTTACCTACCACATCACGTTGTAGTTCGAACAGACAAGGAGACAACAAAACTCAGAGTTGTTTTTGATGAGCTCATGGTTGATCCAGTACTGCAAGAAGACTTGTGAAGTGTGGTCATGAGGTGGCGCATGCATAAAATCTATTTTGTAAGTGACATCACAAAAATGTACAGGATGGTGCATCTGGACAGAAATGATACAGATTATCACAAAGTGCTGTGGAGAGACAAAGCTAATAACACCAATAAAACAATCTGCCAGCTACCTAAAATAAAAGATTACAGATTAAAAACGGTTACGTTCGGTACAGCGTCTGCACCTTACCTAGCCATTAAAACTTTGATGAAACTCGCAGAAGAAGAAGATGAATACTATACTGAAGCTGCCAAGATTATTCATGAAGACTTCTACGTCGATGATTTGATGTCGGGCTGCGATACAACAGAACAAGCAATTCATGTTAGTAAGCAAATTACAACAATTCTTAGTACGAGTTTCATTTACGTTTAAAGTATTCGTAACGAGTACGCGTTCGGCACTCTGATTGGCCGGCGCCAATGAACCAACCAATCAGAGCGCCGAACGCGTACTCGTTACGATTACTTTAAACGTAAAACAAACTAGTACTAAGGCCTCTGGAACAAGGAAGGTTCCAATTACAAAAATATAGAATTCCTAGAATACCTAGATGATTCAATTAGAGAGGGTGAAAGACGCTCCGTGCTAAAGAATATACCTTTAATCAAATGCGGCATTGTTCTTGATAAGCATTAAGTAATAATAATTTAATTACGAATGAAATGCTAAGAAAGTAAAAACACGGTGTTTAAACTAAGCACGTGTTCTTAAATAGGACAAAACGTGTACGTACCTACATGTTTTTGTCTTGTCATGTAAATAGCAGTTGAAGCAAATTGTCTTTCCCACGAGTTTCTAACTTATCAGAAAATATCTAAAGTAGTGTTGATTTTATCTAGTTATTTAAAAATGTCTCAAAAGTTTTTGATTATTCTCAAAATTCTCAAAAAATACCTTTCTAGTTCCTAGACATAAGTATTTAAAGTATTTATTTGAAAAAAACCCTTATGACTTGAACGGCATAGGTAGGTTCCGGAAAAGTTTTGAAAATCCTTTAATTTTACTTTTTTTTTTCGTAAATATATGACCTATTTTCGTATCGAGTGTGACAGTAGATACCTACTTATATTGAACTTGAAGGTGCCACATGTATTTCATTATTGAAACAACTGTGTAAATTGTAGATAGTTACGCCAATAAAACATTGGAAAATGTAACATTTTTCTCATTTTTATTAGGTACAATCGCGAAATGATAAATATCGGAAAATAGTTTCCAACCTTTTTCGACCTTAAAAACTATTTTCGCGCGTGACACACCCACCTTGAAGCCTATAGAATAAGCATACGTGCTAAGCAAATATATTATTCTTTGCGAAGTTTGAAGTGTAAAAAATTCAATGTCAAGTTTTTATTCAGAAATTACCGCGAGAGGCGACACACCCACCAAATAACTGTGTCGTGTTTTGCAACCTATGTTATAGGAAATAAGGCTCAATTTCTGTATACGAGATGTAATCATACGACTCACTCATACATGTAGACGTGGAGTATTAGTTTACAACCTGTTTTCACCTCACGCGAGAGACCCCTCGGAACTGTTTACCAGTTACCGTTTGTCTTACAGAGCGTTTTATCGTGCGGTCTATCAGGCGTTAGATTCATAATTATGTTCATAAGGAATTTATATCGAAGTGCTATTAAATTAAATGTTAGACATTATTCTGGAAACGGTTTAAAAAAACCACCTAAGATTTTAATAACGGGTAAGTTTTTTTAATTTAAAATTGGAACGAATAATTGTGCATGTGATTTTTTTTTTTATTTCTTGTATGGCATTATTCGTTTGTTTTCGTTATTCTAAAATTAATTTAGGTATTAATTTTAAAAATGCAGTGAATATTTTTGGACTTATTTTAAACACTAGAAATTATTACAGAGAAATTAAAGTTACATTTGTGTCATAACCACAGACAGTCGAAGACGCTGTAAAAGTGAAAGGACCAATCAAGAAGCAATAGCTGTTTAGGTTTCTCTAATGATCCTAGGCAGCACTAAAAGATTATAAAGCTAAGTTTCAACTTCCAACATTAATCATTTTTATCAAGATAGAAGAGGCATGAATGTGTAGCATGAGGATAATCATTTGTTGCTTAATATAACATGTATACCGGTACCAGTGCACGCGTGGTTGTAATAAGCAACTTAAAATTTGATTGGATACTGGATAGGCACACTGGTCAGTGATTGGTTTTATATTTTATACGATTAGAAATCATGAAGTGAACTTTCTTAGGTTCCGCTACCTAAATCTTTATTTTATTTTATTTTTATTTTTTTTTAATTCGATAAATATTGATTCATTTTCTAGACTGAGATCCTAGAAAGAAGGTCTGCTTTTTATAATTCTGGCCACAGACATTGAATATTAAATGAAAACAATTTTTTTTTTTAATGTTGTTTTAATCTGCGAAATATTTTGCCTTACTTTAGTAATTACCTAGTAAGAATTCGACGAAGCCTTGGCCGCTCTTTTTTAAATGTATGGTCACAATTTTTATTAAAGAACTCCATGAAATAATACCCATTCTAGCCATTGCCCATGTATAATTACAAACAGCTGATTATACGTTGAAGCACGGATAATCAATTACCTAATCTTATGCAATAGTTGAATGCTGTATAAATCTCGATACTAATTTGCCGTTCCACGTGCTAACTTTTTTTTTGTTATAATAACCTTGCCAGAATTGAAATTTTAAATCGAAAAGCTTACGATGACAGGGGAAAATATATGCGGAAGAAAGACGTAGATAGCTGCGTATTTCTTCCGCATAATTTGTTTACACCCAGATAATATAGTGCGTAGATAATCTGTAACGTCGTAGTCAGATGAATTAGCATTACAAAAACATGTTTGCTTGAAAAACCCTTGTGTAATACTGACATTGTTTTCTTAAAGTTATATCAAGTACCTACTCAGCTGTCATGGCGTTGTTAACATTAAACTATAAAGGAAAATCTATAACACATAACATAACATCACTCTTTTTATCCCCGAATGGGTAGGCAGAGGTGTACATTACGGCACTTAATGCCACTGTACAATGTAACACCCACTTTTCACTATTTATATTATGAGTCCCATGTAATAGGGGGTGAGCCTATTGCCATATACCGGGCACAATTCTAGACTCCGTGCTACTACTGAGATTTTTTTTGAAAAAGCCCAGTAATACTTTGCCCGACCCGGGAATCAACGAGGCAGTCTAGAAAATCTCCCGGGTGTCATCACTGTGAGGATCGCCCGGAGGACACGGTCATAGTATAAAGAACACAGTAGGTTATCTAAGGCCGCCCGCCGAGTTATTAGCCTACTCTTGCGTTGATCCCCAGGGTTGTCACTTTTACTTTTAGTTAATATTTTCGAACAAGCAGCACTTGATCTAAATTTATGAAATGGAAAGCATATTATGATTGAATATTTTATCAATTTATAAATTTAGTAAAAATAAAAAGCTTATAAAAAGATTATTAACTTCTTAAAATAAACTTTAGCTCTATACATAGTATTCAGAAAGTAAATTTGGGAATACATTTATATGGAAAAATGCGACACGGCCACGCTCTTAACAAATCAGATAAACTGTGAAATAAACAATATAATATCACATTTTCTTATAATATTTAAGTACAGTAGGTATTACATTTCTGGTTGAGTAGGAACTATGAAGAATGATAAGAGTAAGAATAAGTAAGTAGGTATCTCATCATCAAGTACCTACAAACTATATTATGCTAGGAAAATTGACTAGCTTACCTTTCCTGTTCAATAGGTAATCCGAACAGAGACAGTTCTAGAATCGATTAATTATTAAGACACCCAAACACACAGCAATACGTTCTTCTACGGTTATCAGACATTTTTTATTTCATTTAACAGTGCCGAAAAGTGATGCGCGCGCGAACCTCGTGCAGTGTTAGCCCTGCCTGAGAAACGGGTCGAGATTTTGTTGAAGTGTGCGTGCGTCGACGCATAGATACTATGGCGCACACATATAAGCCGCGCGCGGAGCATTTGTATGAAGATAACCTACTCTGTTCTTTATACTATGACACGGTGGAGCATACGGTGGCGGTGTGTCCTGCGTGGACTGAGCACCGCCGTGTCCTCAGGAATGTGATCGGCGACGGCGACCTCTCGCGTCCGGCTCTGGTTCAGACCATGGTACGGAGCGCGTGAGGGAACGAACCTCCTCACGACCCGGCCGTCGCGAGAGACACTCAGGGCGTCGGGGATTGCGAGACGATCTCCGGCCACCGTAAGCACGGGCCTGCGGACGGCGAGCATGGGTGACTCGCCGCCCGACCAGAACCAGGCCCGAGCGTACGGCGCGTCGCGTTCCGCGCGCGCCTCAAGGAGCCATCAGACCACCACAGATGGGGCCTAACAAGGCTGATGCCGATACGGAGCCGCGGAAGACTTAACGGGTTGCCGGGGCTCCGGCTCGAAGTGCAGGAGTAGGAACGGGGTGGTTTTTAGTCAGTAAGAGTCTGACACTCCCTCCCGCCTCACCCAGGCGGGAGAAGTCATTGGATGATTTTCCCCCCTCAAAAAAAAAAAAAAAAGTCTAGAAAATCTAAAATTTATTGCACAATTGGTTTTATATCTAATTGCACTAAAGTGCAATTAATAAAACCTACTTTATATCTAAAGAGGGGAGTGAATAGGTATCTTTAGGGTCGGCAAGACGCATGTAATGCCCCAAGTGTTGCAGGCGTACATAGGCCACGGTAACCGCTTACCATCAGGTGGACCGTGTGCTTTTTCGCCACCGTTGTAGTAAAAAAAACTTTATTTTATACTAACTTCGTGGCAAAAAAAAATAACCAATGCGTTATTCCAGACCATAACTAGGGTTGCCACCCGTACTTTATAATAAAGTATTGTACGTTATTTAAGGTAATTGTACTATATACTTTATAAGATTAATAAAGTACACGAAAATACTTTATTTTTGCAAACTTCATTTCTATTAAAGTCGTAAGTATTTTTCGGTAAACTTATCGATTCGATATCGATATTTATCGATTTATGTTGAATCGATTTCGCCACTCGCCAGCACCACTTAGACAATTTCTGGTAAAGATGCAATTGTTTAGTAAAGATACAAATTTAATACAAACTGCAAAAAGCAATAAAAATATATTTTTAAATATAATACTAAATAAAATTGTACTTTATTTTTGTACTATGTTTTTTTTCTTACCTTTAATCGTCAATGTACTTTAAATGCCAGAAAAAAAGGTGGCAACCCTAACCATAACCCTGTTTCAAATTTCGCGCCGACCCTTTCAGCCGTTGTGACGTAATTGATTTTTAATATTAGTACCTAAGACAATGGCAAATAGGTCCTTTAAGACTGGCTGGGCACTTACCTATTTCCTACCTCGCAGTGGCATCTAGTTACTGCTATCCACCAGAGCCTGATGAATAGCAGTTAGATATTTGACACCAGCGATGGAGGTCTAAAATATGAGAAGACTATACGACTCTACCTAGTCCGATTTCATATTGTTACGTCAGTGAAACTTCAGTCTGATATATTAACTAGAAAAATGATGATGATCGTATAAAATAAATGAAAACCAGTGTCGAATTAGCCTCGCAGCAAGAGGAGTCCGCGGTAAAGGGAGTCATCAAAGTCATTTCCATCTCATAGATATTTTTAGTTAAAATCATAGGGTATCCGGGAAGTAAGGACCCGACTAAACAGATACTTAGGTTACGGCATAGGTACTTCTAAGAACAGCCTGTAAAAGATTGAGGCTGTGGAAACATAATCTATGCTACTCATCTATCTATAGGTACCTATTATTAATATACCACAATGTAAATAGCTTATTGTGACTTACATCGAACATTAAATGTCCCACAATAAGACAATAACAAACGTGTATGACCTAACTTGCACTTATTCACCTTTTGAGGGAGATCCCTCTTTAATCTGCGTTTCCACCAGAGATGTGCGAGGATGCGTAGCGAGGGATGTGTTTGTAAAGAACCAATAGCATCGCTTCATTTACCTCACTTCGGTCAGTACCTCTATAATACATCAAGTATGGGAGATTCATGCTTCGGCACGAATAGGCCGGCTCGACCGAAGTGATACCACAACCTCACAGAAAACCGACGTGAAACAACGCTCGAGTTGTTCGTGTGGGTGAGGTTACCGGAGATCCAATTATCGGGGGATAATTGGGGCTCCCCAGTCTCCACAATCCTCAAATTCCCAAAAGGCCGGTAACACACTTGTAACGCCTTGGTGTTTCTGGTTACCATGGGCAGCGCCGATTGCTTACCATCAAGTGACCTGTCTGCTCGTTTACCGGCTTATGCCATATAAAAAAATACAGCTCTGGTGGAAGCGACAAATCACAGCTAGACATCCTCACACGACCATCGCACAACTCTCGTGGAAACGCAGCCTTAGTCTCGACTGTTTACCTACTCTCCTCGCATACTAGTCGCTTACTCAGTATTAAAACATCGTGCCGTGTAGTACCTACTTGTTAGTCTCTAAAATAATTATGTTTTTAAAGACATTATTCCGAAGTGCAAACGTGAGATATTATTCTGGAAGTAGTGTAAAAAATCCGCCAAAAGTTTTAATCACTGGTAAGTGACGTTAACGATTTAAGCAAAAAATTTGATTTAAAAAAATTATATCATAGGTGCTAAGCATTCGAATATTTACAAATACCGGTGATGAAAAATTACCAAGATGCTTAAAAACCTATGACGATAAAGACTCCTATTATCATTGCAATAATGAGTAGTTTAGCTTACCAATATTTTGATCACAGACTTATCAATACCATTGTAAAAAGTGAAAGCAAGAAGTCGGTCTAGTGGAAGCGCAACTGGTTAATTGTTTCTTCAATGACTATAACTAAAATAAGGATAATTATGAAGCAAAACTGTAGAAGAATGCGGATAACAATAATCACATTATGTTACTGAAACGTTAAAATATAGGTGTAGCGTGAACTTATACATAGGTATTCTAGTTAAGTAGCTGTTTATCAGTCATGTTTAATGTTTTTAATCGTAGTCTAATCTCTTCTGTAGGTAAGCTATCCCCGAGTGAGAAAATATATTGAGCAAATAGGTTTTTGACTTCCCAATAGTCTCGAATCTTGGACCCTGTTAAGCAGAAAAGATCCAGCCCACATTTTATTACTTTTGAGTAAATGAAGTTTAAAATAATCATATATGATACAGTACCCATTCAATACGTACTTTGTCATATGATTTTTTTATTATTCTTAGACCTTCTATTATTCTTAGGTCCTATTAATGTCGCGAAGAACCTATCGGGTAACCGGGGCTCCAGCTCGACGTGCAGGAGAAGGAACGGGGTGGTTTTTAGTCAGTAAGAGTCTGACACTCCCTTCCGCCTCACCCAGGCGGGAGCAGTCATTCGATGATTTTCCCCCCGTAAAAAAAGGTCCTATTAATCTTAGACGAAGGTAATACAATCATACAATTTTGTAGGCAGGTAGGTACGTATTGAGTTGATTAAACTACTCCACAATCTTACTTAGGTATATGTATTTCCCTCAGGGCCGTTAAGTTTATGTTTTTCTCAGGGTCTCAGTTAGGTATGCTGATAACCATTCTGTATTGTATTTGTATTCAACATTTATCGTTTCATTCATATACATATATCTAGGATACCTTTTCAGCCTGTATAGCAAATTGTCAATGAACTAAATGTATGCAAACGATTGTAGGTTATCACGAGATCTTTAAACATAATGTATTATGTAAATATGTATAGAATAGCTTTTCCACGTGACTTCGTTCATAGGTACATATTTACATAAAATACGTTCGTGTTACATTTTTTTTTAGTAAACTAACCCTAAATTCCCCATGTAACGTGACATTTACTATAGTTTATTGTAGTTAGGTAGTATTTTCGACTGTGCATTATCTGCCAGTCATTTATTTTAATTTTAATTAAAATTTCTTCATGTGGTACGATGATGGGACACAATGGGGATGATGACAGGGTATGAAAATTAAAAATATAATTAGTCCGTAAGTTAGGTAATGAAAAAATATTAGAGACGTATTTTTTTATTTTGTCGTATAATAAAACAATACTTAGATAAAACGAATCAAAGTTTAGGAGTGGGGGCTAAAACGTCATTTCTTAGTATAAAATGTACTGAAAAGTGACGTCACGCGACATTTCAAATCAATATATCTTCGAAACTATTCGTTTCTGTGAGAAAATAAAAAATACGTGTCTAATGTTTTTAAATAATCTATCAGACGGACATTAAAATAAAAATTAGTCGTCTACCCTATTATCAGTGACAGAAAAATGCGTTAGACTTTTATGAAACTGTTTTAAAAATCAACAAGCTTAGGATCATCTTAAATCTGTGTCCACATGTGCGTAGTTTAATCGGTGTCATTAGTTTGTTTACATTTTGATGAATTGATAATAATAATTTATGATTGGCTAATTAGTCAAAGGCATCTTAGTGCGTGAGTACCTATCTAATCTCACTCAAAATTTACCAAGAAAAAACATTTAGGTAGGTATTGTTAGGTTTTAAAAGCCTAATATGTGTGATACTGGTACACATACCTAATGTCCTGAAGATATTAATGAAAACGTTAAATAAAGCACTAATATTTATTCATTGGAAAGCTGATTTCATATGATCCATTAGCACTCTGCACTACCATGTATAGTTTATGCACTCCGTAAGTCTTTATAAAACTCTAGCCTTAGAGCAAATATAAAATACATGGTATTACGTAATAACAACATATGTTCTTTATCATTACAGGAGGCCTTGGTCAACTAGGCGTGGAGTGCGCTAGATACCTTCGAGGAAAATACGGCCGGGACAATGTCATCCTTTCGGATATTATAAAACCGTCCCAAGAAATAGTTAATGATGGCCCATACATTTTTGTGGACATTCTGGACTTCAAGGGCCTCCAGAAAACCGTCGTGGACCACAGGGTCGACTGGCTGATCCACTTCTCAGCTCTCCTGAGTGCGATCGGAGAGCAAAATGTTCCTTTAGCAGTACGAGTGAATATAGAAGGAGTGCATAATGTAATTGAACTTGCCAAACAGTATAATCTTAGGATCTTTGTGCCGAGTACAATCGGGGCATTTGGTCCTGACTCTCCTAGAAATCCAACGCCAAATATAACAGTACAAAGACCAAGGACTATTTATGGTGTGTCTAAAGTGCACGCGGAGTTGTTAGGCGAATACTATTTCCATAAGTTCGGTTTGGACTTCCGTTGCTTGAGGTTCCCTGGTGTTATATCCAGCGACCCGCCCGGCGGAGGCACAACAGGTGAGGGACAATTGTTTAATAACCAATGAACAAATAAGTTAAAAATTCACAACATGTAGAAGAAAAATTGTTTCTGAATTATAAAAATGTGGCACAAAAGACCAAACATACCTATTACTACGTGGTAGAGTATGTTTCATTGAAACCGTCGTCGGCAGTCAGTGACTATGTTCGCTTAGCAACAAAAATTTATTCATCTCTCTTAGTAAGTACCTACCTACATACTATACGTATATAAGTAGGTACATGTGTTAAATAATAGCGAGACTCCTTCTTGTTTGTCGAGTGGCTCATCCATATTCATACTTTCTGCCATTTTTTTGCCAAAAGACCTTGAACGTGGTAACTGACCAAGTTCAATTCGGATGTGACTTAGGTAAGTACCTACCTACTTAACAAAAACGTTGGTACCTACTTACCTACTTATTATTACTTTTATTCCAAGTGGAAATAACAAAGATAGGATAAATTATAGATAGATCCACCTGACCTGGTTTTACAAAAGCACCTCTCCATGTTAAAGTATTTATGTCGAGTCATTAATTAGATCATACACTTGTCTTCCCTAATAACCACGGGTTCTTTAAGGCCTCAAAAGACGAATACACTCTTCTGTCATTACAGACTATGCTATCGCGGTCTTCCACGATGTTCTTCGGAAAGGCCAGTACCAATGCTACCTCAAGCCAGATACGAGACTACCAATGATGCACGTGAGAGACGCCCTTCGAGCTCTCGCAGAATATTTGGAGGCTCCTAATGAAGTACTAAATAGAAGAGTGTACAACGTAACTTCAATGAGTTTCACTCCAGAAGAATTGACAGAAGCAATGAGCAAACACATCCCCGAGTTCAAGATCACTTATATGCCTGATAGCAGGCAGGAAATCGGTAAGTAAATAACGCTAGATGTTTCGATAGACAAGGAGATTTCAATGTTAATTGCGCTACAACAAGGTTAAAATGACTTTATAATAAGCATTTTGTAAACAATCGTTGTTTAACTTTCTTTATAAAAGAATAGCTGTTGGAAAATACAACGTTTCAAAAATATGCATAAGTTAGGGCTTAAGAAAAGTCTAGAACCTGACAGCTATTTTTGACTTGTATATCCTTTTTGGCTTTTACTCCTCACAACCTTTGTAGATCAATTAAAGTTTTGATTAAAACCCATTTCTGAACTCCTGTACCTAAGGTTTACCTAATTGAGATTGCAAACAATAAATTGGGTACTTGCCAACTATAAATTCAATAGTTTTTTAAAACTGTCAAAAACGACAGTTTTCTATGAATTTTGTACGAGATTGTGTATTGTGGCGTCACGTGTTTTCAGCGTCAAACAGCATACTTATTTCTTACAAAAATTGCTGGAAAAATACTAAATTTAAGTTGGTCATAAAACCAATTAATGAAAGTGTGATTATTTTTTAATATTTTATTGTAATTGAACAGTCGAAATAATTTATTTTTGATGAAGGCAAGACCCAATTATATACGGACCCAATTATTGTTTACACAGACATAATGTACCTACCTAAAACAAACTTTTTTGTTTTCAGCTGATTCCTGGCCGCAAGTTTTCGACGACAGCGAAGCTCGGAGGGATTGGAACTGGAAACCAGAGGTCGACTTGGACGACCTTGTGAAGCTGATGGTGAAAGAAGTCAAAGAAAAAATTGCTGCCAATGGACTATCATAGTGACAAAAAAACTTAACTATTTAAAAGTACACCATGCTTGCAGACTTGTTTGTGGATAGTGTTCCGCTTTGCTATTAAATTGACATAAAATAATGCCGTCCAGTTGGTGCATTTAATTATTTTTGAATAATGTAAATCAATTTTAAAATAAATGAATTCTAAATTTTAATGTTACGTTTATTGTTTTATACAAAACGCAAAATTCATTATATTTAATGTCAGGCTGATCAACATTGTATCTATTGGCTAGGTCAGATACTTACATGATCTAGGTTTTACTAAAACCAGTTCTTATGACATTGGCCGAAGTAAAGGTTGCACAGAATGATTGTTTGTTTTAATATACCTAACTCTTGGAACGACTTTGTTTGTAAAGGAATTATAAAGGTAAATGTCACGTTTTTTTGCATATCGAATGACCAATTCTTGAGGTAGGTTATATTATGACTAGTTTTTGCGTCTAAAAACTCTTGTATCTCAAAAGTCTTACGTCTAAAGAGCCCTTTTTTTAAGTGGGGAAAATCATCGAATGACTGCTCCCGCCTTAGTGTCAGACTCTTACTGACTAAAAACCACCCCGTTCCTTCTCCTGCACGTCGAGCCGGAGCCCCGGTTACCCGTTAGGTTCTCCGCGACTCCGAATCGGCATCGGCCCTGTTGGGCCCCATCTGTGGTGGTCTGATGGCTCTTTGAGGCGTGCGCGGAACTCGATGCGCCGTACGCTCGGGTCTGTTTCTGGTCGGACGGGGTGCCATCCATGATCGCCGTCCGCAGGCCCGCGCAAAGAGCCCTTACTTACTTTTCCATTCCCTCGATTAGAATAGCGTCAATACCGTTGTCTAGAGGACAGGCAGAAAAGAAATGAAAGATTTAAAATATTGATCAATTCCTTTATTTAAGCATAAAACAAAATAAAAATCACCTTTGCTTAAAAGGAATAATAAAAACAGTGTTAAGCATGTACATGTTTGCTACCTACAGATACATAATAATTAAAGAGAAAAAAACACCCCCGCCATAAGTTACATTACTTGATATTGACAGCTACTAGAATTTACAAAGTGATGTTTACAAGAAAAAATGCAAATAAAAAAAACACGTGGAGTGGGAAACTTATGACGGTGGTATAGAATGTCAAGAGGATGAAACTTAAAAATAAAATGACTTCCAATTCACACTATACACAACTCAGTCTTCGTTACGTTACTCATCGGCAACACGGTCGCTTATATTACACCTATGTCAATATTCACTAGATATGGACGTAACTTTACTATAGGCAGAACGTTCATTTCCTTGCTCACATATCAATGTTGCCGCGTAATTATTATGAGATGTATGCATACAGTTAAAACATTATTCTACTAACAATTTTTAATTCTAGCTAGGTATAGTGGTGTTTCTGTGATTTTAGGACATTATCTATTTTCTAATTTTTCAAAATACTTATAGTAATCTACGAGAAATAATTTAACAATGCCATTCCACCTTATACATCTAAGTGTTATTATTTATGTACTACTAGCGCAAAAAATGATGATAATAATACAGATATATAAAAAAATCAAATTTCTAGCCGAATCTAGCAAACTTAATTTTATTGCACCTTCTGTTTACTATAATAATTATCACAAATCGTATATTATAGTCATTGTGAATGTTTGTTAATGGCACTTACTTCGTCTTGCGTCGGGAAACGAGTATATGTAATTTAGGACATTGAATATTGACAGAAACTGCATCAATTGCCGTTACTTAAGCTACAATAGTGAAAGCTAGTACAAGTTAATTTATCTCTTAATTAAGTATTATTTATTATCTGTACTAAAACTTATTAAAATCTATGGCAAGTACTCATAACCGCCACTGAGTCAGACAAAGAAACATTCACAACAACAATGAAATTCGGTTATACTTTTTAAAAAACAAATTGGTAACATCTATACATAAATATATTGTACACATTAATTAAAACAAAACGTACGTTGTTTATTAACCTCCCCAAATAACTATACACAAACCACCACTTTATTATGACTGATGAATTCATACGACAAGTGATTCTGATTGGCTATAAAAATGTTAGCCAACCAATCGCAATCATTTATTAGAATTGACCACAGATGAAATAGTCATCTGTCAAAACTAAATGATCTATGGTACATTATCTGACGCCATATTTGTAATATATGGCAACTTATTTATAAAATAGAATAAAAAAACAAATACAGAAGAAGAAATGCAATATACACAGGTGGTATGAACGAAGCAAATTAGTTAAGTACATAAGTTACATATAAAAAAATGCAATTAGATACAAAACACGGAATAATTATATTGAGTAAATACAATAAAACGAACACTGATGATATCGGATAGACAATGGTATTAATACAATAGGTTTTCATATTTTTGTATATTGAATATTATTATATTCTTTATTATTTAAAATTGTGACGCATTTGTTGAACATAGCTCCATAGATTAGATTGTTAATAGAAGACAATTGTTACAGTTACTCTGCTTTGTAGAGGGCGCTAATTTATGTCTCAATACTAAAGTATCTGGTATAGATACCAAGCTGTTACTACAAGGTCATTAAATAGGTTTCACTAGCGCCAACTGATTAACACAAAGTTAACGTGGTTCTATGTGATGCAACCAGGGGGCGCTCTTTAGGTTTCTATGACGGGGTCTATGAGGGGCTTATCTCAAAGATCCCTAATTTCTTTTGGTGCCAAGGTCACTCTATGTGCCTCGCGGCATTGCGGCGTCTCTCTGTAACCCGGTGCCCTAAGCACTTTAGGCCTAGTTTACCTTAGGGATAATAGGGCACTGGGGTCAACATGTCATTTCCAGGGTTTTAGGGGCATAAGTGAAGAAGCTAAGTCCAGCTTAGGCACTTCAAGTTTACAATTCGGTTTTAATACCGAACAGATTTTAATGGGCCATCTCGATCCTTCTAACATTTCAATGTTTATCTTATTATTGTCTTCAATAGAAACTTTTCTGTTAAGTATTGTTGTTTAAGAACATACCTAGAAATATGTTCTTGCATCTACCTTTATCTACATCTATTAAGTTCATATCTAGCCGTGACTATTACTAAGATAACGATTTTGTTAATAATTCTGAAAAGTTTTAAAATCTCTAATATTTTTGCGAATGTGTTAATGTTTCGCACCAAATTTGACAAATACAATTATTTAAAAAAGCGTAGTAGAGTTTAATCCTCGAGTTTTAAGTGAACCCAACTGGCTATCCTTTCTTTGGAAACGTTGATATAAACCTACTCGTAAAAAATCAAAATTCTAAGAGCATTAAAAAGACACATTCGTTGTTCAGGCAGAATATTTAAATCCCGCCTTTTTTAAGAATTTAGAATTCCTATCTACTCCAAGTTACACGCAAAATTTTGGTATATTTTCAATTTACATCAAAGAAAAAAATTGCTTGGTACGTAATTTTTTTCGCCATACTGGCTTTCCAATGTATTACTCAACCCTAAAGCACAATGGGGCTTACGTAAACCACGTCTCTGTCTTCTTTCAGTAAACTAAATTGTTCACACATTACGTTAACAACATTCGTCTCTAATAATTTGATATTTAACGTAATAACTTCCTCATTCACCTGGTGCCAAAATTAAAGAAAAAAAACTTTATTTCTACGTGGATTGTGACGTCATATAAATGCTTAGAATTTCTTTGTATACTGTTATTGTGGTTACCGACCGATATGGTCACTTATAGTAGGTAAACATCGATAAGTTTTTCATGGTTGGAAGCTGTTTAGTATATAGAGCAATATTTTTGACATTTTGTTAATGGCAACCCATAGGCAAATAACCTTTTGACAATTGCAGTGAATAAGTATATCATTTAAATTATTTTGATGTTTTTATTCCAAAAATCGTGTAGTTTTTTATTTAAGCGGCAAGCATAATTGGTTCAAATTTGCAAAAACGTATAAAATTTTGACCTAAACTCTGTTAATTGAAATATAATATCATCAAAAGTAATAGGTAATACTAAAAATTAACGTAGTATTTATATAAGTAAGTAGTAATTACCGTTTCCAAAATTAAGTGTCGATTATCATCCACAAAAGATCACATGGCAAGGCAAAATAAAACTAATAATTAGTTTAAAATATTAACGAGACCTTGTAACAACTTTAAATCAATGGATATTTGTGGAATTACTTTAATAGTTTTAGAGAGGAAATGCACGAGGAATTCGAAAAGCTAAACAAAAAAAAATCGCAGATTTATAATTTTAATCAAGGTGAAATATTCAATTGAATCCGTTACGTGCTTCTTAAACCGTGAAGTATATATATTTTTAACATGTAATTTTATTTCAAGCACTAACAAAACGTACGACGCACGCGCTATGGAACTAAAGTCGCCATTTTAAAAACTCTTCAATAAAATATTTACATTTAACCGTCTCGATTGTTGTTTGCCGCACATAGTCCGATTTTTCGTTAAAAAATAGTTAATTATAAATAAAATCACTGCGTCATCTGTCTAAAAATTAGATTAATCGTATTCCGTCATAGTGCTAGCAAAAATATTTTGATTTATCGATACCTAGGTAATTGACTCGATCGATTACTCTGCCTTGACGTGCTGTCGTTGTTCCCTGTTCATGTTCATTTCTTTCAAGCGTTGTCTTAGCTGTGCCTTCTTTAGGTTTGTCATGATCTGCGTAGATTGGTATAGCCAGGAGCCCTGGAACATTTAAATATGATTTTAAATCATTGTTATGAACAAACAAAGATATTTTCCGAAAACAATGTACCTATTCGAAATCTGTGTCAGTTGTAATTTATTCACTAGATTTAATAAATAAGGTATTATGGTACCCACTTAAGTAACGATATACTTGCTTGCACATTATAATAAAAAATGTACAGTAAGTGAATATCGATAATTATTCTTCTACGCAATGAACATTAGTAGTCGTAGTAGCCAGTATAGCATGGGATCTAAATGGGCTTACGAAATTCGATAGCTGTATCAAGAAGACAATACATAGACACTATTAACCATATAGTGTGGGAGAGCCATGCTTCGGCACGAATGGGCCGGCTCAACCGGAGTGATACCACGCCTTACAGAAAACCGACGTGAAGCAACGCTTGCGTTATGTTTCGTCGTGTGAGTGAGGTTACCAGAGGCCCAATTACCCTCCCCATCCTCAATCTCCCCAATCCCTGAATCCCCAACGATCCTCAAACTCCTAATCCCCAAAAGGCTGGTAACGGACTTGTAACGATTTGGTGTTCCAGGTGTCCATGGGCGACGCCAATTGCTTACCATCAGGTGATCCGTCTGCTCGTCTACCGGCTTATGCCATAAAAAATAGTCCACCGCATTAAGCAAAATAATAACAATCACAATCAAAAACTAAATCAATTACGATAATATCTATTCTATATCATACGATATCTTATCAACTTACCACCATTATCATGCAGTTTAGCAATATAGGGATGGAGAACACGACTGATATAAACAATCCTTTACTATCGAAGTACTGCTGCCTAGAGAATAAGGTCCAGTTTCGCGCAGCAACCTCGTTGATGTTCTCCGAGAAATATACTAGCAACACTGAAATAGAAAATAAAGATATATATAATAAGTACTTAGAATAATAATAAAATGATATGAATTTTTAATCGCTTTTATTTTCTTTTTACTACAGTCAGTAGTAGTAACAAACAGAGATTAAACCTAAAGAGAGACCTAGGTAAACACCTCATATTTTTTGCGCCGCCACTCTTCTTACTTTACACTGCTTACTTACGCAAAATTAGACACGGTAAGCGAGATTATAAGCCCCTGACCAGCTTGAAACGAGACGAGTATTTTCCGTAAATAAGCTGTTACACTTAATTTTGTATTTAATTTTAACTTCAAATCCTAAAGATTCCTTCTATTAAAGGACAGCCCGCCATTTTATATTCTGTGTTGCTTGACTTCTCAAAGTCAATAACGCCAAGCACAGCCGTGCCATTACAGACAGTGTACCACGACCTTTAGTCATGTTTTTATTCATTTTAACTATGATATAAAGATATAATAATAAAGTTTCAGAATACGTAAAAGAAATAACTTTCACTATTTTGACGCAGTGCCAAATTGATGCAGAGGCGCTTTCTGTGGTACCGATTTCTTGTCACACGACAGACATAAACTCACTATGAATGACGTAGGATGTAGACACACACGTAAACACGTATCTACTGTCCTGTCATGCCAAATACATCCTTATTTATTTATGAATAGACGTCTATAGGGTACAAAGTTGCAGTAGTCGAAATGCTATGAAAGATAGAGTTTTTCGCCAGGATAACAATTATATATCATACGCGAGAATAACATGTGGGTGCAAATTTAAAAAGTATAAATACAGCGAGAAACTAGCTTGTTTTGAAACGAAAACGTTGGTCGTCTAAGATCTATTTGTAAAGGGTGACCTCCAAACAAATTATAGGCTAGGTAGTAGGTATAAATGGAGTCATTTTCTTGTTTATATGACAGACTAAATTGGTATCGCGATACCCCTAATAGGTACTTTGTATCAGTTCCCTGGACGTCAAGACAAATGATAGTTGGGGCGGACCGTAATTGAATTACGGGTCTTGGACTCCCTAGTCAAGTTTCCAGGGAAAGATTATTGTAACCATCAAAAACGATGCAATGAGGTTTGTCAGTTTGAAACATCGTGCGTAATAAATATTAAGCGCATCAGCCATTCCAATTAAACTGTTTAGTAAAAACAGTATTAATTTTACTATTTTAGTCACGATACGAGCTAAATGTAGAACAAAAAAAGTACTCACATAATATTATGAACAATATCACTTGAAAGTTTCCATAGTTCCTAGTTGAGAAGCATGTGAAGGTAATAATGATGTGGAACGATATCAACGCTATTAACCATGGGTCGCGCCATTCAATCTGAAATTAAAATTAAATGAACATTAGTTGATAAATTCTATGAAAAAATATCATTTTTAGTTTTAAATACAACGTTTAGGTACTGCTGAAAAATTGCCGCCTTTCTGAGATGAAGTTTGCTATCTCAACTTGGGACTTTGAAGACCCATCTTTCAGTAGCTGTATAGCTGATGACAGTTTAAAGACATACCCAGTTCCATGTCTCAATAAAACAAAAAAAGAATAATTGTAAGGTTTCCTAATCACAGCTCAGACGGGAGACCAAACAAATATTCGAATGTAATTCAAATTGGCGTAAAGCTGAGCAAATGTATAAATGTAATATGTACTTTCTGTGTTGTTCGGAAGCCGTATATTTTAAACGACATATGTAGAAATGTAGGCTGAATAGATATGTAGATATTAAATATAGACAAATAGGCACCGCTATATCCTTAGGACAAATTAGAAATGTAATAATAGCGTAATAAGGCCTACTTTACAACTGAATCCAAAAAAATAGCGATTAGCGATTTATTTCAGAGTAAGTAGACTGTTGTAACATCGATAGTATAAGAAAAATTTCGTTCAGTGAAACTAATCTAGGTACTATCACAGAACTTTCTAGATATTTAAATGTTATTAATACTAACTATGTATTATTATTACCTACGTGAGCATTTTGTTTTGAAAATACAAACAAATACACTATGGCATACAACGTTTTATCGGTCAAGGTTAATAAAATCGATTAAGATTGCTTTTATATCTATTTCATTTTAAAACGTGATATTTTAATCATATTATGGATTACCGACGCGTGATTATTTGATGTCGCCTGTTATTTCATTATTTTGATTACACTTAAATAAATAGATAATTTACTTAACAATAGCTTTATGTGACTAGAGACCAAATAACCTGAGTATTTGAGAATACTACACTACTGTATGAAATTACTGAACAGAAAATGGTAAAATAATCACGTAGATTAACATAGCAACAGGCATAAATATAGGCAAGTAATTAAATTTTTAATAAAGAATCGTTAATTATTGCTATCCAATTGTACCTGTTTCCATCTCAAATTGTACAAATAACCCACAGGGGGGTTTATCATTTTTCTACAATTGACAAAAGTATAAAAAGACCAATTACCTTCTCCCCCCCCCCTTCCTCAATCTCCCCAATCCCTGAGTCCCCAACAATCCTCAAATTCCTAATAAAAAGGCCAGTAACGCACTTGTAACGCCTCTGGTGTTCAGGTGTCCATGGGCGATGCCGATTGCTTATCATCAGGAGATCCGTATACACGTTTACTGATTTATCCCATAAAAAAAATAGTATGATTAACTTCTAATTTGCACCTAGTAAGTAAAGTAAGTTCTAAACTTATTGCTAATTAGGTCACACATCGGATCTGTCTCATATAATGCTGAACATCTACGTGGGCAGCATAATTGCTGCCCACGTAGACCGCTACAATGACCGTAGTCTACATAGACTTGGAGAGGTTATTGCCATAGAGTTGCATTACGACTCACGATCGATACGCCACTGGGCCTCATAGTTTAAAGATAGGTAACGCTGCTGTCCCTACAGTTCTATTCACATATGCTAGCACAAGGTCGTGGTGGCCCCGAGGTTTAAGATGCCTGCTTCTCATGCATGAGAGTGCGCGTTCGAAACCTACCAATGTGATTTTTTCCGAGTTATATGTATGTACTTTCTAAGATTATTCAGACACCAGACACCACTGACAAACGGTGAAGGAAAACATCGTGAGGAAACCTGGGCTTGTAATTTCTAATTATAAGTTTGTAATCGCCAACCCGCATTGAGCAAGCGTGGTGATTAATGCTCAAACCTTCTTCGTGTGAGAAGAGGCTTTGCTCAGCAGTGGGCATTTACTTATACGCTATTTGGTAAGCAGGTACGAAAATACAGATTGATTGGGCACACAAACAGTGCCCATTGGTTGGCTACAGAGCCACCAAATAAAGAAGTAGCAAGATTTTGTTAAAAAGCATAAAATTTAGTAAAACAATAGCTACTGTCTCTGTCGATACTGAATCAATATTTTTTTTACATAATTACTAAATAAATAGTTTGACTGACATAATATACTTTTTAAATATTTTGTAATGTTTTTTCTTTCTTGAATGGCAACCGAGTCTCCAATATGTTGCCAATAATAAAAAAAAAATGTAATATTAAAACTATATTGCGTGAAGACAGCTTGAGGTACATGGGTTTATGTGGAGGCGTATGTAATTAGGCTCAGTTTCAAGTTGAATAGTTTATTAGCATAACCAGATCTTTGCGTGGTTTAGATAGGCGGTAGGCATTTTTACCTTTATTTTTTTCCTTACTTTCTCTGATTAGTCAAAATAAAAGAACGAATTGTTTAACATCTTTTTAAGGATTAATTATTAAAACATAAAAAAACTTTGGTATTTTTCCACAATTTGCTAGACAGAACATTATGTTTGCTACTGATAGCGTCTTTCTTTTGCCCTATAAACATTATCGCACCGGACGACGGAAATTTCCTTCGCCTTGAACCTACCTACTTACTTTAAATTATTTCTAAGTGGAATATTCAATTTAATAAAACTAAGAGTATTTATCTATTTGTACACATAACACATTTACTTATATTTTAAACGCGAAAGTTTTGAAGAAATCTAGATGTTTAGTATGTCGTGATTTTTTCACGCAAAACCTATTCAACCGACTACTAACGTGTTATGTAAAATCGCAGATTTCGGTGAAAGCTGAATCGATTATTAAAATTATTATGTAAATGAAAGTTATGGAATATTTATTTATTTCAGATAAAATCACGTTTAGCCAGTCTCATTGGCCGAGTGGTCGCAAGTGCGGCTGCCGGGTAAGGGGTCTCGGGTTCGATTCCCGGATCAGGCAAAGTACTAATGGGATTTTAAAAAATTCTGTAGTAGCACGGAGTCTGGAATTGTGCCCAGTATATGGCAATAGGTTCACCCCCTATTACATGGGACTCATAACATAAATAGTGAAAAGTGGGTGTTACATTGTACAGTAGTAATATGTACCTCTGCCTACCCCTTCGGGGATAAAAGGCGGGATGTTATGTACGTATATGTATGTATGTATTACGTTTAGACATTAGAAATCGGCTGCGTGGTAGAAGCATTACGTCTTTATAAATAAAATACATGAAACAAACAAAGCCTTAACCACCACACATACCTACCTAGTTAAGTACATAATTATTATATCCCCGTTACCAAACTTTTACGACGAAATAAGTATAAAAATCTTCGTGCCATTATGTAAATATTAACATTGTTTAAACTGTCAAACACCAAGCGGTCACCGGTGACCGCGACCTATTGTTCTTTAATTGTGTCTAGAAAACCGGTACTCGACGAGTTAATGATAACATTTTTCATCAATGATCACAATAGTCTGTTAATGTACTATTGCCAAGTGGGGTCGCCTCATGGGCGTTTTAGTATTTTTGTTCAATATAAATACACGAAAACCATACTTGATATAAAATATATTTATAAAAAACATCTTGAAATTTAGAATACCTAAATAAATTTAGAATACATAAAAAGAAACGTTTTTTTTTGTACCACTAAAATTAGAGCCAGTTTTTTTAATCTTTATTTTATAAATAAGTATAAAGTTTTTTTAAAAAAAGAACACAAAGGCAATTGCATCATACAAATATCTACCATCTATGTATGTAGGTATACTAGACACCTTAGGTACGAATAAGCATTGCTATTTAAACACTATCATCAAAATTCAGATACATTTATATTATCTACCTATACAAAAGTCGAAACAAGTCAAGGATTTCAGAAAAAACTTTACAATAAAATATCCATTTAAATATGTATTAAGCGAAAATGCGAATGGCAAACAAGACCTGTGTAAGACTATTTCAGCTACAAACAAGAATCGCGATAAAGACTAGACAAGAATAAGGAAATTACAAGTGAACGTCATATCGAAGTCTATTCTGAACCATAGCGCCAGTTCAAGGTCATCGCAGCTGTGTATTTCGCTACCAATGCGGTTTTAAAACATCATTTGAAATGGTTGGCTTAACCGCATTCATACCAGCCACGGAATAGCGCAATATTTGGTAATCATTACCATCTTTAAAACAAGGTTGCTAATCATAGAGTCTTGATGCAAAAAGATGCAAGGTATGTTTCACAATGTCTGATCAGTTTCTATTAATCTAATCGTCACATAATTTGATGTAAATTTTACGCGTAATGACAGTAAACTATCGTGACATTCTCAATCAAACCCTGGGTAAATACTTTTAAAATCTTGGTTGCCTGTTGTAAAGCAAAAAAATCCTTCTATACATAGAAAGAAGAATATTTTTTGGGCAAAAAAACATCGAAACAGTACCTAGGTACTTTACTTATATGGCATGGAACATCTGGCACAAACATCGGATGCCAATAACGCTACAAGCGACCTCTATTGAAACCAAAATTAGAAAGTATTTCATCTAACCTTTGTGGGCCTCAAATACAAGATTAATTTGCAATAATTCGCGCATGAGAATCGTTATTCTCACTACTAATGGCCTTGGTTAATATTTAACTAAGGTCAAGGTCGGGCGTGGACATACATACATTCATACAATAAATGTAATTTTCCTCATAAACAGAACAACAAATCTGGTAACTCAATTGTGGTAACTCAATGATATTATTTAAATCTAGGTATTTGAATTAAAAAACATATTTTCTGGCATTTACTTCAATACCTTCTTTTTTTTTGAGGGGGAAAGTCATCCAATGAATTCTCCCGCTCGGGTAAGGCGAGAGGGAGTGTCAGACTCTTACTGACTAAAAACCACCCCGTTCCTACTCCTGCACTTCGAGCCGGAGCCCCGGCAACCCGTTAAGTCTTCCGCGGCTCCATAATTTATTTCAATACGTAGGCAGCTTTTAAAAAACCTGTTTACCTAACTACAGTAAACATAGCAAAACTATAATGCGTCATTGCGAGACTTGTCTCGTGTTAAAATCACTTTTGCCGAAAATAACTTATCAAGTCACCTGTATTAGATAAAAGATATGCCAGTACTTAAATACTGGTTGTATCAAGAAATAATAATACTTGTTAGGTACCTATACAAATGTATTATTAAACACAATTTATACTTGCACTTATTATGAAGAGAAAAGATTTGATTGTTTGACTGTTTGCATAGTATAGGCTCTGAAACTACTGGTCCAATTAGAAAAATACTTTCTCCATTAGAAAGCTTACATTTCAGGGAAGAACCATAAGCCATAGTTTGTCCTAATACAAAATCTGGAGCTATTTGAGAGACCTATTTGTCTAAATTCCATGCAAAAGAATATGCTAGCCGAAAGATAGTTTGTAAATAAACAAATCTATGTTTACTATATTCTAAGATAGATAAAATCTTAAAGAGTCAATAAGATATGTGTCACTATGTAAACAGACTATTTTACACTGACCTCTACTACTTATTACATTGCATGATTCAAGGTCAAGGTGATTAAGTAAACAACTTCTCAAGTCATGACATAATAAGTTTTTTAATAACATTTGATGATATAATATCTGTAGTTTAAACAAAATTAACTAAGCCAGATTTGGCTATGCTGGAAACTTAAAAACGGCAAAGAGGTTTAGGTAATTCTTCTTTTGTCTAGTCCTGACCAAGACACTATACAAGAAAAATTGGTAGGAAAAGCAGATTAATAATTATCATGATTATACCATCATTAATTTGGTAGCCACAAGGATATCTCTTTTGACCTGTTAATTAGTTATGGGTTTGGTACAGTTAGGTGAATAGAATTCGGGTGTGACTAGAGATGGAATAAGGGTAAATAGACATTAGGAAATATTTCATCGTATCTATTCACCACATTCCCGTATCAACACCCTCGGGCTGTATTCACCCCATTTTCCATAGTCACACATATCTCAGACTACATTCTTACTGTTGTTCATCAAGCATGCTTGTTTACCTCATGTATAAATAATATTTATTTAGAACACCCTATAAAATAAAATGAAGAATATTAACTGAGAAAAGTAACAGTTATATGCATTGATAAAAATGTCACAAAACGAATAAAAATATTTCATTATCACAAAATAGTTCAGTTTTCATATTTTTGTAAAGATAGTACCAACATGTTGATAACCCGGCGCACAAGTAAATAATAATTATGTCATTATGATTTTTATCACACTCCTACATACAGAATGCTGTTGAAGTACACGCTATGTTTCACTGAAAAGAAATGAATTGTTTTGGAGAATGAATGCAAAGATTTTTTGTATCCCATCATACTATATACCTACATTATTAATGTAGGTACATTATTAGCAATATGTTTCTGCTAACAAATTTATGCAATGCAACATTACATAAAACTAATTCACATACAAGCTAGTCCATTGCAAGTATTGATAAGAATGCCATTACAATTGGTAGTTTTAGTAATTACAATTTTAGCATTAATTAAAAACATCCTCTTTATATTACTCCACAGAACATGTTAGTATTAAAACATTCCTCTAAAAGATCTCTTGAGTATGTGTTACACTCATAAACTCTATGATATGTTTTATTACCTATAAAAATTAATAGCAAATTGTGTTTTTAAGTTGGAACTGATATAGGCTTATAGGTAGTGAAGACCTTCTACATTAAAACAGTGTACATACATAGTTGTTAGGTCAAGTTTTACTTGTATGTGAAGCTATATTATGTTAATTTAAAAACCTTTGCTCTCTGTTACCGGCAAAACAATAGTAAAATGATAATTAGACAGGTACCGACTGAGAATTCCGTAGGCCACGGTTTCCAACGGACTCGAGAGGGCGACGTAATCACAACGTAACCGCCCAGATGGGACTACTTTAAGTAATTAATAATTTAATCATCATTACACTCTCACATTACATGTATTAAAATAGTAACACAGTAATCGCAATTCATATAAGTTCACCGTATATATACATAGCGTTAATAGTTAATGCCCATACTCACACTGCGGAGATATGATATAAAATCCGATATTTGATTAACTTCCACAAATTCCTCCATGTTCAAAATTTACACGTAAACACAAAGTTCTTCAAAATTGCTATTTTATTAAAAACGATGCCTTGATATTACGTTATTTACTCAATGATCACATCAATGAAATGAATGAGACGGACGGTGAATGACTCTCACTCGCGAGCTGGCAGCTCTTTTGCTTGATTGACGTTGACAGTTTCACATGTGACATTATAAAGAATGACGTCATAAATATTGCCATAGGAAATATTAATTTAGTTGTGGTCTTCTTCATGAAGTCTTTGGTTGTTTGTTGGTTTATATTGTACAAACAAGGACGTTGAAAAGTATTTGGTTCTAATTTACAATAATGCATAAAATAACGCACTGTAGGGGCTGCCATGTGTAGATATGAACAACTGTGGCTGTAGAGTGCCGTCGTGCGTGCCTATACTTCTCTTAGCGTGTCGTGCCGTCATTTTATTTCACTGTAGTTGTGACATCTGTGCTCTTTTTCATTTCCTTCATTCTTTCTTGAAGCTCATTCGCTCATCCAGTAACCAGTCGAACGAACGAAGAGGAACGGAATACATTCGCTCGGTCCTCGTTCCGTATAATTTTTTTAGTAAAACAAAATTTTGTAGTGCTTTGTTCCAGTTGTCTAAGTGTAATTATAAGTGAATTTCTGATAAGAAAATCTATTATCATTAGATTAAGTAAATCCTTTGTAATATGTTTAATGTAAGTCGTCTGAGTTATATAGTAAGAATAATGTTTGAATAAAATTACCGACTTTTTCGTAAAAGCTCGCGAGCCGGCAGCGAAATGCCATACAATAACATATTATCAACGACTGCAGGAATTCTAACAACATGTGTTATAATATTTCTCCACGACGCACAAGTATTGGGTAATTTGGTGAATCGACCCAGTGATAGATATACTCTAGATGTATCTGGTTGCGCTTTGTATCATAAGCTATGTTCGCACTTAGATGATGATCTTGCAATACTATCTTGTGCTCTAAACGCGTCATATAACAAAACCCAAGTTTTAATAGTCTGCCAACACAAGCTGTGGAATCACCAAGCTGAACTTTTGGACAATGACTATGTGGAATACAAACTGAAGGAGCCATGTCAGGACGAGCCTGTAATAACAAATTGTCTTACTTCAAGTGGAATAAATGAATATAAGATTGATTGTGTACTAAAGAAGAAATCAAGTGTGAGGAATAAAAAATGTTGGAGGATGATAAACAAAATAGAATCTCTGGTATTCAATGACTGGCAGATCATAGGCAATTTCCTGAAAAACTGTTATGATGATATAGAAGGTCATACTTGTGGGAGAATTCCAATAAATCAAAGAAGTTTATCTCAAAAACAAACTTTAAAATGTTTGCAAGAAAAAGATGTGAACCCAAGACCTGAGTGTCAAGCGGAGATTGCTGCGCTTGAGGAGATGAAATATGATAATCTTCAGCTAGATAAAATCATATTTGCTGCATGCAATTTGGATCAGAAGAACTTCTGCCCTGATGAGGTACCTGGATCATGGCTGATGTACAAGTGTTTATTGCGGCATAAATATGAAAATGGTGACTATTCTTAGTGATCTTATTAATAATAAAATTATGCTTTTGTGAATCGAGAAGTCATAACTGAAAACAATAATTGTTTTCAATTAGCATTCATAATAAAACAATTGTGCTATTAATGATTGTTATCATACATAACATTTTTATCAAAACAATAATACAACAATTAGTAATGGGTAATTGGTTAGTTGATTTTATATGCAATATTTTTTTTATTACAGGAATGAGGAAAAAGTGCCAGGATCAATTGTTTTATGACCAAAGAAGTATTGTGATGAATTATAGAATGAGCAAAGGGTTAGTGAAGTCTTGTAAAGAAGACATAAGGAAATATCATTGCCGAAAAGGTGTTGTGGATGATAAGGATGTAAGATTGGCACAAATTTTATTATGTTTAGAAAATGTATCTCGTAATGACAGCTCTAAATTAAGTAGTGAATGTACAGCAGAGATGATTGATCATAGAAAGATGCTTATGGATGACTACAGATTGTCACCAGAGTTAATGCAGAACTGTGCTAATGATATCACAATACTGTGCAAAGGTATTGAAGCGGGAGGTAGAACCATTCATTGTCTCATGGACCATGCTAGACCGAGAAAAAGGAAAGACAAAAGAATAAGTTCTGCATGTCAGAAATCCTTGGAAATATTGATCCAAGAAGCTGATCCCGGTGAAGATTGGAGAGTGGATCCAATATTACGCAGAGCCTGCAAACCTGTGGTTGACAGAGCTTGCAGAGAAGTAAGCTATGGAAATGGAAGAGTCATGTCATGTTTGATGGAAAAATTGGGAACCAATCTGATGACTAATGATTGTGAAGCTGCTTTGTTACAAATTCAATATTTTATATCCAGAGACTTTAAGCTGGATCCTCAGCTATACAAGGCATGTAAATATGATGCAGTTACAGTATGTAAAGCTAAACTCCAGTGGGCTGATGCCAGTGAACACCAGTCTGAGAAAGACCCTCTAGTGTTACCATGCTTATATAACTATGCCTATAATCCAGATCTCAGAGGAAGGTTGAAACCTGGCTGTGAGACCCAAGTGAGAAGAGTAATGAGACAGAGAGCTATTAGTGTAGACCTTATGCCAGAAATTGAAGACTATTGCATGGATGATCTAATTAATCTGTGCTTCGAAAATACAGGCAAAGGAGAAGAAATATCATGTTTACAAAGTAAAATAAAGGAACTTGGACCAAAATGTAGAGAAATTGTTACTAATTTTACAGAAACCCAGAGTGGCCATATTGAATTGAATGCTGTAGTTAACATTAACTGCAGAGTACCTATTGAGAGGCTATGCTCGTCTGAACTGAAAAGCAAGAAAGAGGAGGATGATGTAATGGAATGTTTGATAAGTCATAAAAATGACCCTGAAATAAAGGCCAATGTCAACTGCAGAGCTGCTATAGAACATGAGCAATTGATCTCCTTAAAGAATTATCGGTTTACGAGAAAATTTAAGAATGCTTGTAAATCTTATGTGGTTAGATTTTGTCCCAAAGCACAAACTAAAAGTCAGGTAGTCACATGTCTTAGTGAAATAGTCAGGAATGATACAATTTCAAAGAAAAAGCATACAATATTTAAGGATTGTCGCCAGCAGTTAAGGCAGCAGTTGTTCCAACAGAAAGAGAACATTGATTTGGATCCAGAACTGAAAGAAGCTTGTAAGAATGATTTACAGATGTACTGTGCTAATGTGCCACATGGGGAGTCGGCAGCTTTAGAGTGTCTGCAGACAGCTAGAGGAAAGTTATCTGATGAATGTAGAAAAGCCATATTTGTTGTAAGGAAGCAAGAGTTCGCTGACAATGCAGTTGACTATCATTTGATTACGAGTTGTAATGACATGATAGACTTGTATTGTCATAATACAGATGCATCAAAAATTCTAGATTGTTTAAAGGTAATAATAATTTTTATTTGAACATTCATGTTAAGAAGGTATAAATGTATTATGCACTTACAAAACTATAAACTGTTTTTATATTTCAGATTCACCGACAGGAACTACATTTCGATGAGAACTGCAAAGTGGTTATTGTTAATAGGATGATAGAACAGAATATGGATTACCGGTTTAATAACAATTTGCAGATAGCATGCAAAACGGATATCACGAAATTTTGTTCAGATGTGATTGGTATAAAATCCATTTTTAAATTAGGTAGACATATTTACAAACTTTAGTAGTAGATTTTTTTATTTAATTTTGTAGGATGATATAGATCATGGCTTAAGATGACTGCAAAAGACATTTTGTTCTCAAAGTTGTAAGTAAATGGAATGTCATGCATTTTTTGTACTGCAGTGTGTTGTACTCATCATCATATTCTATTTTCATATTCATTTGCTTCGTTATTCTGGGTGAGTTTATACTAATTTATTTACATGTTCTTAATTACAGTCAAAGAACCACAAGATATGGAACTGCAAGGAAAAATGTTGTACTGCTTGAAAGAAAAGTTCAGGGAGTCAAAATTGACATCATCTTGTGAAAATGAACTGGCAAATGTGTTAAAAGAGCAAGCTCTGAATTACCGCCTGGATCCATTGCTTGGTAAATTGTGCAAAGCGGAAATACAGACAATTTGTCCTGTGCCAAATGACATTACAAACTCTGATGGACAGGTAAAGTAACATTATTTTAGTGAATATGACTAGAATTTGCCGATTTCACAGACATTCTGTCAGTAAATTTTTGTCTCCAATGAATATTAATGAGTTAACTAATTTAGTCTCTACAGTTAAAAATTATTCATGATTTTTTGTCGTCTACCATGATAATACCACAGAAATATGCGGTTTAATAGAATAGAGAGCTGATTGTACTCATATTTTTGCCTCCACAGGTAGAAGAATGCCTGAAAAATGCTCTCTTGAATCATAAAATAGTGTCGGCGGAATGTGCACATGAGGTGGCACAGATCATAGAGGAAACTGAAGTTGATATTGAGGCAGATCCCTTATTAGAGAGAGCTTGTGCTATGGATCTGTTGACTTATTGTAAAGACCTTGAGCATGGTGCTGGAAGACGTAAGTTCAAACTAATCATAAAAAATATCCTTTATTCAGTTTAATATTTAATTCCCAAGTTTTTATATTTAAGTTTTCTGAGTAAATATTTATTTTTTATTAATTTTTCCAGGTTTAAAATGTCTGAAGATTATTCTGAATGATAGTAATCGTAAATTAGAGGCTGAGTGTCAAAAAGCACTCTCCAGTAGATTAGAAATGTATAAACATGTGGCTGCTGTAAGTATCAATAAATTCAAAATATATTAATTAAGACTTATTTCTTGGTTTGATCTCACCACAGTATTTTATGGATTTTAGACTGAGAAATATCTTAGGTATAACTAGAGATTATGTTATTATCTCAATCTATCAAATATCATGTATAGTCATAATTTTTTTTTAATTAACTAATATTCCTTTTTTTGTTCCAGTTGAATGTGATAGAAAATTTTGGCGATATGTATAATGAAATATCATCATCACCGTCTAAGAAATACTTTTTAATTGTAGGCATTTCAATTATAGGTTTAATTTTTATATGTGGACTATATTGTGGTAATTTGGCTAGGCAAGCTTTGTATGTTAAAAGGAAATAGATATTATAATATATAATTTAAATCAATAAAAATCTTTTAAAAATTTTAATATTTGTAGTTTTGATTTATTAAGTCCTGTGGCATAATATGGTGATATTACAAAATTATAACAGGAAGCCAGGCCAGCTGTATTCTATTTACAAACTAACAAAATGGAAGTGATAACTTAGGTTTGTTTATGACTATCAGTACATCCTGTTTAAATACTGCTTGAAATGCACCAATTCACTAGTACATTCCAGCATTCATATAATAAAGTCTATTCATGAAAATTATCAGTTGTGTCATATCATATCCAGGAAGTTTTTATGTTTATGAAAACAAATGAAACTTGCATTACATAGCTTCATCAAAATCCATTTCATCAAATTCTTCAATTGCTTCCTTTTTCACGGGGACTTTTTTAGCTTCTTTCTTTATTTCTAACTTGATCTCTCCCTTTGCAATCTTCTGACTTTCTTCAAAATACTGATTAGGATGGTTGATGCCCAACCCCAGATCACAATGATGTACAGCATCAAAGTACTTGCTGCAAGCAATTTGGAAGTGTCCTTTCTTTGTCATGTCTATTATTTCTCCGATTGCTAAAACAAAACAAATATTTTAAAACATTAAGTAATATAACATAGACTTGTAGTAATTGAAACGAGTTTGCAAGTAAAAATACAAACCTTGAGCATCAAAACCATAGCCCTGCAGTCTATTCTTCAATATCCCTACATCGCAATGCCTGTAAGGACATCCATGACAATCTCCTGGGCCAACAGTATTATTAATAATCTTCAAACAACTGAATGGAGAGTAATTCCTCTTACTACCCTCCTTACCATAGTTGTATCTTACATTATAAGCATACTGTTTCTCAAATTTATCCAATTCCATGATTTTTGTAAACTCTTCTCTCCAGAATCTGAGAGAATCTTCCAGTGTTACACCTATTCCTTTGAGGAATAGTCCATACTGCAGCCTACCCCCATGTTTGAGATGATGGGCAACTCTCAGTTGATCATGGAGCTGCCGCATACACAGTGGGAACAATTTCACAGCCAATGAATCTAGAGTCTCTATAGGTATTATAGCCTTCGCATCACTATAGTCATTTCCTGAATAAGATTGGTGCAATCCTTTCAACAGGGACACTAATCGCTCATCCTGTTCAATTTCCCCAAGGTGGTGACAGGCCACAGCCAAACTTTGTTTCAATTGAGTTCTGTACTGAGCAGATAACACAGATATGAAATCTTTATGAGGTATGTAAGCATAACCACCACTCAAATACACTTTCCTCATCTTTACTAGATCTAATACTTCGAAAAATTTAACTTTGAAGAACTTCATATTGTCAATGTTCGAGTGTGGAGTGGACTCCCTCAGAAAATGTATAATTTCACTTTTTTCTTCGTCACTGATGTTAGTGTAGCACAGATTGTTTAGTTTGAAGAATGTTTCGACAGCTTCACCCCTCATTGTCGCGAACCTCATCTTGAATAGTTCTAATTCTCTTGCAATAAACCACCGTCGTAATTCTTCAGTTCTGCAGTAAGCTAGTCGGAGAATGAAGTGTGCAATGTGGTCTTTACGTCTCGCCTGTAAATCAGCTTCAGTAGTAGCACAAGATGATTTTTCGCAAAGCTTGGCATAATACTTCAGACCTTGAGTTTTAAGTTCACCAATAACGTAATCTGTCCATTCTTCTGAGTACAATCGCAGACCTTTTAGTGTAGTTGCTGTGGCTAAACTTCTCAACAAAGTCACTCTTTCTAAAGCTAAAGTTTCAAACTCTTGCAGTGTTATATCTTCAGTAGGTGGTATCTTGTACATTTGTAGGTCATGCGGATAAGTCTCTACGAGACTTCCCGTCAATGGGAGTTTAGTAGACTTTCTTCTAATATTCAAATCCATTATGTTTTTACCGAAAACATTTGCTTCAACGAGATCACAACATGAACAAGTTGACACATATATTTCGCGCCAAACTTTGACATTTTGTCATTATTTATTTGAGTCATTGTCAAATTATCAATTTTTTTTAACATAGATAAAGGACTTTTGGATTGAAAATTGGAATATTATAAGTAATAATATCTCATTTTATCATAGTACTAACTACTTTTATTTATACAACGATAAATTGAACTATTATTATATTTTGTTTCAGTCTAAAGTTTGAAATGAGCTATAGTTAGTTTTTAATAAATAATAAAGACCTTGGCCGGGCAGAAATACTACCTGAAATCTAAATGTAACGGGTTTATGGGCGTGAAGTTGTGACGTTAATAATAAGATTGGGTTGAAAAATATTTAAGATTGAATTGAATTGTAAAATAACCATGCTAATCAATTTTCTGCACGAAATGGAAAAAACGTGACACGCATGCTTCTTTATGCACACTGTTTCCGGTTTTCCACTTTGTCTCTGTCGTCTCTACCTCTCCCCCCTCCTTTCATAATTGTCAATCTGTCAAGTTGAGTAAACTCAATAAAATCGAATTTTATTTATATTTTGAATTAGTTTCTACAGAGGAAATAATAAATTATGTTTAACTTTACATCAAAGACATAGAATAGGGCCATTAGTAATATATTGGTACGGGTTTAAAGTATAATTGGATTATAAAATGGTATCGAACAAGATGCAGTCGTCATTGGACGATTTAGTTCAATATACACAGCTTTTTAAGCCGGTGCCAACTGTTCTGCAAGGGACTGTGCTGCCTTTTTTGATAATATACCCAATTGTGTTTTATTCGTGGATCGTTGTGTATGGATTCGAGGAAAATGTGGAGGCTGGATTCGTCAGTGTTGCGGTCGTCGCAGCTATACAAATTCTCGTTTGTCTCTGTTGCTACTGGAGCGTACACATTCAATGCTTCTTGTCGTGTTCTTCTGTAAGTATTTCAGTGTTTTATACCTATCAAATTGGCTGTTGTCAGTCATTTTCCTTATCTTCGGCGATGTATGATGATGATGATGTTAATGTTTTTCATTTTTAGGTTAAAGATCCAATTCAGGCGGAGATAGTCAAAGTAGTACCTACATCGAATAATGGATTCTCTGAAATTGTTAAGCTTCATCACACCAAGGTATGTTGTTGAGATTTTATGTATAATATAATATAATATGATATGATTCAGTTCTGTAGTGTCTTACCATCTCTTAGTTTTCCTTTTTAATATAATATGGATAACATAGTGGTTCACATTTGGAAATATGTAACTATTCATATAAATCTAGCCTACAAGACACCATAATTTTCAATAAAATATTCATGTACCCAGTGTATTTTTTACAGTCAACTACAAAAGGCAGTATACATCCAGATGTGTGGTTTATATTTCAAAAAAGCAAGTACATTTATGATTGGGACAAGAAATCTTTTCATACCATTGAGTTCCCAATCAACAAGACTTATGAGGAGTACATGGAATCTAAGGGTTATTTGGATGATGAAGCCATTGATATTGCTGAAAAAGAGTTTGGAAAGAATGAAATGATTATGGTAAGTGTTTTTAATCTACTCCATATTAACCTTAGTGATGATTGTCATGTTTGAGTGGTTTACTAGAATGTAGATTGCAGCAAGACACAATGTAACTTGCACTTGTAATTCTGAAGTAGTTTGAAGTAATTTATTATTTTTACTAAAGTCTTTTAAGTCTGCCAATCTTCCATTCTCCAGTTGGTCATTTCTTGATTCTAATTACCGTGACCATTTTTACTTGACTTAAACACATTATCTACAAAACAGCCATTTAATAATTTTTTTATGTCACAGTGATGACCGAATTTGTATCTTTGACTTCTGTCATAGACTGTCTCATTGGCCAAGTGGTTGAAAGTGCAACTACCAGGCAAGGGGTTTATTCTCGGATCGGGCAAAGTATTACAGGGTTGTTAAAATCTCAGTAGTAGCACGGAGTCTGGAAATGTGCCCGGTATATGGCAATAGGCTCACCCCCTATTTATTACATGGGACTCATAACATAAAATAGTAAAAAGTGGGTGTTACATTGTACTGTGTTGTAATGTGCACCTCTGTCTATCCCTTTAGGGATAAAAGGCGTGATGTTATGTTATGTTATTTTATGTTCTTTCATATTTTAATAATCATAGTTCGGTCAAAATAGAAATGATCCAGGAAATTACAAACGTCAAAACAAGAAACATCAATTGGAAAATAGGTAAAATATAGTTGGCACAGTTACTTGATAAGCTGGTAAGAAAATGGAGGTTGATACAGTATGGACACAGTAACCATTGTTACACTAAATAATAATAATTATAGTTTTTAATGAAGTCATAACTTATGTAACCATCGGTCGACTCGCTAGCTAAACAATAATTATCGACTCTATACTGAATCAATCTCCATTTTCGTACTTCTATATTAAATAACATTTCAAATATATATTTTCTTCGACTGAACATTGTTTGATATTATCCAAAACAATTAGAAAAAAATAATAATAAGGTAACACTTCATAGCTTTCATGATCTCATAATATTATTTTAATAGGTATTGTCTTTGGAAGGCTATAGTGACATTGTCTATTGTCAGCCAACAATACAGTTAGAGAGGAGTCTAACTTGTAATTAAATTAAATGCATGCCTGAAAGTGCGACAGGTTAATTGGATGATATGTGCTAGAAATATTCATGTTAGTTTTTAAGACAACACCCTTGCCGAGGAAAACTTTAATAACTGATTCGCTATAAAAAAATATGCACAAACTATCCTCAACTAGGTTTTAACCCTTGGTCTGCCGGAATTCAGATCTACGCGAGATAGAATGTATTTTCTATTGTCTTATCTTATATTAATTATACCGGCAATTAAGTGGATAATTGCCATGGCCATTCATAACTGGTCTTAATTTATCTATCTACAAATTAACCGAAATTCTTCGTAGTAGTAAATAGGACCTTATGACTAAAGACTACAATGATTGTTTCAGGTTGTCCCCGAGTTCATGGAACTGTTCAAAGAACGAGCAACAGCTCCATTTTTTGTGTTCCAAGTATTTTGCGTCGCATTGTGGTGCCTAGACAAGTACTGGTACTACTCCATATTCACCTTAGTGATGCTTGTCATGTTTGAATGCACCTTAGTACAGCAACAACTAAGAAACATGGCCGAAATCCGGAAGATGGGGAACAAACCTTACAATATTAATGTCTACAGAAACAGAAGATGGCGTCAAATAATGAGCGATCAGCTCCTACCAGGCGATGTTGTCTCTCTCATACGCTCCACTAACGAGAACCTAGTACCTTGTGACATTGTCCTCCTCAGAGGCTCCTGTATAGTTGACGAGTCCATGTTAACTGGTGAAAGTGTCCCCCAAATGAAGGAAGCTGTGGATAATGAAAAGAATTTGAAACAACTGCTAGATCCTGAGGGAGAAGGCAAACTGCACATGCTTTTTGGTGGCACTAAGATCGTCCAACATTCGTCGCCTAACAAAAACACTTCGTCCGCACTCAAGGCGCCCGACAATGGCTGCATCGGATATGTTATCCGCAACGGTTTTAACACGTCACAAGGCAAACTTCTAAGAACTATTTTATTTGGTGTGAAGAGAGTTACAGCAAACAATCTGGAGACATTTGGATTTATTCTTTTCTTGCTTATCTTCGCAATTGCCGCCGCAGCATATGTTTGGATCAAGGGCTGTGAGGATCCTGAGAGGAACAGATACAAACTGTTTTTAGAATGCACATTGATTTTGACCTCAGTTGTACCACCAGAACTTCCTATAGAGTTGTCACTAGCCGTGAACACATCACTATTATCATTGTCCAAGTTAGCAGTATTTTGTACAGAACCTTTCAGGATACCATTTGCAGGAAAAGTAGAAATTTGCTGTTTTGATAAGACTGGTACACTTACGAGTGATAATTTAGTTGTAGAAGGTGTGGCCGGTATTGAGGACCACAAAGATGCTACAGTCATTCCATTATCTCAAGCACCCATGGAGACTATTCAAGTGCTGGCCTCTTGTCATTCTCTAGTGCAACTGGACGATGGCGTGGTTGGAGACCCATTGGAGAAAGCGACTCTGAAAGCTGCAGAGTGGAACCTGACCAAAGGAGATGCTGTTGTGCCAAAGAAAGGAAAGTCACCTGGCCTGAAGATAGTTCACAGAAATCACTTCTCAAGTGCCCTTAAGCGAATGTCAGTGATAGCAGGCTACCAAGTCAACGAGCGAGGGTTCATAGAAACTCATTACATAAGCAGCGTGAAGGGTGCGCCAGAAACCGTGAAGACCATGCTCAAGGAGGTTCCTAGTCACTACGACCACGTCTACCTGACTCTGTCGCGGCGAGGGGCTCGAGTGCTGGCGTTAGGTTATAGGAATTTAGGCAAATTAAGTTCTCAACAAATTAGGGAAATGTCCCGCGAAGATATAGAATCTGATTTGACATTTGTTGGCTTTGTGATTATTTCGTGTCCTTTGAAAAGTGATTCTAAGAAAGCGATATCAGAAATTGTGAATGCTTCTCATTCCGTGGTGATGATAACCGGGGATAATCCTTTGACAGCATGTCACGTGGCTAAGGAGTTGAAGTTTACTCAAAAGGAAGAGGTTCTGATATTGACTGAGAATGAGAGTAAGTGGGGCTGGACATCGATAGATGAGGAAGTGAATCTACCCGTGAATCCGTTCAAGACGTCTAAACAGTTGACTTCGAAGTTTGATTTGTGTATAACGGGAGAAGGTTTGACATTCCTAAATGAGAATCATCACAAATTTCTGTTGGAACTGATGCCGCATATCAAGGTGTTCGCTAGATTCGCGCCAAAACAGAAGGAGTTTGTCGTGGTCACGTTGAAGTCTCTTGGCTACGTGACGCTCATGTGTGGTGACGGTACAAACGACGTGGGAGCACTGAAACATGCTGACGTGAGTACTTACATCTTTTATATCCTTCTATTGATTGTACCTACTTACTACTGCATTATCTCCGATATGAATAAATACAAGGGATCTATGAAATCGGAAGTTAATTACATTTACATTTTTGTTTACACTAACGAGTTATAAATATCATTGTCATGGAGGTGAAATATTGCTAAGTATAATCTGTTTTTAGAGATAAGTAGTAATATAACGATGTAAGAAAAATAATTGTTATAATTCCACATACAGGTAGGAGTAGCAATCCTAGCGAATGCGCCAGAACGGCCGCGTGAGAAGCCACGGGAAGAGCGAGCGCTTGAAGAAGCTCCGCGGCGGAACACGAGCCGGACTGACGCACGCGCAGAGGCGGCCGCGCGCCTGCGCAGAGCCATGCGCGAGCTCGAAGAGGAAGACATGCAACTCGTGCGCCTCGGGGACGCCAGTGTCGCTGCACCATTCACTAGTCGACTTTCTAGCATATTTTGCAGTAAGTTTTCTAATGCTTTGTAGAGATAAACCTTAAAATTAGTAGTTATAGCCTATGGTAGTGTTTATAATAAGAGTATATGGAAACTATTTAAGACTGTAAGTCATGGTCATCAGACATATACAGATTAATTAGCAAAGAAAATTAAAACCTCGACATCTGAGTCTCGGACTCATCATAATCTGACTTAAGAAATCCTTCTCATAATAGTCCAGTAAATAATTAATAATACTGAAAAAATATGAATAAAAGAAAAAAAAATGATGTAACCATGCAATACAAAACACTCCGTCTCATTCTTTCTACCACACTTAAAGTATCGTCCACAGTTTTATATGCAAATTAGGCAAACAACTGTATACAATCAAATCAGTGGCCTCTAGGTTAAGTATAAGTCAAGGAAATGATAAAAGTACGCAATAAAATTCGTAATTACTTACTGAATGTTTTACCTGTAGAAATTAAAACATTTTTATCTATTTAGCTCTATCTACTTCAACAAACTATCCTTGTAGAGAACTTATAATCTCGCTATCACAATTTATGTATTGTGACCAGAATATCGACCTACTACAATATGTCATTGGAATTTCGACTTTATGTATATTCCAACCATAGAGTTGAAAATCTAATAAAGAAATTTGACACAAAAGATTAGGTTGTATGTACCTGCCTGCACATTGTACTTGTTATAAATTAAAGATTACATATTATTATTATTGAAAGCAAAGACCGAGTAGTTGCAAACGTGACTATTAAACCAGGGGTCTCAAGTTCGACTCTCGAGTTGGGCAAAGTGTTATTACGGTCTAATCTTCAGTAGCGTGAACTCTGAAATTGTAAATTACATTGTAGATGCCTCTGCTTACCTCTTTAAGGACTTACCTATCATGCCATTTTTGATAAAAGCCTACATAATTAAAATAAAGAAAAAAAAATAACTTACCATAGCAAATTGAACCTTAAACACAATGATTTGTTCCCAGTTTGTCACATAATCAAGCAAGGCCGGTGTACACTGGTGACGACGCTGCAAATGTTCAAGATCTTGGCCCTGAACGCTCTCATCTTGGCGTACAGTCAATCTGTTCTGTACCTTGATGGCATCAAGTTTAGTGACACACAGGCCACACTGCAGAGTCTGTTGCTGGCCTCCTGCTTCTTATTTATATCAAGATCTAAGGTGAGTTCTCAAGAACATATTTTGTTTATTAGATCTAAAGCCGATTTTTCCAAAGCCAGATAAATTTTAACTGAGTAAGAACTTAGAATATTTGATAATTCTTCCATACTACATACATACTGCTGAACAAAGCCTCGTCTCAAACGGAGAAGGTTTGAGCATTAATCACCACGCTTGCTCAATGCGGGTTGGCAATTACAAACTTATAATTAGAAATTATAAGTCCAGGTTTCCTCACGATGTTTTATAGCCTATAGTGTACCTCGATAAATGGACTATCCAACACAAAAATAATTATTAAATTCGAATCAGTCGTTTTAGAGATGAGTGCGTTCAAACAAACAAACAAATAAACATAATTATTCTTTATCTTTATATAATAGTGTATAAGATAAAATTTAACACCATTAACACCTCTTCCTATCCACAATGTTAATCTATCCAATATTTTTCCTAAAAAATTTCATTTTCTATTACAGCCACTAAAACAACTGTCGAAGCAGCGTCCGCTCCCGAACATCTTCAACGTGTACACCATCATGACGGTACTGACACAGTTTGCGGTACATTTCCTCTGCCTCATATACTTGGTGCACGAAGCCACGTCACGGTCGCCTGGAAGGTAAGTCAAATCAATAAGTACTCTCTGATTATATTTAGCATGGTGTTGGAGCTTATGAGACCTATGCCTACTTATGCCTTCACCACAGAATATGGGGCCCAGTAGGGCACATGCTCGATACGGAGCCGCAGAAGGCCTAACCAGTTGCCCGGGCTCCGTATCGAAGAGCAGGAGTAGGAACGGGGTGGTTTTTAGGCAGTAAGAGTGGTAAAGTCATGGGATGATTTTCCCCCTTTCAAAAAAACCTATATCTAATTCGATGCCAGCGGCATCTGTGCAAAGTTATACAGCTTTTGGACATATTCAATAAGAAAATATGACGTATTACGTAATGTTCCAACAAAGTTCTCGGATCCTAAACTTCACTTTAAGGTGGATGGATGATGATCTCAAATGCCATTTTGTCGCTAGATGGCGTAACTTCCACAATTTGGAACATTTTCACGTTTTACGCCTAACTTCGAAATCTTTAATAGATAACTTTATTGTTCGCGAAACCTAGGGCATTAACTTGATTTTTTAGATAGTCGTTGTGCTTGTTATCTGGTCTCATACAAAGATTACTACAAAATAAAGATTTAGCCGCTTCACTTTACTGTTTACACACACATGCAAAGTAAATAGTAGTAACTTTCGACACCACCAGATGTCGTTATACTATAAAAATATTAATTTACATACTTGAAATTATGTTCCCATCTATTTCTTATTAGTATAATAATTGGTCTAAGTATACTTTTGTTTCTATAAGTCGTATTTTTAATTAGACGAAGTCGACTGACGTTTGCTGTGTTGTCAGTTTTTGATGAAATAAAAATAGTGTTGCGAAAAAGTGAATGATTGAAAAAGCAACTAAATGAATGAAATTGTCTCGATCGTCTAGTGAATTAATTGAAGTAGTTGAAACTACAGATGAGTAAAATATAAAAAAATTAGGTAGTTATGGATAATAAAAACAACGCTAATAACATCATTTGATTTTAATCATCATCAGATAAAAAATCATCGCTATCACTTTCGGTGACATTAATAATAAAGTTGTCTGACACATTGTCAATCATGTGGTCAAGGCCATACATTTTGTCTTCTTCTTTAATAACGTGAGACACGCAACTACTCCATTTTTCTGCTGTGATGAGTTGAAGTCCTTCTTCAAACAGTTTTTTAACTTCTGGCATTTTAAAAGTTTTGTTATTTCTTGCCACATGTCCTTTGGCCTGCGCCCATACCAACTCAATAGGGTTAAGCTCACAGTGGTATGGGGGCAGACGTAAAACCGTAATTCCATGGTGTGCTGCCATCTCGTCCACAACAAACTTTTCAGAATGTTGGTGTTTGTGCTGTCGTACAATGTCTATAAGAGTAGCTTTGATCATTGTTGCTTCGAATGCGATATTTTTGCTTGTTAGCCACTCTTGTATTCTGGATTTAGTCCAAGACATTGTAGGCAGCGATTCCAGTTTCCTGGAGTGGTACGGGGCATTATCCATCACTACCACGGAATTTGGTTTGAGTTTTGGCAAGACCTCTCTGAACCACTTTTCGAAGGAATCGGCATTCATCTCTTGATGATAATCTTCTTTGTTTTTTGTGGCTTCAAATATTAATAGGCTGTCTTCTACGAACCCTTCTTCCCCGCCTATATGTCCGATAATTAAGCGTTTGCCCTTTCCTGAAGGTTGTTTTAAGCCAGTGGTCAAGCCATCGAGGAAGGCCTGGCGGGAGGTTAGCACTGTTTGGTCAATCCATACCTTCTTCGGGGCATGACCTTAAAAATAGAGAAAAATATCAATTAATTATTGAAAGTAGAGGGACCTTCTAAACACATGCCTGTAAATGTATGTACACGTTTATCTAAGTGGTTTGTCATGTTTGTTTGTAATTATTCCTAATTTATATTATTGTCACACAATCAGAATTTACAGTCTTATAAGAAACGCATGTAATCTGTGTTAAATACAGCGTCGGTAACGAATTGTAAGAACTTTTATCTGTGGCCACAAAACCTACAGAAAGTAAAATTTAAAATGAAGAAAACAAAATTGTAATTACCTTCGTTGATCCAGGTCTCATCTTGGTAATAAATACCTTCCTTCTCTTCTATACTGTTTTATTTCTCGAAGGTATCGCTGGCGCCATAGAATAATATCCTGTCTGTCAATAAGAATGCTTTTTCTTGTCTTTGAAACGTATTTGAAATTCAAATGTTTCATAACATTTCTTAGTGTACTCCATGAAAAAGTCGGTAAATCTGGGTCTTCATTGACAACTTTAAGGATCTGTAAAGTAATAAAAATGTTTTTGAGTAAGGAAATCTATGCAATCTAATACTTTGGTTTTACAAAGAACATTATGGTGGACACAGAATATAATGCAGTAGACGGAATAAAGTTTATGTTACCTTTGCAATGGTGGGTGGCTCATTTGCATAAAAAAACTGATGAACTTTTCGCCTTATGGCAGTAAAAGTAAAATCATCTAATTTGTCTTTGAAATTGTATTTCGGTCCACGTTTCTCGGGTGATTTAAATTGTTCATTTTCTTTGTATTCTTTTAATACACTGTAAACCGAGGTCACACCAATTCCCAAAATGTCAGCTGTTTTCGAAACACATTCCTGTTTTTCGGGGGTTTCAAAAGGTAATAGAGAAGCAGCTTTCTCCTCAAATACGTGTTTATACACGTTCTGTACCATGAGCTTTTCGGTAACGCTTAACGAAACCCGTGGTCTCTTCCTTCTCGGAGACAAGCTTTGACTTGACGTGCTTGGTTGAGGATCCATATTGTTTAAAGGAAACAATGAACCACAATAACCGCAAACACAACGAAACAAAAAACTTAACAAAACAACGTGAGCGCAGAAATAACAAAGTACGTGCTTTCAGACCAGAGGTTAGAAGCCGAATAACAATCAAAATGGCGACCGACGCGCGCGACGTCGATCGGTGTTGTCAGTACTCGCCGCGCCGCGCTTTACAATAAACTATCAAATATTGATACAATTTTATTAGAAATAGAAATAATATTCATTTATGTTTTGGAATGATTAAAATTATGAACTATTCACATTCATTGTTCATTCATTTGATTGAACGAGAACTGTAGCCATCACTATTACTTTAAATATGGCCACATTATTTTACAATTTGACATTAGCCATTGTCAGTTGACTTCGTCTAATTAAAAATACGACTATAGACTCGATATCTAGCAAATTATTCATAAAATTTATTTTAGGTAAAATAGGTACCTACACTGTACACTATATACTATACCCCTAGACCCTACACCTGTCGCGGAGAACCTAACGGGTAACCGGGGCTCCGGCTCGACGTGCAGGAAAAGGAACGGGGTGGTTTTTAGTCAGTAAGAGTCTGACACTCCCTTCCGCCTCACCCAGGCGGGAGCAGTCATTCGATGATTTTCCCCCCTTAAAAAAAAAAAAGACCCTACACCTAAAAAATTGTTGTAATGTGACTGAACCTAAATTGTAATGTGTAAATAGTGACTTTACTAAATAAATAAATGAAAGACTATTTATTCCATTGTAAAGCTTTTTATTGTACCTTACTATAAATTAATAATATTTATTTAGTAAAACTAAGTTAACATTTTCATAAAATAATCGTTTTATTTACTCTCACTACATTTACTTAGATAGTTTCCATCTGGATTCAAACCATGGAGTCATACCACCATACAAAGATAACATAATTTTTTAATTGTTTTGATATTTACTTAGTTTTATAATTTTAAATTTAGTATTATAAAGAATTATTATGTATGTAGATCACAATATAAATAACATCATAAGTATATATAACGGCACATGTAAGTTTGCAAGTATCTTACATTATTTATTTCAATTAATTAGTATAACATTACAGTCATAAAACCAACAACAAGTGGTTGCTAGCTAACCATAACATTTATTTATGTTTCAAGAATACATGTTTATTATACAATTTTGAACTTAAATAAATAATGTTTTACAATTGAATTGTTAGGCTGGTACCTAAATGCATGAGGCAAACTTATATACACAGAAAAATCTTATGGACTAACAAAATAACACAAACTATACATCGCACAAGTGGTTGCTAGCTAACCATAACATTTATTTATGTTTCAAGAATACCTATTTATTTTACAATTTTGAACTTCAATAAATATTGTTTTACAATTGAATTGTTAGGCTGGTACCTAAATGCATGAGGCAAACTTATCTACACAGAAAAATCTTATGGACTAACAAAATAACACCAACTATACATAGCTACGTGCAAAAATAGCTTATTAATTATTCTATAATGTTCACACTGCTGAGAATCAGGCTACACAAAGCAAAGTGCCGGCTTGGATTCGAACAATCAACTCGTACCACCATACAAAGATTCTTATATATATAATAAAATGTCTTCTTTTTGCAGTCACCGCCGCCACCGCCGCGCCATATCAGTCTTCTGTTTATCGCTTTTTACTTCCATTTATAATTTCCGTGCAATCTGAATCAAATGCTGGAAGACGCAGTTTTCGCTGCAACAAATGAATTTACACAGTTTTGTTAGACTATTCTTACTGAACCCACACCTCAGAGCCCTGAGAAATAAGTTAGGAAATGAATAAGACTTATATTTTTATACCTTTTAATTCCTTGATGTCCAGACATTTAGCATTTTTCTCAACTCTTCTCAAAATAATTTCGGCAGTACACATCTTTTAAAAACTGTCACCAACTTCGGCATCATAGTACTGATAAATTCCTCATTCTGGTTAACTTCTATGACAGTCAATGGTTGGGTGACTGATATATAGCAAATGAAGTAACATTTATTCATTTTGGTAATTCGCAATTGACCCTGGACCTAGAATCAAAATAATAATAGCTGTTAAAAAGAAACAATCCAAGAAATACATTATTTTTATACATACATACCAAGAAATAATGATATTTGATAATAATGAAATAATAATAATGATATTTGATAATAATGATATACTTACTTGATAATAGTAATTATGCTTTTTGTTCATAACTAAAACATCATTTTCCAAATGAATAGGAAAATTTCTATTTTCTGATGCTTATCGAATATTTTGAATATCTGTAAAAAAGAAAAGTTTTTAGGCTTACGCTACTGAACCCTATTTAAAATATTCACGCGACAAAAACTAGTTATTTGTATATTTTTATTATCGAATAATTTTACCATCAGGGCTAGCTACTAAGAATCCAAATTCTTCATTAATGAAAAGTCCTGATGGCCTGACTATTTGCCATATTATTGCATAAACATGCTCTATGCAACATGTTCATTTTGTTTTCCATACATCATATCTTTAGTACAAATATTATTTTTATAGAGAATGCATTTCACATGATTGTGACATGGTGTGGCATTGGTTGGAGTGTAGCAAAGGGTGTGCAAGGAGTTTAGGACTTTTAATTATTTTTTCATCAAAAATGATAATTCTTATAAGTGGCTCGGTTTTTCATTTCTATCGTTTAGTATACCTAAAAATAAGATGACTATTATCTAGGCACTTTTTATCTAGATAAAAGGCTTCAGGTTCGCCTGAAATTGAGCCCTAAAGGTCAGTTGGGGGAGTATGTAAAACACTTTTTGGGCACCCCAACACATTTGGTTAGGTTAGGTTAGAACTGTGACCCTCATAAGGCCTAGATAAAAGGTGTCCAAATGATTTTCGCTTTATTATTAGGTATACTAATCAGTGAAAATGAAAAACTAGCCATTTATAAGAATTTTCATTCTTGATGAAAATGAAAAATAAAGTCCTAAACTCCTTGCACACCCTTTGCTACGCTCTGACCGTGGCATACGACGTTTGCATACCTAAAATGAACAAAGTGACAATCATTATTCTGCAATTTGTTAAAACTTTCTCAATACATAATAGGTACTAACCTTATCGAGCATAACGACCTTTTCTAGAACATAAACCAATGAGTATCAAATAAACTTCACTCACGTAAATCTGATTTGAAATCCTATAGTAATCTGATTTCTTCACTATAGATCACTAAAAGAACTTTCATGATGTCTTATGAATGCGGCTTGCACCTTTTTCCTTGAATTTTGCGGCCCTGAATACATAGTATGTCGTATACACGCAAGTTTATTCATTTTAGGCAGTTCAGTTGCAATTCAATCTCAACATCAAATGTATCTTATTTATGAAATGTTTCAAGAAATTTGTAATAGCAGATCTAATCTAACACCACCATCAAGTTGTCAAGTGCAGTCAAGTTCTATTAAGCAGTGTTGCCAATTGCGAACACGACTAATACAAAATCTGGGAGACTGCTACTGAATTAAAATGTCAAAATTATTCTAAATACTATAAAACTATGCTAAAATACTGTGCTAACATTCTTCAGTGTGAAATAAAACATCTTTTAATTTGAATCTTTAATAATCAAGAAAATTCGAGTAAGAGCATTAAGAAACATTATAATACAAGTATCCGTACTTGTTGTTATATGTACTAGTGTTTATTAATATATTTTTTTAAGTAATAATAAACATGGTAAATATCCCGTTTAAGTTGTAATGATACTGGTGTTTATTGTTTCGTGTGGATTTCATGACAAAGTCTCTTCCGAGCCCCTTTTCTTTAGTAAATAAAGCTCGTAGTAAAGTTTCGTTGCTAAATTGGTGTACGGATTCTTAAATATTATACCAAAAGGTTAAATTTTGCGTTGAAGTTATAGTAATACCACATTCTATTGCCATTTATTTTTTAATTCAAAGTACGATCTTTTAAAATGTATGGTACAATCTTCCAAAAAAATAAAGTTGGCAACCCTGCTTGACGCACTTTGTGTATGTGTATACATGCTAATAATACTAGTAAAATAAGCAATTAAGAAAAATTTAAATGGTTTGTCTGTATATTCACTAATGTTGCTGGTTTCACATGATTTAAATATGATTTAATCAATAGATGTACGTAGTACCTACGTTTCATTATTGTGTAGGTAGCTTCGCTAATCACCTGATTTATAACTTACTTATACATCAAATTCTATTCTCTGATTTTATTCAACCCAAACCAATGGATTAGTACCTAAGAGTATCAGAAAATGTGTTATCAGTATCTTCTTACATACATTACAAAGATTTTTGAATCTGCAGTCAAGGAATGTTAGTGTGTACTAGTACAGGCAGGCTGCAATCACGGCGTCCTGACCTATCGGTTGACGCAGGTCCTCACCAGACCAAGGACACATCGCAGAGATATTTTTTTCACTTTATGTAAAGCATTAATTCTCATCCCATTATAAAAAACATTTTATCAATCGTTAATTTTAACTCCGTGGGTAAACCCGCGCGCCCGGTGCTAACTTGCTAGAAACACAATATTCTGGAAATGATTCGCAAGTTGTCAAGATTCAAGACATCACGCATGGACGGAATGGCAACAGCGCACGCGCTGCTTCTTGACCGGCAACGTCGCATTCCCGCACGCGTCACGTCACTTTGATGCTTGTTCGAATTATCGGACAGCGCCATCTATTATGAATGTTTACCAATTGTAAACTCGGAACACAACAGCAACCAAATTTCTCGGTGGTTCTATAAATTTCTATCAGATGGCGCGATTCAGGTCACTCACACATGCAAAGACTTATCGTTTTTTATTCGGTCTAATTCTCCTAGAAATACAATTTTTTAATAAAATTTGGGCTATACACAAACATAATACATTATAAAGTCTCATTATAGTTCCTTTTCTTCTGCAGAAACTGTTTATTTACGAAGATTTCCGCACCTGAAAAATGTATGGCGAGGTCTAACTAGGCATCCACCTTAACTATACCTAGGCCGCGGAAGACTTAACGTATTACCGGTGCTTCAGTTCGAAGCACAAGTTTAGTCAGTAAAAGTCTGACACTCTCTGGCCTCACCCAAGGCGGGAGAAGTCTATATTATGCTAAACTAGTTTCTGTCAGCGGCTTCGCCCGCGTTTTCGTGGGATAAAAGTGGCCTATGTGTTATTTCAGACTAGATTCTACCTCTATTCCAAATTTCATCTAAATCCGATCAGTAGTTTTTGCGTGAAAGAGTAACAAACAAACACACACACACACACACACACACCCTCTCACACACACACATACACACACCCACACACACCCAGTAGTAAATAGTAAGATAGTAGGATACATACAAAATTATCGATTTGTTTTTCAGGGATAACAAACCCAAGTTGGATATGGATTTGTCGGATGACGAAGAGCGAGAGTTTGCACCGGACCTACTGAACAGTACTGTGTACATCATCTCCATGTCGCTGCAGATATCTACGTTCGCTATCAACTACAGAGTATGTTATACAGATGTTTTTTTTAATCTATTTTTTCTTAAATACAGTCGTTAGATATTTATGTTATATGCTATAACTTTCGTGATACATACTAAATTCATTAAGTATTAGGTATGTTTTTCGGCTTACTCACGTAATTATTGGACGAGGTACTCGACTAGTTTCAAGCCATGTTAGAGGCTCATATTCATATTCATTGATATAAGCGCGGCGCGGCTACTGCTACACTAGCAGCGCAACAGTCGCCGCTTTGCGGGTCGCGGAATGCTGCTCATGAATATGAGCCTCTAGCATGGCTTGAAACTAGGCGAGTTCCTCGTCAAATAATTGCATGAGTAAGCCAAGAAACAACTACTTTAGAGTCGATCAGAGACTAGGATTTTCTGTGTCGCTGGTGCATTAACAAATAAACAAATTCACATGTGACGTTAAACTGGAAACTATTTCCTACTAGCTTCTGCCCGCGACTTCGTACGCGCAATCCCATTTCACCCCCGTTCCCGTTCGTGATTTTTGGTAAAAGTACAAAAAAATTAGATAAAAAGTATCCTATATCCGTCTCCTGGTTCTAAGCTAATTTTCATCAAAATCGATTTAGTCGTTCTTGAGTTATAAATAGTGTAACTAACACGACGTTCTTTTATATAAATAGATTTTTCTTCTATCTTGGGCACGTCAAGACAAATAAACAAATAACAAAATGTAACCATTTTGTTTGTTTGCAGGGAGAACCATTCATGGAAGGTCTACGCGACAACAAGCCCCTGCTGTACAGTATCATGATATCTGGCGGCGCCGTGCTCGCGCTCGCCGCCGGCATCTTTCCGGACCTCTCCAACATGTTCGAGATTGTATATTTCCCACCAGATGTAAGTATCTGTTGCTTTAAATTTATTAAAACTATTAATTAAAAAAAGACGTACATATTTTACTAGCTTATTTTTAAATTGACTACAAAAGTAGTCTCTAAATGTAGATAATAGGGTCTATATTAGAGTGCATGAGAGAGGACAGCGGTATCATAAGTAATAACATTAAATAAAAACATAAATACCAAGACTAGTCGTTCTAGCATAGTGAAGTATTAGTAAGTATTCCTAGAATTTCCTTTGGATACTTCTGTAGATGTTGGAGTTATGTCGGCCATGATTCGGCACAAAAACGAACAACGACCTCACTAAATACTGGCGTGAAACAACGTTTGCGTTGTGTTCATCTGTGTGACTGAGGTTACAGTAGGCTCAAACCTACTCTCCCATCTCTAAATCCCCAATCTATCTTCGATCCTCAATGCCCGAATCCCCAATCCCTGCTAGGCCGACAACACACTTGTAACTCTGTTGGTATTTCCGATGGTATGTACATAAACCATCAACTGTTTAAATATATTTATTATTCTCAATAATAATCTATCTTTGTTAACTACTTTTAGGCCTAACAAATTTTACTTTACATAATATGTGATTCTATTTGTTTCAGTACCGGATCATATTAGTGCAAGTATTGATAGCGGACATGTTGTTCGCGTATCTAGTGGACCGACTGTGTCTCATCTTGTTTGGCGAGGGACTCCGCACCAAGGCCACGTAGCGCAGACACCCACGTAACCAGTGTCACATGATCGTATTGTAACGATAATATATGCATTATGTGTTGTACACGACTGAGGAAACTACCCCAATCTGACTTTAAAACGGATTTTCTATGCTATGCTATGCTAGAATGTAATTTCTTTCAAGTGTCTCCCGATCCTATGGAAGTATCAGAATAAGAGGTGAAAATATTAGGATAAAAAGTAATCCATGTTACTCCATAAAAATTGATGAAAGAAAAAGCATTTTCAAATTGGTCCAGTAGTTACGGAGGTTTTAGCAAAACAAACAATCAAACATTTCTTATTTGTATTATTATTCGATCACAGAACTTGGTTAGCATAATATTTATGTCATAGTCAGCTACTTGCCGCACTGACTCGTGCGTCCAACATTTTCAACTTTATTCTGTTTGTCATAGAATTAAAAATCTAATTTGACAGAGTGGGGAAGCTTTGCTGGCGTTCGTACCACAGATTATGTAATGAACAGATATAGATAATTTTTTAAACCTTTTTGGTCATGCGCATTCATTCTAATTACAGTGCTAAGAAGAATATAATGAATATAGATACGTATATTTTAATATTTTTGGTACCATTGAACCTATGTAATAGACCTTTCTAGATACAGTTAGTGCGCATGTACAAAAATATAGTTTTTAAACGATATTTATTATTTTTAGTAGATAGATTAATTGTAGTATAATTGTTTGATTTGCCGTATATCGTGGGCGTATAACACTGCCATGTAATAAATAAATATTTCAATCTGTCATTTTTAAATAAATATAAAGACAAATGCTAACTACATATACATTGTATTCTAACGAAGTATGTTATAAATAATTGTTTTATACTTATATATAAAGTTTGGTATCTGGTTATTATGTAATCTGTGGAGATTTCGTGTAAATATCAAAATTATAACCGTTACGTGTCTCTGTGTAGCCTGACTGGGGACGGTGTAACCGCTCAAATATATGTGCATTTACCTAAGTATGATGGACAAGTGTCGACGGTATTTATTATGAAATATAATTGTGTAGTTAAATGTATTGCTTTGTTTTATTTATCCAATGAAATGAACTACATTTTATCTCTTTTGCTGATTCGTTCAGTTTCATATACTTGGTTATTAACAAACCTTTTTAAAAGTTCGAAAACCTATTAAAGATGTTTAAAAATTGGACGAAGTAAGCCAATTATTGTCTATATTATGTCTATCTACTTATTACTTTAGGTATGTTTCGATACTTAATTTCACTTCAACATAAAAAATAAACAGACAACAAACACTCCGTGACACTTATTTATTTCAGTATTTCACAAATACATAGTCAACCTATACTATTCGTATCGCCTAATGTACAGAACATTCAGATGCGAAGAAAGTAAGGTCGCGATAACGTCCGTAAGTCTGGCACCTGCGTTGGCTTATCACTAGTGTTTCCAGCCGCCGAGACCGCCAAGGCCGCCAATACCGTAGCCGAGACCGCCGTAACCGATGCCGAGGTCGGCGCCAGCTAGGCCGAGACCAGCATGGCCGAGACCGGCTCCCCAACCTAATCCGTAACCACCGAGGCCAACGAGGCTGGACGCGTATCCTGCAGTAGCGATTGGGGCAGCGGCGATAGGTGCAGCAGCAATAGGAGCTACGATTTGTTTGCTCACAACGGGGGCAGCTACTAAAGTTTGTGGGTGGGCGGCCGGTCCCACTCGTTTAACTACCGCGTTGAATCCCGACACTGGGTCAGCAGTATAGTCCACCACTCGCAGGGTACCGTCGGGTTCCGTGAGTGAGTACGAGCCTTTCACATATCCTCCGTCACGAGACTCGGTTTGAGCTTTCTGGTCGCCTGTTAGGGGGTCGTTGACGGCATAGTTGAAGCCGTAACGTGGGACTGACTGGAAAAAATTATTATTATTAATATATAGTGTGGCTTGGTCATCAGTAAATAGTTACATTTTTTGTACTATCTACTTACGATACTGCCGGTGGCAATAGGCAGTGCCCCGATCGCAGACGGAGCCGCCGTTGCCACACCAAACAAGCAAGCAATCTGAAATTGAATGCAAATTAAAAATCTTGTAACTACTTTCATGAATATTAACTTATATTGTATGCATCGATGTTACAAATTATCACGAAATCAATCATATACTTTGTAAATTGTACGATTAAGTGGTAATCGATACACATTAAAACACTACATGAATCATGTTACCCCACATAATGTTTTTAATACGTAAAACTTCAGTCAAATCAAGTCTAAGATTAGAACCGATTAGGATTAAATAAAGATCGAATTAGTTAGTTTTTAATTATTGATCAAGATGTGAAATGAAAAGTCATTTAAACTTACCGCAACGAAGCTGAACATGGCGCTCAGGTAAGTTCAGGCCTGGACGTTATCCAAACTGTTTGTGCACTGGGTAATAATGGAATAGAAACCGACGATGCGTATTTATACGTTCATCGGCTCCTTATTTGTCAATTCCTTACAATCCTTCGCTTCACGGTTATTAACTATTCACGTTACGCACCTCCGAATATATTTTCATAACGTGTCCTAAAATCGTCCGTAATTACTTAATTGTTGATTCATTGTCCGCTCTCTGTAAAACTGAGTAATTGTTTCATCAGAATCCTGTCCGATTAGACGGAATTATGTGATAATTAGATGGCGGCCAGTTGCTCAATCTGGCTTCCATTTTTGGACCATTCATCCATATAAAGTTATTCACAACTTTAATGTTTTAATCGTACGTTGCTATGTCAGGCGAGTAAGTAGTTATAATTACGTTGAATGTGATAATTGTTGTGTTACGTGTTTGTTTTGCTTTTACACGCACTTTTTTTTGGACCTAAAAGACATTACGCATACACATTTTCTCTTACAAAACGTAACAAACATTATTTTGTCTTATTATTGTGGGTGCGTAGTTAAGGAAATGTGACAAATACTACCTGATTTTCTTTACTATCTGTAATATCTATTTTTTTATGGGATAAGCCGGTAAACGAGCAGACGGATCACCTGATAGTACTGGTAAGCAATCGGCGCCGCTCATGGACACTTGGAACGCCAGAGGCGTTACAAGTGCTTTACTTACTGGCCTTTTGGGGATTAGGAATTTAAGGATTGGGTATTTGCCAACTAGTCAAAATCAATACTTTTTTCGAACTGTCAAAATCGACAGTTTCCTATGAATTTTGTGCGAGATTGTGTATTATGACATCACGTTTATTAGAATCAAACAGCATAATTATTTCTTAATAATTTTGCTGGAAAATACTAAAATTAAGTTGGTCGAAAGTGTGATTATTTTTCTATATTTTATTGTATTGAACAGTCGAAATAATTTGTTTTTAATTAAGGCAAGTACCCAATTGTTGCGTTAGGGAGATTGGGGAGGGAAGGGAGGTGAATTGGACCTCCAGTAACCTCACTCACACGACGGTATACAACGCAATCGTTGTTACACGTGACATCACTCCGGTCGAGCCGGCCCATTCGTGCCGAATCATGGCTCTCCTACACTTCGCTTGATATTTGACAAAAAGAGATCTCCAACAGTCTTCAAAAATTTACTTGCTTATGTTTTTTGCATCTACACACATCTTCTAAGATAACTTACCTAATATTTTCCTCAATTCAGTACAAGTACCCAAGAGAACCATTGATAAGCTACGGCATTTCCCAAAAAGGTAAGGTCTTATATTATGGTCAGTACTTATTATTAAACAGTTGTATCTACATGTCCCATGAAAATATGTCCGCCCTAACTGGACATTACACCCATGGGGAGCGATAGGGATCACCCTTCTGAATCACTAATGTTTGAATAAAGTGCATTGCCTCCATTACCATAGGCTCCTTTTTATAGTGTTTCTCACTACATTGTCTTTTACTAGTTATACTATACCTAATTCTTAAGATGTTATAATGGACTCTATGAACAATGTTTAAATTGTTGTTAGTAATTGGGTACCTACTTCACTTAATCAAAAATAAATTATTTCGACAGTTCAATACTTACAATAAAATAGTTAAATAATAATCACACTTTCATTAATTGATTTTACGACCAACTTAATTTAAGTATTTTTCTAGCAAATTCTTAAGACATAAGTTTGCTGTTTGACGCTTAAAAATCGTGACGTCACAATACACAATCTCGTACAAAATTCATAAAAAATCGTCGTTTTTGACAGTTCGAAAAAGTCCTGAATTTGACTAGTTGGCAAGTACCCAATTTACCTCGGAACAATAACTGCTTTAGTTATTGTTCCGAGCAATTTACGAAAGCATGAAGCAAGTCACCGTATGATGCCTGTCAATTGTCATGCTTAAGATACCGATAACACAAACTAGATGGCGTTCTATATTTGGAAGTCTTTATAAACTTTTATTTTACAAACTTTTGTTGTTTAACTTGCAATGAATGTGTGTGAAGTTGAATCTTGCAAGTAATGAAACACAAATTTACAACTAATTGAGATGAAATGAAATGTATTCACATTTAATTTGTATGATCATAAATGTGAACCTGTGGAAAGCATTGTTTTTAATCCATTTTATTAGTAGACTTGCGTAGTCTCATTGTGGCCTACAAAAACTAAGATTAAATTTCATTACTTACGACTAAGAATATATAACTAAACTAGTAAATAAAATAGTAAATACTGTGAATAGTCTCAAGACTCAAGTTCGAATGCTAGTCGTTCACTTTCGTTTCCGGTTTTAGTCGAAAATATACATCTGATTTGATTTAGTCTAAACTAAAAAGCTGTATTAAGGTTTAGTGATTAATAAAAATTTCTATAACCTCTTTTTTATTTTATTTTATTTTTTTAGAAAAGTATTCTTCGCACTAGGGTTTTCTCCTGTGTCGTAGGTGAGTTTAAAAACATACATGATACAAGTTCACATACACATGACACCCAGACCCGGAACCACAATCCGTAGATCACACAGAGAGTTGTTCCGTGCGGGAATCAAACCCGCGACACGTTGCGCGGCAGCCAGTTGCCAGACTAATAAATAATACATTTCGGGGATTGCCTAACCAGGTATGCCTAACATGATACACTGATTCCCATCTTATCAGTATCAATCACAGTATCATACCAATCCGTGATAGCTTGTCAATCTCGATATCGTGTTCCCAATTCCCAGTGCACAGTTAATGAACACATCACATGTGTTAACAGTTGCCGTGATGCATCTTAGACGTAACCCTCTGATTGGTTATTATTCTGCTTGCTGATCTCCAGATTGATGTAGTTACGTATGTTTGTCTGTTTATATCACTTCAGATTGTTACTATAACATCTTTGGTCGAAGTAAAAATATTCAGTTTTAAGATTATTTGTTAGGTTGCTTATGGGACGACGTTGTCCATCGTAGACCGCATCATCGCTTACCACCAGGCGAGATAGTGGTCGTACGTCGGCCCTTAAAATATATAAAAAAGAAAAATGTTTATCGATAATCGAAAGTTGTTTTTACTTACGTACCGCTTTAACCTGTTTGAATTTTGACGTTTCAAGAGTGCCTAATTAAAGTACTAATTGAAATTAATTAAGTATTTGACTTTGACCGTAGTATCATCATCGTATCAGCTATTACACAAAACTGCGATGCGCATTCGCAACGCAAAAAATTACGATGCAAATTGCTGGGATGCGATTTCGTGCGACAAGGCGTCTCCCAGGGTGACCATTTCTTCGACGACCGTCAACCATACTAAACGTATTTTAAGTTGAAAACTAGGTCGTGACATGGATCGTAAAAAGATGTTATTGCTTAAGAGATACAGAAAAAAGAAACAAAGAAGATTTTGGGAAGATAAGAATTTGATGCGCGATGCGCAAGTTCTTGCGATGTGTAGAGGGAGCTCGAACATTTTAGCGATGCAACGTCGCATCGCAGTTTTGTGTACGAGTCCATAATTCAATGCTGATGCCGATGCGGAGGACTTAACGAGTTGCTGGAGCCGGAGCCCCGAAGTTCAGAAGTAGGAACGGAGTGGTTTTTAGTCAGTATTCAGTAAGAGTCTGACACTTCGTCTCGTCTCACGCAGGCGGGAGAAGTGGAGAAGTCATTGTATGATTTTCACCCATCAAAAATAAAAATTCTAACTAGTAATTTAAGGCATGATTTTACACATAAGTTACTAAAATAAAACAATCTTACTTCTGCTGCATAATATTCATGAATTCATACAACCAGTATGTCGTCACTGCTGAACGTTATTAATTGGAATCATTACATATTTATGACGTACCACAACTAGGCTCGAACAATATTTACAACATTTTTACTGTCAATATGTATGTATGTGTGTGTATTTGTAAGCCTAATGTATTCGCTTATTTACATGTATACGTTTACTGCTTTAGGGTCAATAAGGGAATAGGCTAGTTTCCCCAAGTTTTATTTTAATGTCCGTCTGGTAGATTATTTTAAAACATTAGACACGTAATTTTTCTTTTCTCATAAAATTAAATGCTTTCGACGACATATTGATTTGAAATGTCGTGTGACGTCACAGCGTGCACTAAAATGTAGCACGTTGTGATTGTGACGTAACGACCTCTCACTCCTAAACTTAATGCCATTTTATCTAAGTATTGTAACTTTATACGAGAATTTAAAAAAATATTTGTCTAATATTTTTTCATTATCTAATCGATGGACTAATTAGATTTTTAATTTTCTTACCCTGGAAACTACCCAATTGTATGTGTAAGATTTTCTGTTTCTAGGAAAATCAATGAATTTCTTTTAAAACTACAAAATAAATAGTTATCTTAATTAGGTACTAATCAGTACATATTTGTCGTGAGCTGTTGCCCGCGACTTCACCCGCGTGGAATATAAATTTTAGAACTGTGCCCGGTATATGGCAATAGGCTCACCCCCTATTACATGGGACTCATAACATACATTGTGAAAAGTGGGTGTTACATTGTACAGTGGCATAATGTGCAACTCTTCGGGGATAAACGGCGTGATGTTATGTTATGTCCTTCTCTATGAAATAGGTATATTAGGTACAATTTTCTCTAACTACTTACTTATTTTAACATTAATTTGTAACTTGCGATTTATTAAAACCAGAGCCTCTTTTATAATCGCGCATACGGAACCTTAAATTAGTAAACGTAAGTAGGTAGGTACATATTCATTTTTTACAACGAAACTCACTAAGCTGTGTAAACATGAATTTAGTTTAAGGACATCTTTTAACAAATGACAAATAAGGTGGCATGCACGTTAGTATCTGTACATTAAAAATTGATTGTTTAAAGTATTCTTGATAATACTTGAAGACTTTTCATTAAGAGATAGAGGAAACAGACACGGTTTAAAAG